AACAATTGTCCATACAGATCAGCCATTTCCGGTTTGTTTTTTAATTTTTTTAAAATAATTTTTTAATTTAATTAAAATTTAGACTGAAATGTTTGAAAATCCTCTTGTCAGAGATCATCAAAGGAAAAGAGATGAAGTGCCAAAGGATTTTCATAAGCAGGTATTTTTGTTTATTTATTTTATTTTTTATTTATTCTAGGCATTTTTAGGCTTTAAGTTTTATAAGGTAGTACTTCAGTTGACGCCCCCTTTTTTCTGCTTCCCTGATCATTTTAAGCTTTCTTGTTTGACGTATAATTTACAATATATTTGGAACAGCTGTTCGAGCTGGGTAGAATGATACCATGAACTGGGGAACTAATAAATTTTGGTTGGGAACTTCTATCATGGCAATAGCCAGGATTTTTTTCGCAGAGGCCAGGGTGAAGAAACATTCCAAATAATCTTTTGTCTTTGATATTTCAGAAAAATTTTAAATTTATTTTCTCCAATTTCCCATTCACATAAAAATTTAAATTTATTTTAGTCTTTATATTTAGGGAACTGGTCTTTGTGGTCTCTACGTAAATACACATCCTCACAAAGACCTTTCGGAGATTTATGTTCGAATTTTGCGTGTTCTTGATTTGATGCCTAAAGATTATCCTTATAGACAAACTACTGAACAAATTGTTAAAGAACGATTTGCACATGTTAATTCGGTTTTTTTAATTTTTTAAAATAAAATTTTTAAATTTCAATAGACTGACGATATTCAAATTTTGGAAGAAAAAATTGGAATGGGCCAGATCGAGGAAGTTATTGAACAGGTTTAAAAATATATTTTTTATTTAAAATCGTAATGGAGGTTTCCCCTCCCCGTTTTTCCTTTTCCCCATTTCGGGGGCGGGAGCATTCCCTGGCTACGGGCTTGACTTCAAAGACTTGATATAAAATTCTAGTAGTAATTTTCGAGAACTAAATTTAATTTTCTAGGCTCTAAATGAATTGGAAGCAGCCCGTACTCTTGTTCATTACAAAGCATGGGAACCTCTTGTTGAAGCACCAGATGAATACCAATGGCGTTGGCCAATTGCACCGGGGCCGTGATTAAAAAAGTATTTTATTATTTAGGAATTTTTGTTTAAATTTGTGTTAAAAATCGGATTTTTTTGACTTTAAATAAAAATTTTAATATTTTTTTAGAAAATTTTATTTTGGTTTTAAGTTGAGTTTTTAATTTTATTTGTCCGTACTAAATAAACGGAATTTTCAAAATTAATTTCTTTTTAAAATTATTTTTGGTCATAATTTTGAAACATAAATCTAGGAATAGGAATTAAAAAATATTTTTACCCTTTATTTAATATTTTACTTTTATTTAAAATCGAAAAGCAAAAAATATTCCTTGCCTAGATATGGAGGGGAAATTCTTTTTTAATTTAGTTTTATTATACCTAAAGAAAAGGGAAATTTGATTAAAACATTGTCATTGGAAAAACCGTTTGGGATCATCTTTTTTTAAATAATTATTGAATACTCAATCCTTTAAATTAAAATTTTTCTATTAAAAAAATTTATTCAATATTTTTTTAAATATTTAATTTTAATAAATCTTCAACATTTTCTTCTTCTCCTCTTTCCTCTTTTATTTTAATTTTTTCTTCTAATTTTAAAATAATTAATTCTGTTTGTAATATTTGTTTTTCAATTTCATTTACTTCTTTTCCAATTTTAATTAATTTATAATTCCAATCATTTAAATAATTATTTTTAAATAATTTCTCTAATTTATCCATTTGTTCAGAATATTCACTTAAAGTTTGTTGTACTCTTCCCATTCGAGTTGAACAAATATTTGCTTGTCTAATAGTTTCTGAATTTACTTCTTTAATTTGAAAAAGTTGGAGTTGATATCTAAATTGAATTATAAAAAGAATTTTATATTATCCAAAATAGTTAACACTTAAATAATTATTCTATTAAAATTTTAGAAAAAATAATTCTTTAATTGTACTACCCTGGTTTCGACCTTCCGCTGGAAGGAGTAATTAATCAAGGGAGGGTGTTTTAGGGCATTAATTTGGGGGTAATTATTATTTCAATCTATCGCTGGACAGGGTAATTAATGTAAGTGGGGTAATTATTTGAGGGAGGGCAATTAATACAGGTTATGCGGTAATTCTATTTTTTATAAATTTCAAAAAGAAATTAAAATTAAATTTTTCTGATTCTCAAATGCTTCTTTTCATTATTTAAATCAGATCTTTAATATCCCCCGTCCCTTCAAAGCCCCTAAGCTTCCTAGCCACCCTAAACCCTAAAAAATTTCGTTTGTACGAAACCAAAAAATTCGAAGAAAATTTTAACTTCGCATACTTTGTCAAGAGATTCTGAATATCCTCACGAGTACTAATTTGTCTGTAAAAATTTGAAACCAGGCTAGAAAAAAATATTTTTTTTCAAAATTTAATTAATTAACCTAGCTATTTTTTGTTCTTCTTTTGGTTGTATTATATTAATACCAAAAAGCATATTTTCAGATATATTTTGAACATTTTCTATTAAAGAAGAAAACATTTCCATTTTAACTTTAAATTAACTAAAGTATTAAACATTTTTTTAATTTTTAAAATTAATTGTTATTATTAAAAATTTAAAAATTCTGTGAAATAAAAGAAATTACTAGTTAATTTTTATTTAAAAAATTATAATGGCAAAAAATTAAAATATCTAAAGGCAAGACAATTGTAAAGGAATTAAAAGACGGGAAATCACAGATTCATACAATTAAATAATAATAATTATTTTGAAGTACTAGAATATTTTATAAATTGAGGAAATACATAAATGATTTAAAAAAAGGAATTATTAGATCACAAGAATTGAGTATAAAATGTTTAAGTAAATAATTATTAAGGATTTTTACACTTAAGGAAAAGTTAATTATAATCGAACTAGTTAATGTAAAAAGGCTGATATGTATATGTGAAATTCCAACAATTTACTACCCATTATGACCAATTTTCAAAATTACTCCTCTCCCTTCCTTTGCCTCCTCTACTACATCTAGTCGTTCAGCAGAACTACAAAATGGTTTAATTCCAAGTAATTCTAGAGCTGTTGGCCTTTCCTCAAGTTTTCTTTTTAACATTAAATTAATTGCTTCAATTAACGCCAAAGAAAGCCCGTTAGGCAATGACGGTTCTGGCATAGTTCTGACATGAATGGCAAATGGTTCTATACCTGCCCAAGGTGTTTGTGTTGTTAACATTTCGACTAACTACAAAATTTGTTTTTAATTTTAAGAAAAAAAATATTTTAGAAAAAAAATAATAAAATTAGGAAACGACCCCACAGTGATCCCAACACTCCAAACGTCAGATTTAGGCTCATAACGACGGTCACAACGAATAATTTCTGGAGCTGTATAATGAGGAGTTCCCTTGAATAAAAATTATTTTTTAAAGTTTTAGATTTATTAAAGACTTGAATATCAATTCCTTGTTCACTGCAAATTGCCTGGAGAAATTTAGCTGATCCAAAGTCCCCAATTTTGACACGAGCACTTGTATGCCGTAAAATATTTGCTGGTTTAATGTCTCTGTGAACAATATCTTTTGAGTGTAAATATGCTAAACCAGCAAGGATTTGGGAAGTAAAGAGAATGCTCATTTGTTCGCTTAATGCTCCATACTCGCTTATCTAAATGAATAATGAATTTTGATTAAATAATCTTATTTATTAGTAGATATGATTTGGAAGTAAGCAAGTGACAGGAGATTTCAAATGACTGGAAAACAGAGATCTTCTTTGGTTCCATATTAAAGCATAAACAAGATTTTTTAAAAAGAAATGAGCAATTCAGAAAGTATAACACAAAATTCAATTCACAACCTGATCCTTTAAAGATCCCCCAGCCATTAATTCCATAAAAATATTAACACAATCTGTCCTCTCAACAATTCCAACATATTGGACAATATTTGGATGCTTTAAAGTGCCCAACATGTTTAATTCGTTTTCTAATGTTGCCATTACACGGCTTCGTTGTTGGTGACCTCTCAAATAAATTTTCTTGACTACCAATTGTTCTCCAGTGTCAACATCTAAACAAACAAATACATGGCCATATGCCCCACGGCCAAGACACCTTTAAATTTGTTTGTATTTTAGTTGAATTTATTTGTCCACAAACCGTCCTTCCCGCCAATTATTTGGTACTCTTGGTGTGGGGGTGTCAGATAACCTCTCTGCATCCAAGGAAGAAGTCTCCCCCCGTTTTCCACAAAATCGTATAGGTGTCCCTCCGGGTGTTCTTTTTGTAGAGGAACTGCTGATTAATGACCTTTAATCATAATATCACAAAAATACTCTAAAATATTCAAAAATTAAACCAAAGAGAAGAAGTTTCAGATAATGTTGTCTCTGCAATTCCATTTGGAACAGTAAAAACACCACAAGAGATAGGTGAATGTGGAGTTAACGGAGGGCCAGAATTTTCGGAATAATTATCTCTTTTCTTACAAAAATATTTTTTAAATTAATTAAAATTATAAAACTTGTGAAAGTATAAGTCTCATTCGACGTTTACTACCAGCTTTTTCATGTAATTGAATTACATAATCGAGATCTTGTTGGTTACGGATCTACACAAAAATTATTTTTTAATAGAGAATTTTAAATTATTAGAGGCTTTCTTCCCTCTTAATCCATTAAAATTATAATTTTTAACAAAAATTAATTTTAATTCCAAATAACCTGTATCATTAATTCTCTACTAGAAGTTGTATAATAAAAATTTAATAACCGCCCATATTTATTCTTTAAAAATTAATATTTTTATTTCAATTAATTTTTAAAAAAAATTGCCTGAAAATATAATTCTAATTCTTCAAAATTAACTGGACATTGTAAATTTAAGGCAGTTCTTTCTTCTAAATATTGAACTTTAACTTTAAGTAATTTATCCTCTCCAATCATTAAACGAATTAAATCATTACGTAAATTTGTAGTATCTTCGCTATTTGTTTGTCTTTCTAATTTTTCTTCTTGGATTGCTTTTAAATATATTTATTGGATTTATTTTTGAAATTTATGAATGTACTTGGAGTAGAAGGGAAGGCGGAGGAAGGAAAGGGAGCGAAGGGGAAAAAATAATAGGTAAGGATTTAGAAGTTTCTATATCCATAATTTTGTGGAAATTATGTTGATAATTAATTCTAAGCAACAAATGTCCATTTATTTATGTTTCCCATTAAATTATCCAAACCAAAAAATCGTTATTTTAAAAAATACGTTTTTCTGTAACTGCCCAAGACAATCTTCTACGAGGCAAAATATTTGGCAAAAGTTCATGACTTCGATTAGTGTTTTCCTGATTTTTATTGGCATTCAAAGAAGATTTTTGTTGATTATTTAAAGTATCATTATTAATATTTTGAGAATTTAATTTTAAATTTATTTGGCTGGCATGACTCATTACTTTTTCGATTAATTAAAAATTTAATTTAAAAATTAATTTTAAAACAATTAATTTAATTATTGATTTAAAGAAAAAATTCTTTAGAATAGGCCTAGTTAAATGTAAGCATTTTCTGTTGTTGAAGAGAGGCGAACTTTGGTTGTGATCCAAAAATACATAAAAATGGCGGGACTGAGATGTCCGTCCTCTACCCCCGGGAATTTTAGATAAGATTAAAAATAGATGAGAAATAGAAAATATGTTCTGCTTTAGTAAATGCTTCACATCAATCACCACACAGACGATTTATCGACCAATTTATATATAATAAATATTATTTCATTTAAACCGATTGACCCGGAAAAAATTTTTTTATAAAAGTATTTAGGTATTCTTAATATTTAATTATAAGTAATTTAATTTTGAACTATAGGTAATTCAACATTATTATACGTAATTCAACTCAAGTTATGTATATGGGTTCCTAACTGTTAGTTTATTTTGCATTTATACATAAACAGATAGTATTTGACCTTTCTTATGTACCTAGTTTCCAGGTTTAGGGCCACGAAGACATCTCTGCATTTTAGACTTACAACTAATTTGTAAGTGAGAGAATATACTGTATATTTAAATTTAAATATATTTAAATTGTTGATTAATTAATTCTAAACCCTCAAATTTGTCCAAACAAAAAATATTTTTATAAACTTTGTTTATTTTATAAAAAAGAACTCTTTCATTTTTTTATTGAGGGAGAGAAGAATAAAACAATACAAAAGAATAAACAAACAACAAAAATAAAATTCAAATAAATTATTTTATGTTTTGGTGGTCATTCAATATATTTATTTCGACTAAAGAATTTTGCAATATAAAAATATAATTAATTATTTAATTGAGAAAAACTGGCTGTGTTTTGTTTAATTTTATTGTGCTGGAAGAGGAGGAGAAAATTTCAATTTTAGTCAGTTTTTGTAAATTAAAAAAAAATATTTTTGGCCTACATAGACTTCCTTCTCTGAATAATTATGTAATAAATTGAGTCATCAACATAGAGACATTTCAATTTTTCAAATCCTCCACTTAAAAACCTCCTCTTAATAAATGTAATTTAGCATCTTTAAAGCATTTAAAAATATTCTTTAAAAATTTTAAAAATATTTTTAAGAATAATATGGTGTTTTTATTGTTTATTCGTCGAATATTTTTACCAAAGAAATTTTATCTTTTATTTTTCTTTCCTTTTCTTGTTGGATTTTTATTTGGCACTTTATTGTTATCTTTAAATCAACAACAATATTCTCGCAGCTTAACACGTTTAAATTATTTTTCACTTCAAAAACAACAAAATAGTTTTAATAAGAAGAAATTAATTTTGGTAAAAATTTTGTTAAAATTTTATTTTTGTCTTTTAAAATCATTCGAGGGGTTTCTCATTTAATCTAACACTAAGCATTTTTTGAGCTACCATAATCCCCTTAACTAGGCCGGAATCGAATCTGTTATTTGCAATTTTTGCTTTTGCCATCTAGTGAAGGTCCAAGGCGACGATCACTCTTTCTCTAATAATAGAAAATAAATTAATAGAAAAGTATTTTCTAAATCAGTAACTAATTATAATATTATAAATAAAAAATATAAAAAGATTAGGTTGGTGTAATGACAGCAAAACAATTTCTCGAAACTCGCGCCTTACAAATTTGGCAAACTTGGGCTAGAAATATTCCTGGTGAAGTTATTTTCTTTGTTTCTGAAGGAACAGAACTGAGCTCTAAAATTAAAAATTCTGGAATGAAAATTATTTCTTTGCGTGGTGTTGATGATTCTTATCCACCTCAAAAGAAGTCATTTGCGATGTTAAGGTTGTAATTATTATTAAATATTTTGTGATTATACCTAGTTATTGTGTGAATATCTAAATTATTCTTACAAGAACCTCAATTATTAGTTACCCTCCTGGGGATGAAAAATTTATCTTGTAATTAGTTCTTAGGTATTGGGTAACTAATTATCGGAGATATATTAAATATTAAAGAAACAAAACTGTTGTAAAAGCTTTTATTTTAAATTATATTATTCTACCAATACATATCTATTAAAATTAAACTTAGGTGGATGTATGATAATCGCTACTCAGATTTTAATTGGTTTTTAAGAGCTGATGATGATCTCTATATTAAAAGCGAAAAATTAGCAAAGTTTCAATTATTAATATTTTAAAATTATTTATTTTTATAGTTTTCTTCATTTATTAGACCCTTCTAAAGTTCTTTTACTTGGCCAGGCAGGTCTGGGCAATGTTGAAGAGTATGGGCAACTTTCACTTGGCACAAATGATAATTATTGTATGGGAGGGCCGGGGGTTATATTATCGAAGGAAACACTCAGGCAATTAGCCCCTTATTTGGAGCAATGTTTAAATTCTTTGTTAACAACACATGAGGATGTTGAATTGGGAAGGTGTATTAGGTAATGATTTCTTTGACTTTTTAAAGCTTAAATAAGCACTCAGACAATTAGCCCTAAAGTTCACTTACTTGGCTTATATGTGGTTAACTATAACAACTAAAAATCAAAAATATATTGGAAAATTGGTAAAAATTAAAATAGTCCTCGTATTAGGAATATACAGGATAGGAATATGACCCAAAATATTGTACGAGAAAAAATGAGGGAACTGTTATGGAATATAATCCTTTTAAATTTTGTTCTAAAATATTTTTTAAGAAGGCATGTTGGCCTAGCATGTCCATGGAATTACGAAATGCAAACGTAAATTATTTTAATTATTTCTTAAATTTAAATTAAATGCTTTCCATAAATAAATTTAAAAAACGTTTTTAATAAAAATAAATTTTAATTTACTAAATAAATTTTTACAGTTTATTTCACAACAATGCATCAATTGCCAATTTATTTACTAATTATTTATCAGCTTCCATTAATTCACATACTTTACGTCATTTATTTACTCTACATCCCGTCAAAAATCCAATAGCAATGAGATATATTCATTTGAGGGTAGAAATGATTAAACTTTCAGAATTACGTCAAAAAAGGATGGAATTAATGGAACAAATAGAGGAAATTAATGGGAAAAATAAAAAGATTGCAGATCAACAACCACAAATTATAAATTCTGAATATTCAGGTGGTTAAATTATTTGGAAAATTTTTTATGGAAAAATGGAAAAATTTTTTTGGGGATTTAAGAGGAATTTTTAGTTATAATCTGTCATTTACTAAAAAATTATATTTATTTAACTTTTATTATTCAATTCCCTTATTTTATTCAGAAAAATACGATAATTTGCTTAATTAAAATTAAAAAAATTTATTTCAAAATTAAAGCTTCTTCAAATCACAACGCTCTTTTCTCTGGATTAATTCCAAAAGTGCCAAATTCCCCAGAGAATGTTCCTATTTGGGAATTTATCTCTTCAGACACAAAACTTTTATTTTGTATTAACAAACCAAATTGCCCCAAACACACAATAGAAGCTGAATTGAGAAGACAAATTTCTGATATATTAATTAAAGTGAATTAATTAATTTTTGTTAGATAAGAAAATTAATTTTATATTTTTAAAGATTTTTGATGAATTTAATTTAAATGCACTCCAAAAAGGAAGAACTTTGCATTTTCAACGAGTTCAGTATGGCTATATGAGAATACAGCCGACATTTGGTGTTGATTTTGTTCTCGATATTGGTTAATAATTTTTTAAATTTATTCAAGAATAAATGAGAAAATATTAAAAAAAATATTTTTACATTTCTATTTTCCCTATCCATAGATTAGAAATTAAATTACAAAAAAAAAAATAATTCTTTATTTAAATATAATTTTCTATTTAAAAGCTTAGCTTTACGTTATCACCGATTACGAGGTCCTTTACACTCTCGTGCTCCTTTAACAGTTCGCCGACATGCTTATGTTCAACAACGTTTTGGCCAACTTCAATCTCGCTCACTAATAATTAAAAGAAAAGGGAAAATTGAAGAAAACCATATAATTAATATTTTAATTGCTTTAAAAGGAAGGGCTGAAGTGTTTGATAGATTTGCAAATAATTTGATAAAAATAGCAAATGGAAGAGGGGAAAATAGTGATATTAGACTTGTTTTAATCCTTTATAGGTAAAACAAATTAATTAAAATTAATTTTTATTTTTTAGTTCACATAATAACGAGGATATTTTAATTAATTCAACAATTAATCGCCTCTCTACTGAAATCCCTGTTCGTTTATTAAAAATGCCCGAAAGGACAGATTTTAACAGAGGTGCTGCCCTTTCTGCTGGAATTGCTCTTTTACCTCCAAATGCTTTGTTATTACTTGCAGATGTTGATATTTTAATTGGGGAAGGGGCATTAGAACGTATTCGATTGAATACTATTTTGGGTAAACAGGTAGTTGAAGAAAGAAATTCTGATATTATTCCAAAAACTCCTCTTCTCCCTTTTTAGGTCTATTTCCCAATAGTCTTCAGCGAATATTCTCCAACTACTTGGAAATTAAATAACGAGGATTTTTATTCCCAACAACGTGGTTATTTTCGTCATTTTGGTTATGGAATTGTTTCTTTATATAAAAAAGATTTTGATTTAATTGGGGGATTTAATCAAACAATTAAAGGATGGGGACTTGAAGATGTTGACTTTTTTGAGAAAGTAATTAAAAGTGGAAATATAATCCCTTTTAGATCTATAGATAATGGTAAATTAAATTGAAAAAATATTTTTAAATTAATTTTTTTAAAGATTTAATTCATATTTTCCATTCAATTGATTGTAATAAAAATAACAAATATCAAAATAAAGCACAAAAGGAAGCTTGTGAAGGAACAAGAGCACAAGGAATTGCTTCTTTGGATTTTTTGGCTGAGCAATTTGGTCCGAATTTATGAAAAATTTATTAGTTTTTAATAATTCCAAACATTTAAATATTTTATCGAGTTTTATTTAAAATTTTAAACATCTTTTTATAATTGCCATAATAATATTTCTAAACATTACTTGCCTATATTTAATTTTATTGCAATAATTAATATTAATAATATTAATTAATATTAATTAATTTGCTCAATTTAATTAATATTAATTTTTAATCTCTCTCTTAATAATTGTTTTATTAATTTACCTATATCATTCCTCTAAAACATGGTTTAAATTAATATTTTAATTAAAGGAATAATTATTTTTAAATTATTTTTGAGAGCAAATTATGTAAAAAACAAATTCCATAAATTTGAATAATTTAAATTAAAAATAAAAAATTTTTATCTCAAAAATATTTAGGAATTAATCTAATTTGTTTTTTTTCTCTTTTATGCTCAATTTAATTAATATTTTAATCTCTTTATTGTTGTAATTTTGATATTTTTGTTATTATTATACCTAATTGGGACGAATTTTTCCAAATTTTGTTTTTTAAATTAGGTATATGTATGTTTTTAATTTTAAATAAAAATTTAAATCCTAAAAAATCAGCAAAATTTTTAGAAAATAATTCAAATATAATAATACTATATATATTCAAGAAATCTCAGTATTTTAAACTCTAAATAAATCTAATATTTTTAAAGAAATTTAAGGACTTTAAAATTAAAAAATATTTTTAAAATAATATATAGGTAGTTGAATATTAAATATACATAAAATGTTTTTCCTCATCATTTTTCAAAATTTAAAATTTTTTATTTTGGGTATTTCTATTAATATTCTCAATATTTAAAAATAATTATTCTTTAATTAACGTCTCGAATTTGCCAAATCATAATATGCTGAAATTTGTTGCCAAGCAGAGGGAAGAGGAGATATTACAGACCTTTTAGAATTTAAATAAATTTTAAAAATATTTTTTACTTTTTTTACCTTTTCTTTCCCCAAAGTCCCGTAGCTGTTTGCCAATTTGAGGAAGGGGGTATGCCAACTGAAGATCTTTTCCCCCATAAAGCGTTTAATTTGTGCCATGAATTTTCTGGTCGTTTGAAGAGAAAAGCCTTTATTTTTGAAAATTAACGGAGAATTTTATAAAATAAAAAGAAATTTATTTAATAAAAAATTCTAAAAATAAATAATTGGTACATGTGTTCATACACCCTACATTTTCATTTTCTTCTCTTGTTTCCTCCTTTTCAAAAATTATAAAATGATCAACGCCAAATAAAGCTAGATTAAATTATAGTATTATCTCCAATAGAACGTCCTTTGGACGATGAATAGATAATTGAATCCTAGCTTTATTTGCCGTTGAACATTTTGTAATTTTTTGGAAAGAGGAGAATAATTTTTAAAATATTTACATTTTCTGTTGGGTTATCCAAAAGCTCATTTGTTCCAGAAGACATTGAACGTTTTCCCCAAAGTCCAACACCATTACTCCACCTAAATAATTAAAATAATATTTTCTTAAATTAAAAACTAACCTTCTCATTTCCTCAACTTTATTATTATTTTCTGCCAAGCAAAAAGTAAAACAATTAATAATTTGCAAAAACATAAGGGGTAACAATAAAAGCAAAGAAACTTTTTTTAATAAATGTTTTTGTTGTTGTAAATTTGTTGTTGGCTTAATTAAATTTTTGGTTGACTGTTTTTTTGTATTTTCAAATATTTTTGGATTTGACATTTTTTATTAAAAAAAAAGTTTAGCTAAATTAAAAAATTTTTGTTTAATTTTTAAATTAGTAATCTATTTTAATGTATAGCGTGTTGTAAAATTTAAACTAAATTTATTTATTTTTAAGATACAAGTCTATACAAATTTTATATACTAGTTTGTATGCCGTGAATTTTTTTGAATACAATAAAATTTTAATTCCTCGTATTATTTATGGCACATTTAAAAATCACAATCCCACGACATTTTCTGTCTAAGTTTTAACCTTATTAGGTTAGGTGATGCTCGGGAGAAGAAAAAACTCCGGTAATTTTAAATTGCGGGCTCTCTCAACCTCAATATACAGAAAAATTTTAAACAATGTATAATCAAAAATAGAGATGAATTTAGTTTTCGAGGTCGACCGTCCCCACAGGCATTACAATTTTACTCATATTTATTTTAATAAAATAAGAAAAAGACCGGAAATATTAAACAAATTTTGTTTAAAATATAAATTCTCAAAATTAAAATTACCAAGAAAAGAAAAAAATTTTGTTGTGAGATATTTTTTATATTTAAGATTTTGAATTTATATGTATTTAAAAATGAAAAAAATAAAGCCAAAATTAGAATAATGAAATGAATATTTTTTAAATATTTTTTTTTTGAAAAGTTGTTGGACTTTTAAAAATTTAAGATTATAAGAAGTAATTAAAAATAATTTATTTATTTCTATTAATTATATTTTAGTAAATTACCAATAACTTAAGTACTTGGAATAATTAAAAAAATAAAATGTGAGAATATTTAAATTATTAAGTACAGAAAAATTTGGGAAAATATTTTAATTTTAGAATAATTATTCAGTCGGGACCGGTCATTATTAAATAAAAATAAAAATAAATAATCACCTCCTTAAGGCATTTTTTAAAAAATTCTTGCTTTAAACACAAAAATCTTTTAAAAAAAGTACTTTTGTCTTTGTTTAAAGGTTAATTGGGAAATTTATTTAGAAAAGAATAGAAAGGGGATTTTAAAGGATTTATTTAAATTTAAATAAATATAATTGAGGAAATTTTTTTTAAATTTAATTTTAAATTGTTTTAAAAACTGGAAATAATATATTTATAGAAATAAACAAAAAAATGAAAGAATAATCAGAAAAGAATACTTAATTAGTGTCCATTTATTATTGTTACATTAAATGGTCATAAAAGACCGGATATTTGAAAAAATAAATGATGTTTTGAATAAATCTTTAAAAAATTGTTTTTTTATCAGAAAAGAATATTGGATTGATAAATATTTAATGTATTTTTTGTTTTAAAAATTTAATTAATTATTGTTAGTAATTTATTAAATTTTTTAAGTTTACTGTCTTAGAAAATATGTCCAAATTTATTTCATACTCCCACACAAGACTGTTCAGATTTTTTTTCACAACTAACTCTTTAAATCTTCTAATATATAGGTATTTAATTAGGTAGGTATTCAAACAACTTAATTTTTAAATATGAAAAATTTTTAGTTTTCTTAGTTTATAACGAGCTGTTTCGAATAACTTTTAGAAAATCTAAAATCGAATTTATAATAAAAAATAAAAAGTTTAAAAAATTGAATATCAACATTTGTAAAAGAAAATAAAAATAAATCCGGAATTTCTTTGCGTGCCCTTGCACTATTAATTTTGAAAAGGAATATGTATATGCTAAAATTAATTAGATTTTAATTAAAAATAAGAAAAAATTTTTATTTTTGAAAAAAGTAAAAAAGTAAAAAAATGTTTTTTAATCATAGTAAAAAAATTTGGCTCTTGTCCAGTTTATGCGTCCCATGAAAGTATATGCGTCCCATCAACAAAAAATTGAATTTTTCTTGGTGTTGCAAAGTTGAGGCATGGTTCCAAAGCATTTCTTCATGTTCGGGATCTACGTTCACTGGTTCTGGGACCGTTCCTTACCCTATACCTCGAAATTTCTGAAAGTTAAAATCGTTTTTCTGAAATTTTTAAAAATTGGCTATAACTTTCAGGAATTTCGAAGGATAGGGTAAGGAACGGTCCCAGACCCTGTGGACGTAGATCCCGAACATGAAGAAATGCTTTGGAACCATACCCCTACTTTGCAACACCAAGAAATATCCAATTTTTTGTTGATGGGACGCATATACTTTCATGGGACGCATAAACTGGACAAGAGCCAAAAATTTTTACTCCTTAATAGGGTTGTTGGTTCGAAAACTAACGAACCGAAAAACGATGATTTTTCAGTTCGGGTTCGAATTTCCAAAAAGTGGCTTCCACGACTTCAGAAATTCTCAAGAATAGAGGGTGATAGAGGGGTGGATTGGTGTGGGATTAAAAAAATGTTGGTAATTAAGTGATATCTATTTTAAATAAGCTTATTTCTAAGCTTAATTTCTTAAATTTAAATATTATTTTACATTAATTTCAGAATATATCTCAAATGTGAAAAGAAAAAAATTTTTATAAGGATTACTTTTCTAGAAATAATATAGAATATATTATAACTTTTTCGATACGAATTTCAATAAAATTAAAGATACAAAAATATGAAAAAATTAAAAATCTCAACTAATTATTTATCTGCAATAATTTAAAAATTCTACGTGTAAATAAATTAATTTGGCATTTAAAAAACTTTACTTTTTTTAATCTTTTAAAACCAAAAATATTTAAATGTTACGTTATTTAAAGCATTTAAATAAAAATAAAAAGATTAAAAAGAAATATTCGAAAACAACCTTTTCCCTTTAATTTTCTCATATTTATCTATCCTCAATTACTTGACCAAATTCTCAAGAGAATAAAGAATTTACTTTGCAAAAATGTTTTTTACTAAATAAATATTTTCTTTGTAAAGAATTGCCAAAGCAATAAATATATTTTGTGTATTGAGATAATAAATTAAAAATAAAAACAAAACAAAATTAAATATTTTACAAAAAAGTATCCAAAATAAGAGGATATTCTAAATTCTTTAATGACGCCATAATGGGAAAAACAAAAAAAAACTTTTCATCTTTTGTCTCGAGAGGGAAGTACTTTTTACTAAAATAGAGCTGGTTATTTAGCCTCTTCAAAAAATTGTTTTTTCTTTAAAAGTGTGGGGGAGTGTGTAAATAGGGAAGTAAATAATAAAAGATTATTTATTTTTTTATTTATGCAACATTATTATTTCGTTATTTGCAACTTTTATTAGCTGCGTGAGAAAAAAATACTTATGTAACTAAAAAATAAACAAAAACAATTTTAAAATAAAATAAAGAAATGAAAAAAAATTTTAAAAATAAAGAAAACTAATTTATTAAAAATATAGATACCCATATGCAGTGGTTGGAATTTTGAAATTTACTCGTACTCATACTATCGTACAGAGGTACGAATATGAATTTTGGTACGAGCTTCCAAATACTGCACATATGTATATTTACTACTATAAATTTATATTCGATATCCACAAAAGAAAATTTTCAAAATTAAAAAAAATATTATTCATTTTGAAAGCTAAGTATTTAGTATTAAGGCTAAAATATTCTAGTGATATAAAAGAAATACATATATTGTTTTCTTTCATTTGTATATACCATTCAAATCTACAAAAAACTTCCTGTCTATGTAGCCTTTATTATTTAATAATAATTATTATTAAAAAGGCCAAAGTCTTAATAAAAAAACAATGGATCAGATAAAAATATTCAAAGCAATATTTGGTAGTGATGACGTCCAACTCTATTGGTTTCGATTTTTTGAGATTTTTAGAAAATATTAATAAACTAAGTAAAGTTAAAATAAATAAAAAATAGGTAATACAAAATTTTATTTATACCAGTAAAATAATATTTTTTCGATAAACACATGAGGAAATAAAAAGCCAAATATGTATTTTCTGTAAAAATACTTCCAAAAACATTACCTAATACACATATTAAATACCTAATTTATTTTTAATAATTAAAAAATAAGGAAAATAAATATTTAAAAAATTGCCAAATAATTTTTAAATTAATTATTACTAAATTTGGTGAATTAAAAAACGAATTAAATATAAAATATTAAAAAAATAAATTATTTAAGAAAACACTCCTTTTTTAATATTAATTCTATTTTAAGAAATTTGTTTTTTTTTCTCAGTAAAAATTGCAAAAATTAAATAATTTAATTTAATAAAAAATAAAAATTTAAATTAAATTTATATATTAAAATTTTTTTAAATAAATATATAATTAAATTAATTTGATCATATATATTTTATAAACCAAACCAAAAAAGGTTTGGTTTATAAAGAACCGAAACAAAAAAATATTTTAATTAAATTTAAAAAATATTTATTTCTATTTTTATTTTTATTTTAGTTCATAAATTGTTTAAATATTTTTTAGAAAAAAATAATATTTTTAATTAGATAGAGAATTTTCAGGCAATTTTTGGTTTATAATGTAATATCCTTAATGAAAAGCCTAAAATTAAAAATAAAATTAAAATAATATTTGGATATCAAAATATTAAATTGAAAATTGGAAGAAAAAAAAAAGATGAAAAAAATATTTTTATATTTTAAACAATTAATTTTCTAAAATAAAAAAAAACACAAACAAAAAGAATACAAAATATTTGCTGTGATTTTTAATCAGACATTGTTCTCCAAAAAAGGAAGTAAAGAATAAAATGAATATATTTTTTATATATTTTTTATCTCCCAAGAGGAAAATTTTTTCAAAATTTTTTTTTCAATTATTTTTGAAAAGATTAATTTGAAAAAAAAACGTCATTAAAAAATAAAAAATAATAAAATATTTTTTTTCTATTAGTAACTCTGATAACAAAGAAAATTCCAAGAATGGAAACAATTACTAAAAAAAGGGGGAAAGAGTGTTAATTTAAAAATTAGTGAAGCGTTAATTAAGAATATTTAAATTAATTATATTAAATGTGTATTTAGTTGGTAATCCTTTTGTTTTTAATAAAAAGTGGTCAAAAAATTAAGAAAAAATTAAAAATTATGAGAATATTCTGTTTGAATTTAATTATTGAAATTATTTTTATTTGAGAACAATTGTGATAGTTTTAAAGAAATAAAAGCGTATTGGAAGTGCATATGTACCAGAGTTGACGCCCGAAACCCGAAACCCGGCATTTTTTTAAGCCTGAAACCCGGCACCCGAAAAGAAAACGCTCCAACCCGATACCTGTACCCAAAGATTTTTTGTACCCGTGGCAACACTAATATGTACTAAATTTAAAAAAAACTTGAATCAATTTTTATTAAAACAACAAAATTTGGGAAGATAAATTTGAGATAAAGCAGAAAAACAAAAAAATAATTAAATATAAAATTTTAAAGATAAGAATTTTAAAAAAATTTAAATAAATCGGAACTAGGAGAGGGAGTAAAATAGATGTAAATTGAAGGTTTTTCATTAGATTGTCGTCCCAAGAGGTTTTGATTGATGTGCGTGTATATCTAGCTATTTCTAAATTAAAAGAACAATGGCAAGCACAAATAAAGATTTCTAATAAAAAAAGAAGTCTAGAAAGAATATATAAGAGTAAATTTTAAAATAATTTAAATAAAGCTTTGTTTTTTAAATGTTGATGTAACCCCCCCCCCCCTCCAGTCTGTTTTTCAAAATTCTAAGCTATAATTTACAAAAGACAAATAAATTAAAAAGAAACAAAATAAGTTTTTTAATTATTATAAATTTGAAATAAGTCATTCGGGGATAAATGAGAGATTATTGTATGAATATGATTAAAGCGTATTAAGTATTATTAAGCGTATTAAAGCGTATATTCCTCTAAAATAATAACCAATAACTAATAATTAATAATATTTATTTTATTTTTATTTAAAAGGCAATACATAGTAGAATAAACAGAAAATTTTGAATTAAAATTTTGGTGTTTCTTCCAATTGGAATATTTTTGTTTTTAAATTAAGCACAAATAAACATATTTATTTATTTAATAAAAAAGTAAATGAATTTAAAAAAAATATTTGTAATTCACTAATATTCTTTCATTTAGTCCTTTTATTTTTTTAAATTACCGGAAATGTAACAAAGATAACAAAAAGCACATGTTGTACTTTATTAGCATAATCTACCAGAAAAAAGTCTCTCTTGAGAGATGAAAAATTAAAATGTGAGTAAATAAATGACGTTAAAAAATAACAATTAATTTAAAAAGTTAATATTTTATATTTTAATTAAATATTTAATTTTAAATGAAACAAAAAATTTTAGAGTGACTGGAAACAAATAATATTGGAAAATTTGAATAAATAGTAAATGACGTTAAAAATAATTTAAAAATTTAATAGGTCGACCTTACCTTTTAGATACTTTCCTGTGGACCTTATAATGGAGGGGAGGGGGGGGGTTAATATTAATTAGAAGTACTGCTTAGGCAGCAGCTTTCCTCATCAAAACAACGTCTATACAATACTTAAACATTTCTATTGCACTATTCAGATAAATACTAGTAAATTATTAGAAGATTATTATTTGTGTGATTATTTTCAGTAAGATTATTAATACCATAACTTTTAGCCGGTCAAAATTTTTGAAACCGAAAAGATTTGGAGGCTTTAGTGGAGTTAAAGTGGAGGGATATTAGTATATAATGGGATTTTATCATGGAGACTCGTGATTAATCCACCGATATCCCTCTAAATCCATTATATCTGCCTTAATCATCTGATATCATTGCCCTCCAATCGAAGGGGTTCGAATAAATATCAGGTGATTTAGGGTGGTTGGAGGTCTTTCTCAACAATTTATCTTAATCTTATCCAATGAATACTTGAATCTCTTTCAGATCACTTTATCCCTCTTTAGTCCCTAATATTAAGGATGGTTATCTTTTAATATCTCCCCATCCTCCTAAATTTATTCCTTGATATCCCTCTCAATACCCAGATACTCCTCCTAATCTCCAAATTCCCTGATATCGCTTTTAATCACCCAAATCCTATAATATCCCTTTAATCTCTTGAAATTTGCCTCTCTCAATATCACCCAAAATCGAATTTTGCAGGTTAACTTGCCTCCTTACAATTTAGTTCACCAATTTGGAATAAAAGTTATTTGTTGACATTTTATTTTGTGGCATTTTGTCGTCTGGCATTTCCTATTTCCGACTTTCGAAAATTTAGACTCATTTACGATTTCCGATAGTTCCGATTTCCGACACCTTCGTCATTTCCGACCGGTCTCTGCTTACAACCAATCTGCTTATATCCAAGAAGGAATTATTTAATGCTTAAAATTTTAAATAATTTTATTTTTAACAAAATTGAAGGAAATAATTTTGTTTGGAAACGTTTATATTTGTATGTTTTATTAAATTTTTAATTAATTAATTAATTTTTAAAGGACTAAACAAAATGTTTCTGGGGGTAAACGAAATTTTGAGGTTATTTTTAATTGAAAAATAATTTTTAATTAATTAAAAATCTTTTTTAGTTAAAATTGGAGGAACTTAAAAATTGTGTTAATTCAATTCCTTTGGCAGAAGGCTTTGATTTAAGTTTGTTTTTAAAAATTTTTCTTTAATTAATTTTTATTTTTTTAATAGATACTTTACAAAATAATGAATTATTTACTAAACAATTTAATTTAAATAGAATTTCACGTAAGTATTTTTAATTTCGGCAAATTTAATTCTAATTTAATTAGCCCGCATTTAAAGCCCTATTAAAGAGGATTAATTGGGGGGGGGGGGGGAGGGGAGTGGTTGGTTCGAATTTTAATTTTTTAATTGATTTTCTCTGTTTTTCTGGAATATTTTCCGAAGAGAATCTTCACCTTAACTCAATCCGATTTTTCTAATTCCGGAATCAATTTTTAATAGACATTAACGGGACCCCGTAACGGGATTTTTTTTCAAAATTTTTTACGGGACATCCCGCGGGATTAGTCCCGTAAATCTCGTAATCCCGACAATCCCCTTCGTCGCTTAAAAAAAAGGGATTTTGGGACAGAGGCCTTTCCCGTGCCGACCTTTAATTTTTAATCAAAAGATTTTTAATTTTTCAGCAGAAACAGATTCTGTCGCTATTTGTTTTCAAAATATCGACAAAAATAATCAAAAACAAGATTCAAATGAAATAAAAGAATTTTATATTTTCTCTGAAGGAGTTGTTACTTTTTGGAATATTGAGTTGGGTTTTTTTTTAATTTTTTAAAAATTAATTTTTATTTATTTTTGGTCGGGACAAACAAAAGAATATCATTAAAAATCTTCAAGCACACCAATTAAAACCATTAAATGAGAAAATGTCTCAGGCTGAAGAGGAAATTATGAAAATTGAATTTACAAAGTAAAAAAAATTTTTCTTAATTATTTTTTTTGAAAATCTAACAAGGAACCATATCGAACTGTCACCAAAAATTTTGTAATTATTTTTATGTAGAGCAGGGTCGAGTTCCCATTGCCAGTTTTTTTTCTTCTTCGGCCTTACTCCCCAAATCGGAAAGTGGCAATGGGAAATCGACCCTGCCAAAGAATTCTTTTTTCATACCTACACGATTTGGTGACAGTTCGATAAGGTTCCTTGTAAGAAGATTTTTAAATATTTTTTCTGAAAAAAATTAATTTTCAATTTTCTTTTAAAAATTTTTTAGAAATACTTCCAATGCCAGTGACGACACAATTTATTTAAACAATGATGTAAATATTAATTGTAGTTTAATTGATGGAATCTATATTTCTTATAATAATTTGGAACGTTTTGCATTTTCTCATGCTTTAGCTGCTTCTGTAGGGAATTTAATTTTTTAAATTATAAAAAAGATTTATTTACCAAGGGCGTAGCCATTTCAGGGGGAGCTATAGCCCCAGAAGCCCCCCTGTCTACACCTTTCTTATTTATTCTCAATTTTGAATAATTTGTGAGCACGGACGTGTCCAGGGTTGAATTTTTAGGGGGTATAATGAGGGGTACTTTAAACCTTTAGCCGTTTGGCATTCCAAAAGAAAAAATGGATATGCCCTTGTAATTTAGTGTAATTTTACTTTTTATTTTCCTCTAAAAAAATTTTTTTAAATTTAATTTTAAAGGTTAGAATGGGTATTTGGGAACGAGAACTAGACAGGCTAAATGATGAATTGGAACAATGTATTGACCAACTCAAAGAAGGTAAATTAATTTGGAAAGCATCCAAAGCAAGACAAACTATTGGAAAAATTGCTAGTATTAGGTTAATTTTTTAATTCGAAAAAATATTTAAATTTATTTTTTTAGACATTCTGTGAATTCTTCTGAATTGCTTAATAAAGACATTTATTGGTATTTTTTTAATTGAAAATTTTTTTAATAAAATTGACAAAAATGGGGGATTTCTCGATTTCTTTTTAAAGAATTTCTTTTTTAAAGGGATTTACTTGATATAGAGCGTGTATACGAATCTCTTGCAAAACAACTTAAACTTGCAAGTCGTCAACGAGATTTAAACAAAAGAATAGATTATTGTGAATATTTTGTAAAAACAATACATGAGATGCTCGACCAAAAACATGTAAAAAATTAATTTTAAACGTGTGTTTCCTCTTCAAGAGGAAAATTTAATTTTTGGGAAATATTAGAATATTTTAAGGAAAATTTTTTTAATTATTTAATTTTTATATTTCTTTTTTCAGTCACATCGATTGGAATGGATTATCATTATTTTAATTTTTGTTGAAATTTTAATTAATTTACCAAAAATAATGGGAATATTTTCTTTCGAATCAAAAAAGGAAGAAAAGTGACGATTTTGTTGATTTTAAAAATTTATTTTAAACAATTACAAAATTAAACAATTTATATATAAATTATTTGTTTGAAGGTTGCCGGTCCGGTCCGAAAGATCGAGTCGGGTATCAAATTTTGGCCCGAAAAAGACTCGGTCGGGCCGGCCCGAGAAAAATGATCGAACGTCAGCCCGACTCGGAAACGGCAACCCTAATATAATGAGTATTTTATAAATTTATCAGAGGTATTTAAATATATATTTATATATACTATTTATCACAAAATTTTTGTAACAATTTTTTTGAAAACAATGCCGCTAAATAAATATTCTTTGTTTTAAAATTAAAATGTATAGGGATGAAATTGATGTAAAAACTCGTCAATCTCAAATGTTTTGACAACATTTACTAAAGAAAAATTGTTGCAAATTTCCAAAGATAATTTCTAAAAAATAAAAATATTTAAAAATTCACTGTGGTGCAAAAGTTTATGCACGTTTGATAAAAAATTTAATACAGTATAACTTTGGAAGTCTTTAAGTCTGAATTTGAAAAAATTGTCAAATTATCATTATTTTTTATAAAAATTTGGATTTATTAGAAAGAGCATACTCTCGTCTATCAACCAAAAAAAGAAATGGACTTCTAATTTAAAGAGTTCCAAAGTTTAAATATTAAAAAAATTTTTATCAAGTGCATAAATTTTGCACGGCATTGTAATGCCAAAAAAAATAATTTTTAATTAAATTTAAATTTTACCTGATAAAAATGAAAATAATTAATAATTGTGCAATATCTAATACTTAAATCCTCTGATTTTGTACTATTATTTTTACATAAAATATAAAGTTCTTCAAATATTTGTTTTCTTATTTTTAAAATACTTGAACGTTCTTCATCATTTAAATTTTCAATTTCTTTAAAAAAATAAATAAAAATTATTTTTTTAAATAAAATTACTATCATTCCAAAAAAGCAATCCAAGAAGACCAGCAAATTCTAATTCTGTTAGACAAAGTTTTGACATTGAATTTTTAATTATAATTGAATATCGAAATGTTGGAGCAAATATTTGTGCAATACTTTCTGGGTCAGTTAAGCATTGCTCTACATTGAAGAAGCTAAAAATATTTTTAGTTTAATCGTTAAAATATCCGTTTTTTGTTGTATTTTTCCTTATCCAAAAAGGAGGCTTCTCTTTACCTATCAATCATAATGATTAAAAAAAGCCAAAATAAAAGGAGAATGCATTAGCCAAGGCCAACTGGCCATAAGTTTATTAATCTTGTATCTTCAGGATTAGGAAAACATTTTGACGAAATAAACGAAGAATTATTGTACCCATCCCAGAAATATTTTCCCGTTCACTTATTTCGTTTTGATTGACAAAAAATCTCTGCTTTTGTAAAGGAAATACTTTACATTTTAAAGGGAAAACTGTCCTTATAACAAAAAATTGGGGTCAATAAATATACTATTTATCTAAAAATTATTTACTGTTGAAGCTGTCGAACATCAAAAAATGTTTTTCCTGGGGTAGATATCAATCTTGTATCCTCAGGATTAGGAAAACATTTTGACGAAATAAATGATCTATAAGCCAAAACAAATGGAAAGAAAAAATTTCTTAACATTGTCCATCTTGTATCAGAATTAAAATTATTTGAATTTAATAATCGAAAGAAATGCTCTTCAATCTATTTGAATAAAATTATTTTTAAAGTTTAAATATATTTATTACCATTTCTGAAACAGAAAATGATTCTGCTTTAATTGAATCTACATTTTCTGTATAATTTCCTTCATTCATCATCTTAAAATTAAATATTCTAATTTTATGGTACTTATCGGCTATACGTCCACAAACCGAGTGTCAGCGAATTTCATCTGTTTTAACTTTTATGCTTGATCCAATTCAAAAAAATCTTATACATATATTCGAAAGTCCTCGATAAGAGGAATCTTTTTTCCAGCTTATGTCTGATCACTAGTTAAAAAGCTATAACCCGATAAAAGTAAAAAACGCCTAATTAGACATTGTGGTATAACTTTTAAATGAGTGATCAGACTTGATCTATACTATAGAAAAATGTACCGCTTATCGAGTGCTTTCGAATGATATAAGATTTATTTGAATTGGATCAATCTCAAAAAAGTTATAGCCAATCAATGTCTGGTGGCACTCAGTTGTGGGCGTATAACATATAAGCTCCGATTTTATTTAATTTTAAAAACAAACAATTTCTTTTTCGCCCTCATTTTCATCTTTTTTGTAAGAATAATTTTTGTTTTCTAATTTTAAATATCCTTTAAGCATCTCATTAAGTGAAGGGTAATAATTAGTAGATTTGTCTAAAGAATAATTATCAGAAGGGGAGCAACAAGTATTTAATATATTAATGTAGGAAGTAGAAGTTGGGTTATTATATAACCAGGATTCTGATGTTTGTGGTGTAATCATGGAAAGAATATTTGAAGAAGGGGAGTGCTAAAAAATAATTTAAAAATAATTAAATTTTCTCCCTTTATCCCCTTACATTTGTATGTCCATTAGCACTTCCAGGATTTAACGGAGAAGAAAAAACAGAAGAAGTAGCAGAAACATTTCCACTATCTAAAGTTGTTGTTGTTGTTGTTATATCTGTTGGTGATGATTGTTGTTGTTTTTGTATTGGTGAAAAAGCTGAGGGTAATGCTTGTAATAATGTATCAGTAAAAGAATTTTTGTTTTTATTTTCTATTAAATAAGAATTATCATTATTTAATTGGCCATTTAAAAGTGTATAAGAACGGCCATTTTCTTCAATTAATTTATTATTTAATTGTAATTGCATTGCATTCATTATATTAATTGGTGTTAATAAAGAAGAATTTGTTGTGAAATTATTATTTTCTTCATTTTTAATTTGTTGTTTTTTAATTATTTTGTTGCTGCCGTTATTCTTCCCTTTTTCTGTTGGCATTTTTCTTGGTCCTAATTGATCTCTATGTTTTTGTACGGCTAAATAATAAGAATAATCTTTATAAAAATTTTTAGAAAAACCATTTGGATCCATGCCTAATGAAATACATCGAGCAAATCGACAAGCACGACAAGAACAACGCACTTCTGCAATAAAGAGTAATATTAATTTAAGCAATACATACAAGTTTTATTGAAAGTTTTTTTTCTAATGTACTAAAATACAATAATCTATGATTCTACGTATAGAACATCTTGAAATTTAAATCTGTTTTGAGAAACTGCGGGTATATCCGCGGGCAGATACGAAATGAAATTGAGAGCGATATAAATAGAAATGGATATACTCTGTGGATACTAAAATCTATAACTGTAACTATGCCTAAAACTAAAACAATTGCTAGTCAACAAGAAATATTTAATTAGAATATTTGAAGATATTTTATAATTTTTAAAAATAAATTATTTATTTTCCAATCACCTCTAAAATTAATTTGACAATTTCCACTATAACGACATTGATAAACTCGCTTAGCAATTGTTGAACGTCTAAAGAATGCAGCACAAGCTCTACAAACCATAACCCCAAAATGTAATCCCTGTGCCTGATCAGAACAAACAGCACACCGAGTATCTTCCTCCCCTTCGTTATATAGTTGTTTTTCTTGAGTCTCTGTCATTGAAATATTTTTTGTTTGAAATTTTCTGAAAATAAAATTTTTATTAAAATGTTTGTATGCATATTTAGATATTTAAATAATTTACTAAAAAATAAAAAAATTCTTTAAAGAAAATATGATAGGCGGAAAATTAAAATAATATTAAAAATACAAGGTGTTTTTATTAATATTTCTAAAAGTTTAGTTTTTTATTCTTGTCAGAGGTGGGTCGGAACAGTCAGAGATGTCGGAAATCGGAACTGTCGGAAATCGGAAATGGCTCAAAAGTCGGAACTCGGAAATCGGAAATCAAAATTTTTTTTCGGAAATCGGAAATCGGAAGGAAAAAAACGCCGGAAATCGGAAATCGGAAGGCGGAAATCGGAAATAAAATTTTTATTTTCATAGCTGAAATTTATTTAAAATTGTAAGGTGGTAAATTATGGGCCTTCTTAAGTGTAATTTGAGGGTGTGAAAGTTTTTTTTGCAACTCAAAAGTCAAATTCGAAGGGATTAAGAGAGATATTGTGGGATTTGGTAGATTAGACGGGATATCAGAGAATTTATAGAATTAATAGGGATATTTGGAGTTTAAAATTGAGGACTGATAGAGCCTATGACCCCTCGTAATCACACGATATAACTCAAAGTCCACATTAATATAACCTAATCCTCCGATATACTATTCAACTTCCATTTACAGCGCCGCAGGCAAAAATTTTGGGATTTTTGGGAGCCTTAAGCCAAAAATCTTCCATTTTTTGCGCCGCAGGCGAAAATTTTGAGAATTTTGGAGGTCTTTAAGTTAGATTTCTTCGAATTTTTGCGCCGCAGGCGAAAATTTTGAGAATTTTGGAAAAATCTCTAGTCGGAAATATGCTTCAAAAATTCTCGGAAATCGGAAATTTTTCCAAAATTTCGGAAATCGGAAATCGGAAGGAAAAAAACGTCGGAAATCGGAAGTCGGAAATCGGAATTCCGACCCACCTCTGATTCTTGTTTCAAAACTTTATAAATTAAAAATTAATATTTAAAAATAAAATTAATATTTAAATTTTATTTTTATAAAAAGAGCAAAGGTTTTGACGATACAAATATTTATTATTTAAATTTACTTAACTGTTTTTATTTACAAGAGAGGCATATTTGAGGGCCCGGAATTTTGGGTATAATTTTTATTAAATTAAACAAAAATTAAATGGAAATAGAAAGAATTTACAAAGGATTTAATTAATTCAATAATTATCCACAAAATGAAACAGAATTATTATGAAAAAATATAAAAACAATTAAAACAGAATTAAAGAAAAAAGCAGTTATAGAGCCTAAAAACTAAGAAATTTGACCAGAAAAATTTCTTAGTTTTTTGTATAATAAATTCAGAAGATGTTTCGATATTCTCAAAAATTGAGTAGATGTTATTTTATTATTATCTTATATCACAAATCAGATACTAAAAAATGGATAGTAAAGAACAAGAAATTATTTTCCAAAATCTATACTTTTTAATTTTTTCTTTCTATGATAAAAAAGTGAAACATTAAAATAAATATAACAGTTAAATACCTAAATAAAATATGTATACATATAAAATATTAAGAAAACGAAAATGTGAAAAAAAAATAAGATAAATTTATGGTAACATACATGAAAGGCCTTTTTCATAACCGAATTATTAATTTGAAGAGAAATTAATTAAATGTTATTGGCTAATTTTTAAATTATTTAAAATATAAAAATTAATCGAATAAAATTTAAAAAATATTTTAAGAAATATTTTATTGATTTAATTTTTAGTTAAGTCACATGCCCAATATTCTAGTTGTTTGTCCTCTGTCCAAAAAAACAAAATTTTAGTTAATTAGAAGGAGAGAGGAGGACTTAAATTAATTTAGTATTTTATAGATAGAAGATAATGTCCCCCTTTTAATATTAATTTATCAAAATCAAAGAAAATATTTTATTTTAACCACAATAATTATAGTTTGTTTAAACTACATTTTATAAGGAATAAAAGATAAGAAATGTATGGACTTAAAAATATATTTTTGTAGTTTGTTAAGATTCAAATATTTTTAGCTTAGAAAATTTTTGATAACTAATTTACGTAGTAAATATTTAAATTTGTACGTACATATTTCTGAGACAATAAAATAAAGAAAGAATGAGGAAAATTAAAGAAGTTAAAATTAAGTAAAAAATATGAAAAAATGTTTAAGCATAAATAAAATCTACATATCTGCTTAACTTTTTTAGTTAATAAGGGGAATAAGAATTATTACTTGATTTAAGGATAAAATGGAAAGTTACTTAATATTATTGAATGCTAAAATAAAATAATCTTGAAAAAATAAAGAGAATATTCCAAATATTGTGATTGGAGAAGAAAAGCGAGAAAAACATGTAAACCCTCTTTTTGTAATTCAACAAAAATTTTTTGTTTCTTATCTCATAAAAACAAAACTTTTTTGGGGAAAAGTGAATAAATTAAACAAATAAAAATATAAAATTTGGCAAAAGAAATAAATTATAGAAAAAAAATTTTTTTTTATTTACTCTTTCCTGCCCTCCCTCTCCTCTCTCCCCCTCCACCTAAACATACACTTACCTATATGAGGGAAATCGATTTTAACGATAATCAATTTTAACTGGCGATGTTAACTTTCTTTTTTTTAATTTTGTTTAAAAAACGTCAAAAAGTTTATAAAATTATAATTAAAAATATTGAAACATTTGGTAAAAAAATAAATTAAAATTAAATATTTAAATTTTGAATGAGAAAGGTTGTTTTGATTTTCAGTTCATCAAAACTTTTAAAATTATAAAAAAATATGATTTAATATTAACTTAAAAAGTAACATTGGGAATATAAAAAATTGAGACAGTAAATTTAACAAGCAGCTGTAAACTATTTAAACATTTTTATTATTTTATTAGACTTCTTTATCTAATCTAGAATTCGAGTTCGGCATTAGATTTTTCTTTCCCATTTCTTATCAAAAATACCAGCCGGCGTTCCGAACGGTTAGATAATATTAACTATTAATTTCTATCTAAAGAAAATTTTAAAATAATTGGGGGAAAGGAATAGGTAAATATTTTCTTTTATTGTTTTAAGTAAAGGGTTTGTTGCTAACTATAAATTTGTACTAATTTAAAAATTATTAATGTTGCCATGGTTCTTGAAAGTTATAAAATTGCCTTTTTTGTAGTGAAAAGTTAAATGAATGTTTCGAAAGAAGTGAATGAGAAGAAGAAAAAAAGAATAAATTTAAAACGAAAATTAATTTTTGAGTTTATTAGAAAAAGTTTTAAATTATTTAAATAATTTTATTCTTAAATGTGGGTAAAACCCGTAACAAAAGTTTTACAAAACAAAATAAAAAGTAAAATTATAATTTATGTCAAATGTAAATAATTAATTGAGCTTTAGTCTTTCTTCTCAAAATTTATATTTAATTAAAATAAATTCATTTATTGCTTTGAAATTGTTTGTTGAAACTAAAAAAATAATAATATTTTTAATTTTAATTTATTTAATATTTACATAATAATGCTTAGCCTAAGTTGGGATTTTTGGGGTTTGGTAAGTTAAAAAGATTGGGTCGAAAATCTCTATTTAATCCCAACCTAATTCAGAACGACTTAATTTATTGGGATTCTGGGCCGAGTTCTCAGGTAACCCTATTTAATCCCGTTGGACTCTACTTAGTCTAGTTTACACAATAAGCACCCATTTATTTAATAATTTGAACTCAATAAATGTAAATATTAAACAAAGAATTAAAATAAACAATTGTTTCGAATAAATTATTTAAAACAAAAAACCACAAAAAAGAAAAGCTATTATTTATTATAAAAGTTTTTTAATGTTTATTTCCGATAATTATTAATTTAAATTATAAATTAATTAATTTAATTTTATTAAAAATTCTTTAAAATTTAAATTACCAAATATTCACCTTTAATTCCTCTTCCACAGTTTTTGGCCCAATTCCAAAAGGGAATAACAATTTTTCATTTCCAGCTTCTTTGTTTAAAGATTGTGATAATTGAAATAAACTAGAAGATTCTAAACTGGAAGTAGGCATTCCAGAAGAAGCTAAAAGGGCTTGAGTAATTGTTTGTGGTGTAAAAAATTGGCTTAAATCGAAAGGTTTTTGTTGTTTAATTGGATTTGGTTTGGAAATATTTGTGGAGTAATCAAATGAATCTTTTGGGCCTGTTAAAATTAAAATTAATTTTATTAAATAAAAATGAATTTTTACATGTCGATTCTTTAGATTTTTGATCCTTTTGTAATTTATGGTCCTCAATGTCGGCATCTGAACTTCCACCATTAATTAAATTTAAATCATTTTTAATTGGTTGATTAATTTCATTATTGTTTTGTTGCTTTACTTCCGTGCAATTCTCTTTCAAAATTTGTTTATTTTCCTTCCTTTCAACAGATTTTACATTTGTATTTTCTTCTTCTTCTTCTTCATTTTCAGGCCCACTTTCATTCAAATTTTCTAAAATATTTTTAAAATTAATTTAATTAAAATGTAATTTAACCTTGTTGAAGGATAACATAATTACATCTACCATTATTTTGAGAGTGAGAATTATCCTCTCGTTGAATATGTTGCTGCATTATTGCCTGAACTTCTCTTGTTTTCTTTCTAATAAAATAAAAAATATTGGAAAATATTGTCTAAATTTATAATTTAAAGGCAAATTTACCTCAATTTGGCACGTCTATTTTTAAACCAAACTTCTACTCTTTCTTCGCGCAACTCACATTGGTCTGCCAAACGTTCTCGGACACCAACATCTTTTAAATAAATTTTTATATTTGATTTTTTTTTGTTAATTTACCCGGATATTGTGTCATAGAAAAAGCACTTTCAAGCATCAAAAGTTGATCTTCTGTAAAGATTGTTCGATGTCTTCGTTTACGTCTTGTATTACAATTATTATTATTTCCTCCTCCACTTCCTTCTTCGCCTCCTCCAAAAGAACTTCCACCACTATTATCAAAATGTCGATGAATTGAAGAATTATTTTGTGAATTTGACAAAGGGGAAGAAAGACCTCCTCCTATTGAGCTTACAGATGGAGCAGAAATTAATGAAGAATTATCATTTTTTGAATTATTTAAATTATTTTTCTGATGATTTTTTTCTTTATTTTCATTTATTTTTTGTTCTGCCAAATTAAATCCATTAGAACTCGAAACATTTGGAGGTGCAAATATAAGAGGTGGTGGTGGAGGTGGATGAAAACCTAATAAATAAATAAATTATTTAAATTAGAAACTTAGTTAAAACTTGAGCACATTATTAACTTTTAATTTATTTTTCAGTCAAAAATTTATTCCAAACAAGTTTTACCCTCATTTTTCTTTAAATTTACTATAGTAAATATATTTAATTCGGAAATTCACTGATCCAAGCAAAATCGCTTGATTGGCTGATTGACTTTAAATGCGCAAAAACTTTAGTTACTAAATATTTAAATCTACTACTTAATACTTCTTAATTTAATCGCGCGGAAAGGTCGACTAATTGCACTAAATCCTTTTACTACTATAAACTCATTCACTAATTTATTTTACGCTAAACTTTTTATTTGCCTCTATGGAGCAAAGGAATTTGTTTAATATTTATTTTTATTTATCTTATTTTAAGAAATCTTAAATATAAACTCATAAATAAAATTAAAAGAAAGATAAACTGCTAAATGCCCTTCCGCTTCGCCCAAATGCCCTCCAAATATTTATAAACAAATTTTTAGGCTTAATGAAGCGAATAAAGAGATCAGTGGATAAATTTATATATTGAATATAATTAGAAAGTTAATTAAAGAATTTTAAATAAGATTAGTCATTCATAAAGGAAAATTGGGATATATGTATTAGTGTTTTACCGAAATCGAAATTTTGACCGGAACCGGAACCAAACTTTCCAAAACCGGAACTTCCGGTGAAACTAATATGTATGTTTTTTTTTAGCAAAACCACCTAGAGATAGAACGAAGAAAATAATAAACTTAATTCGAACCTTCAAAAATCAACTTTGAAATTATATAATACATAAAGAATAAAAATCTAACATGTAGCTAATAAGTAGAATTCAGGATTCCAAATATAACATAATATTTTAATAAAATCTCTCTCCCTCTTCAATTTCCCAATTATTAATATTTAGTAGATATTCGACCGATTAACTTCGCCTCTCTATAGTATAAATCTTTATTTTCTTGCAAAATACCGCTAATTCGCTAGTTTGGGTTTATCGCGGTGACCAATCGCGCGGTTCAACTTTTCGTTTCCTTTTTAATTTTAATCGCTCGTTACGCTTGAATTAACCGTTGATTGGCTGGGAGTTGAACGGAAGATGTGAATGAAAGGAAAAATGGACGCAGAAAAGAGTGAAAATATCAGACATTTATAGTTTAGTAAGAAAATCCGATCAAAAAATAGTAGAGGAGATAAACTAAAAAGTGTTGAAGTATAGCTATATTCTTTGGAGGGCATTTGGGCCAAATGAAAGGAGTATTCCCACTAGATTTTTTAAATTATCAATTAAATAATCAAAATATTTACAAACCAAAGAAATTGGCAGAATCTCCTCCCATTGTTGTAACAGGAAATATTGGACAAATTGGGTTATTAAATATATCAGTAATTTTGTCGTTATTTGATTGTTTTTGTTGCATTTTGAGCTTTTTCTTTGGCGGTGTTTCTTCATTTTTAGATTTATTTTCGATTTTTGGAGAATTTTCTGATACCTTAAATTTTTAAAGAAAGTTTAATTCTTTAATTATTATTTTGACTGAAACAAAAATTATTATCAATGTTTAAGTTTAAATAATTTTCTGAATAATTATCGTCTAAAAAATATATTTATTAAATCAAAATAAATTAATTTTACATATCTAATTTAAAAAATAAAATAAATAAATCCTTACATTACTGTTGTTGCTGTTTGCTGTAGTATGTCTCCTTCCAGTAACAGAATTATCAAAAGATGGACTATTCAAAGGAGATAAAGGTAAAGAAGAATTTCCTCCTCCTCCATTGTTTTGGTGATTGAATGGCTGGAAATAATTAAAAATTTTACTCTTAATATCCATTTAAGACTAACAAAATTTTGTGGATTTCCTGGAGATGGCCAAAATGGAATTAAAGCCATTGGAGCTGGCGGAGGTGGTGGCCAAGGAGCAAAAGGGAAACAAGGAGGTAATTGAATTAGAGAAGGATTTGGAAGTGCTGGCCAACAAATTGGGAAATGGGGTTGGGGAGTTGCAACCATACTCGATAGAAGATTGTCAATTGAAAAATTGTTTTGATTATTTTTGCTGGTCATTTGGAAGTGAATTTATAATTAAGAGAATAAAAGAATTTCTAAAAAAATTAAAAGTTAATAAATGTTTCGAAAATATTAAATTAAAGCTTTATCCCAAAGCCTCAAAAAATCCCAAAGCCTCAAAAAATTTAACCAGACCTGGTCATGGATACGGATACAGATAATATCAAAATGCCTGCGGATATCCGCCTGTATCAGCCGAAAATACCCGGATACGGATACTAAGATCAGTATCCGTGACCAGGTCTGGTTTTAACTGTCTACAACATATACTATTAACATTAATAAAATTAATTATCCATGAAAGAAGATTAACTCGAAAAATGTAAATTTGCAAGAAAAATCAGAAAATATAAATAAAAATTTATATTTAGAGTACATTTAAACTAAATAGTATTATCAATCGGATAACGAGATAAAGATAGAAATTTAATTTAATAAATTATATTTTGATCTTAGGCTTTTTGGTACAATTCCGAATATTTTAAAATTATTTTTGTAAATTTTAGTTTTGATGAAAGAGAAATTTATAAAAAGAAGAAAAAAATGAAAAATAAAAAGAAATATTACTGTAGTGAAGAAGTAAAAATTAAATAAATTTTTTTGGCCCACTAAAATTCGCCGACAATATTGAAGAAATAAAAGAAGTAAAATATAATTTAGATTTAGACGCGCATTACTTTTTTTGAATAGAAGGAAGGAAGAGGATTAATAAATATATTTTTTGGGCGGTTGCTTCCTATTTATTTTAAGGCCAATCTTCCTTATTTATTGTAGCAAGGAAATTGTAGAAATTGTTAAAAGAAAAAAATTGTGTGAAGTGTTGAAATTGACAAGATTTTTAAAATTATAAATAATGAAATTTTATTAATATGTATGCAAGACTTGGTACTAAATATAAATTTAGATTCACTTAAATTTTTTAGAAAAAATGCTTGCAATTTTTTGATTTTGTTTTAAGTTAAAATCCAAAATCTTAATTTAAATAAATCATAATTTAAAAGTATTGAGATGTAAGAAGGGTTTTATATTTCGAATTAAAAATTACAAATACTTATTTTGGTGTCTTAAAGAGAAATCAAATATGTATGTATGTTTGACTTCAAAATAAATTAAAATTGTCACCCTCGGATATACATGACACAAAATTAGATGACACCTATTTTAAATAATTCGAAGAACTTCCTAAAACTTCGTTCATTTTTAAATTCGAGGTCCAATATCAATTAAATAAATAAAATATATAAAAATTAATGTATTAATTATTATTAGGGTCAAAGAGACAAGCAATACAGGCAATTATATTTTAATTGAATAGTTAAATAAAGTGTTTTTTTCCTTTTATGTTGTCCTTATAATAATCATCAATTTCCCCAAATGAACAGATGATAGATATTATTTTCACCAATATTTTCCTTTCTAAAAATCCCGCCAAAAACCTCTGTAATTCCAAAAATTGCCAAAAACCATTCGGCAAATAATTGAAAATTGTTGCTTTTATAAAAATAAAAAGAGAAGAAATTTATCCAAAAAAAACATTATTTAATTTTTAAGCAATTTCTTGAGAAATAGTTAAAAATATTAAAAGATGAAATTGAGGCGCCAAATGCCGAATTCCTCGAAGCGTGAGAAATAAATAAAAATATCGGCTCGAAATAAAAGTGTTTTTCTGGATGAAATTTTTTCTTAAAAATTCTGAAAGGGAGCAGGTGTGAGCAATTTAAAAGCAAACAATAAATAGTAGATTAATAATAAATATTATGGTAATCGTGAGAAAAAATAAAGGATGAGCTTATAAAAATTTTTATTTTATTTTAATACAGTAATATATTGAAGGGATTAAAAGTTTATATTTAAGATAAAGAAAAACTTTTTTTAAATAAATTATAATCAGAAATTGAAAGATGAGAAAAGAAATAAAGAGTTAATCTATGAGAAAGGGCAAAAACATTGTCGAATAGGGAAAAAGAAGGGCAAAATAAGAAATGAAAGAGAGAGGCAAAATTGTGGAGGAGGGGCGGAGTTGAGTGACAGGAATTACTTCTCTTTTGATTATTTTAAATTAAGTGATTGGGCAATATTTAAACTCTTTTGAACTATTTCCCTAAGCACTTTTTAAGTAGTTTATTGAAGTAATAAGTACTTTGTAATACCTAGACTTTATGGATATTTTTGCCTAATATTTTAATTTTTTGCTTGAGGCAAGAAACAATAAAAGGTGAGTAATAAAATTAATTGAAGGAACAAATTTAGTTTTTAGGAGAGATGGTGATGCTCCGACTTCAAAAACATCTAACAGTTCCATAGTTTATTTTTGGGCCGGGATAGCTCTACTACAGTAGATGAATAAATAAAATTACAATTTATTAAAGCCGGAAAAGGAATTTTGTTTAATATGTATTTGTGAAATAATTCTTCAAAAAATTAATTATTTTTAAGATCGATGTAAGTTTTTATAAATGTATTCTATTATGTATTGTTTTTCATATACCGTTGTTAATCTAAATTCAGAATTCATAATAAAGTTCAATTGAAATTAACATAAAATTATACAATTTAAAGATAAATATTAAAAATTCCCGATTATAAAATTGTACTTTTGGGTTATCCCAAAACAGTTTTTGCGGACATATTTATACTTTCTTTTCTTTCATTAACACATTTATATACATAAATATCTCCCCTAAATATACTAAATATTTTAATAAAAATAAGTCACGCAATTGAAACAAATCGCCTTGTTTTTAATGCCCTTAAATACTATTTAGCACTTAAATACTTAATTTTACATATAAATATTTAAAAATTTGTCCTTTATATATAATTTGTGTGCCCTTTTAGCGTTATTTTTGATTATTAAATATTTTTACTTTCTTTACTTATTAGCTGGATTACCTCCCCTTCTTATTTGTGCTTTTCTTTGGGCATTTCCTTTACTTTTTTTATTTCTTAACTAGCTGCAGGATAAATAGCTGAATGGGTTTGATAGCTTTAAAATTTAGTTACGTCGGGGAAGCGTTTATTTATAATTGGAGGCGCGTCCATGGACGCGCGTTGAAAGCCTGCGGCTTTAAAACTGTGCTAGGTTTATTGTATGCTTGGAGATTTACGTTAAATGTTTTAGTTTATTTAGAAATTTTTTGAAATAAGAAGGGCACCCTTCCTTTTAGATGGATCGGTCCCTTCTTTAGATGGGAGGTGCTTCGTTCCATTTTTTAAATGGGCATCGCGTCGGGCGTACAAGGCGCACTTCGGGCCTTCGGCCCTCGTCCCCCCCCCCCTTCCCCACCGTTGGGACTCATTTTTACAATTTGGCGCACTTCGGGCCTTCGGCCCTCGTCCCCCCCCCCCTTCCCCACACTTGGGACCCATTTAAACAATTTGGCGCACTTCGGGCCTTCGGCCCTCGTCCCCCCTTCCCCACCGTTGGGACCCATTTAAACAATTTGGCGCACTTCGGGCCTTCGGCCCTCGTCCCCCCTTCCCCACCGTTGGGACCAGACGTGGGCGAAACGTTTCGTTTCGTTTCGTTGTTTCGTATGTTTCGTATGATTTTTACTGTTTCGTCTCGTTTCGTTACGAAACACTTTTAAATTTGTTTCGTTTCGTTTCGTTACGAAACACCTGTGATTTTTCAACGAAACGAAACAATTTTTTAAGCCTAAACTAAGGCCAAAATCTATAAAATTTACCATCTTTTATTGAAAATTTAAAAAATTTTCGCCTGCGGCGCTGAAAAAAAAAGAATTTCGGCTTCTTGGCTTTCCCAAATTGTCAAAATTTTCGCCTGCGGCGCTGAAAAAGGAAGATAGCAATTACTTATATACTACAAATCCGTTTATACTCCACTCCCTAATCCACATATACATATTACTTAATCGACGACAAATTCTATTACCGGACTCGCATCATAATTTAAAAATTGCGGATTGCGAGTTGCGGAAATACTGGAACCGGAACTTCCGGCGAAGCACTAGCTTATATCGCCTTCCTCTCGAAATGGAGATATGGAGACAATTTGGGTAGGCAATGGAGCAAGATAGTGAATTTTTTGGCCTACGGCCTTTCAAAATTTTAAAATTTTTCGTCTGCGGCGCTTAAAATAAAATTTTACTTGAAAAATATTCAATTTTATTTAAAAAAAAGCGTCGCCAAAAATTTGGCTTCGAAAATGATTGACCCCCCCCCCCTTCCCCGAAAATTTTCCTTGCTACGGGCCTGGCTTATGGGACACAATTGTTGTAAATAAACCAATAACTAAATCATTTATAAGTCATAGTCGACTAATAACGTATTTGAGGTCGAATAATTTCGAAATAAATGCAGTTTTGAAAATTTTTTGAATATTAAAATGTTTCGTTTTGTTTCGTTTCGTTTCGTAAGATTTTGGTTGTTTCGTTTCGTTTCGTTAACGAAACGATTTTTAAAAAATTTTGTTTCGTTTCGTTTCGTCAGAAAAAAATTTTGAGTTTCGCCCAGGTCTGGTTGGGACTCATTTAAACAATTTGGCGCACTTCGGGCCTTCGGCCCTCGTCCCCACCGTTGGGACCCATTTAAACAATTTGGCGCACTTCGGGCCTTCGGCCCTCGTCCCCCCTTCCCCACCGTTGGGACTCATATTTACAATTTGGCGCACTTCGGGCCTTCGGCCCTCGTCCCCCCTCCCCCCTTCCCCACCGTTGGGACTCATTTTTACAATTTGGCGCACTTCGGGCCTTCGGCCCTCGTCCCCCCTCCCCCCTTCCCCACAGTTGGGACCCATTTAAACAATTTGGCGCACTTCGGGCCTTCGGCCCTCGTCCCCCCTTCCCCACCGTTGGGACCCATTTAAACAATTTGGCGCAGTTCGGGCCTTCGGCCCTCGTCCCCCCTTCCCCACCGTTGGGACTCATATTTACAATTTGGCTCACTTCGGGCCTTCGGCCCTCGTCCCCCCTCCCCCCTTCCCCACCGTTGGGACTCATTTTGGTCACTTCGGGCCTTCGGCCCTCGTCTCCCCCTACCCACCGTTGGGCACCATTTTGGGTCCCAACGTTTTGGTTACCCCACTGGGTATAGTACCACCCACACCCGAAATTTCGACCTTTTGTAACTTTGTACAAAATGGTCAGAAAATTTCGAAAAAAATATTTTAAGCTCAGCTCGATGAGAGCTTTCGATTGATATAACATTTGGCCCATCTGTGGCCATTTTGCAAAAATTATTTTTTTGGCCGAAAATTTTGGCCGTAAAAATCGCCGAAATTTTCAAAAAATCATAACTTTCTCAAAGTTAATCTTTTTAATAATTTTAAAAGCTCATTCTATGCAGAAAAATCTGCTCTATCAAGAAAAAATACCTATGCCCCTTACCGCCGGCAAAAATCCCGAAATTTTTTCGAAAAACCGAAAAATTTTGGGTTTTTCGAAATTCGACCCTTACACCTCCAATTTCGAATTTTTTCGAAATTTTCTTCGGTGAAAAAATACCTAATTTTTTACTCGATTTTTCAAAGGAAACCCCATCCCAATCCGATAATCCCAAAAAAAGTTAAGGTCCCCTAAAAAATACCGAAAATTCCCCAAAAGGGGTACCCCTTTGGAAATAGGGTGGGGGACAAAATTTTGGAATTTTGGGTCAAAAATAGGCCTATATGGTACTCTGACATGCGCTGAGTACGAATCCGGCCTCGAAAAAATTTTAAAAAATTTCCCCGTGACGTTAGAGTCTCATAAATTTTTGCGACATTTGGCCACATTCGCTATAACTTTTTAAGACTCAAGTGGACCCCCAACATATTATACCTTTTTCGGAGCCCCACGGGACGCTCTTTCGAACTGGCTATCGAAAACGCGTTTTAATTCACGTTACAAAAAGTAGGTTTTTCGACCCCGACTCTTTGACCCATATGACCCCCAAAACTTCATCTGAGACTCAAGTGGTCAACACCCGATAACTTCGCAACACTCTACCCTCCAACATCACTCCCAGGCCCAAGAACCCCCCACTTCTCAAAAACCCGTTATAAGCCTTTGAATTTTTTATCCGGCCATTTCAGTGCCACACTCGAGTGCGGCACCAAAATGGCCATGCCCATTAAATTTCTCATGGCCGTTTACCTAATACCCCCAGGTCCCATCCAAATCTGCGGCGTGGTTTCAGAGATATAGAAATTGTACAAAAGACCGCTACCCTATGGCGCGACATTTGACCACCATTTAAAAAGGGTTAGACAAGCATATCGTATCTTAGAGTTCGAATTTTTTCGAAATTTTTTTTTTATTCGACATCTACTAAATGCGGGTCAGGGCCCTCTAAGCGGAAGTTTTTCGCTATCTCTTCCGGTTCACGAGATAGCCATGTCCCAGGGGTCGTTTCGGCGCGAAGGCGCCGGCGTAGGGAAAAATCAATAATTATTTCGGATGCGCCTCGTCAACAACCATGAACAATGTGCAAGTTTCAGGGAGGTACGACCAAAATTGGGACCGCTGAAGTTTTTTTTGTCAGAGTTTAAAAACTATTATATATATATATAAATTAATAAAAATTAGATTGAATGAATTTAATTTATTTAAAATTTTCTTCGACAAACAAAAAAAAACTATTGGATTGGCAGGTTAATACAAAAATATTTTTATTTATTTTAATTATTATCCTCCAACAATCTTTGTTTAGTATGTCACAGGAAGTCTTTTCCTTTTCTCTATTAATCTTTTATTTTTTAGAATATTCTTTCCTTTATCTCAACTTAACACTCTCTCATAAGCTCCAGAAGCGTCATCAAAGGATAATTCGGATATATAAGCTTTAAAGCTAACATTTAAGAAAAAACATTTTTTCCTCTTTTTCCCATTGTGTTGAGGTTCTATTGCCACAAGAATTTATTTAAAGCTGCTTCTTACACTTCTTAGCTTTTTTTCAATAAGAAAAGCGGATTGTTTGCTCATTGGCTTGTCTTTCCCCCTTATACTTTTTTTATTTTACAACGTTGCTTATTTCCCCTTATTACTTAATTCCTCTGCCTTTTTTTGTATTGTGTTTGTGAACACACGATTAGCCTCTCAACACATTTTCTATTAATATAAGCAATAAGAAAAGACCAAGAAAATTGTGTAGAGGCGAGAAATTTAGAGCAATAAAAGTCCTTCTCGTCCCTATTGTTTGCCATGCCGCGAAAAGTAGGTGAATTTAGGAGTGGTTGTTGTAGTTAAGCAGGTGAGAGGAAAATGAAGGGGGCAGTAAGTTGATGAAAATAAAATTAATGGAAAGTTTGCCAAACTATGGAAGGTAAATAAGTAAATATATCTTTAAATAATATTAAGAAGGAATTAACGAACAAAAAATTTATTTTAAATTTTAATTCAGACATGGGGATATTTAATTAAAAATTTATTAAATTTTTTAAAAACAATTATTTTATTATGTACAACAAAGCATTAAAGAGAATTTGTAATTAATTAATTTTTTTATTAAGGCATATTAAAATGTTTGATTTTACTTCGAGATTTATTTAAAAATATTTAAATAAAAATAATTTTTTTTAAATTATTTGTGTTACATATAACAATTTAAATATTTTCATTTATTATTTATCTAAATTCAAGGAAAATACTTAATGAGAAGAAAGTGGTTGTTGTTGGAAGAACTTTTCCCTTGTTTTTCTTTTGTTTTGTATATACAAACAATAATTCTTTTAAAAAAGTATTGTTGTTGTTGTTAATATATTTATTTAGTTAATATATTTGTGCATCATGCCAAATGAAAATAAGTGGGATTTTGAGTGAGAGGTTCGAAAAAATTTGTTGTGTTAATGGAAATTAGAATAATAATAAAAAAGTTTTTGTGAAAATTACAAAAATCTGGGAAGAAAATTATAGAAAATACAAATTTATTTACTTAAAAATAATTGCCTCGAGGGAAATAATTAAATAAATGGATAATACATGCAAACTAAAAAATTAAACTTCTGTAGCCCAGTCAGTATTCAGTTAAAATTAAGGAAATAATTATTGTATAATGGAAAATTTTTTTATATTTTTTTGTCTAACTGGAGGATTGCGATTTTACTGATATAAATCAACTAAATTTAAAGTATATTATGTTAAATTTGCTTTTTTAATCAGCCTAAATTTTCGGAAATAGGAATTCCTCTGCTATATATTAGTTTAAAACTCATTTTATAACACGACCACATTTATTCTTGTTTGTTTCAGACCAAAGCAACATATAAATTAAAATTAAATAAAGATTTAAAAATCTTAAAAATTAATTAAAAAATGAAGTAAAAATAAAAACACTTAAAAATATTTATTATTAAAAATATTTTTGAGATCAAAATAAATTACAAATATTAAAATAGTTAAAAATATTTTCTAAACATTTTTATTTTTAATTTGATATAAACTTTAACGTTGGATAAGCTGTGACCCGTTATAGAGTATAATTATTGCTTTTCCTAGCTAATGTGCGCAACATCGTAAAATTGTCCTTTTAATTATCCAAAGTAGTGGAAATGTGTGGAATATTTATTCGTTTGAAAAAATAATCATATAATTGGTCTAGTCGATTGATCTTTTACATTTAATGGTTTATTAAGAGGCAATAAAACTTTTAATTTTATGGAGTTAATTAAATGTGTATTTAATTTTTTCTTCAAAAAGTAAAACTTTTTTAATGGTCTCACTTTTAGGTCTCTTTTTGTTGATAAACAGTAAAACAATTTTGGAAAAAATATGGATATAAATAGCTGAGGTTAATCAGTCTAATACAAGCATTAATAGCTTCTGAAGCTAGCTACTACTAAATAACTAAAATAATTTTGTATAAAAATATTTAAAATAATTTTATTAAAAAATTTTTTTATAGAATCAGATAAAACAAAATGACTAGGTGTAGTCTTTGTTGTGCTTTATTAGCGCTTATTTTAATTGTTAATGAAACAAATGCTGGCCTTTTTGGCAACGGTGATATGTAAGTTAATACTTTTAGTTAAAATTTTTTTAATAAAATTTGTTCCAGACTTCCCCCGTCATTCTTGAGAGGTTTAAGAGTGAAAAAACAGTGTTGCGGTGGAGGCGGTGGAGGAGGCTGTGGTGGTGGATGTGGTGGAGGTGGTGGTGGAGGTTGTGGAGGTGGATGTGGCGGAGGAGGTGGTGGTGGTGGCTGTGGAGGCGGCTGCGGAGGCGGTGGTGGTGGTGGAGGAGGACAAGCAATCACGTTGAAACTAAGCTGTTCAAGCGGAGGAGAAGGTGGTGGATGCGGCGGTGGTGGCGGTGGATGTGGAGGAGGTTGCGGAGGCGGTGGTGGTGGTGGATGTGGAGGAGGCTGTGGAGGCGGTGGTGGTGGCGGATGCGGAGGAGGCTGCGGAGGAGGCGGCGGTGGTGGATGTGGAGGAGGATGCGGAGGTGGTGGTGGTGGATGTGGTGGAGGCTGCGGAGGAGGCGGCGGTGGTGGATGTGGAGGAGGCTGCGGAGGAGGCGGCGGTGGTGGATGTGGAGGAGGTTGCGGAGGCGGTGGTGGTGGCGGATGTGGAGGAGGCTGCGGAGGCGGTGGTGGTGGCGGATGCGGAGGAGGCTGCGGAGGAGGCGGTGGTGGTGGATGTGGAGGAGGCTGCGGAGGAGGCGGCGGTGGTGGATGTGGAGGAGGCTGCGGAGGAGGCGGCGGTGGTGGATGTGGAGGAGGCTGTGGAGGCGGTGGTGGTGGCGGATGTGGAGGAGGATGCGGAGGTGGCGGCGGCGGTGGTGGAGGACAAGCAATTACGTTGAAAATAAGTTGTTCAAGTGGAGGAGGAGGTGGTGGTTGTGGAGGTGGAGGTGGTGGCGGAGGAGGAGGCTGTGGAGGAGGCTGCGGAGGAGGCGGTGGAGGTGGATGTGGAGGAGGCTGCGGAGGTGGTGGTGGAGGATGTGGAGGCGGCGGCGGTGGTGGATGTGGAGGTGGATGCGGAGGAGGCGGTGGCGGAGGAGGCTGTGGAGGAGGCTGTGGTTGTGGACGAAGAAAGCGTTTGGCTCTTCTCCAACGAACGGCTGTCAATGCTGCCTAGATATAAAATTATTTACACTTACATATTTTTGTATTCTACGTTTTGTAATATTAGTTATAGTGCACTAAGGCATTTAGTTGTAGAAGATTTAGTTATTTTTGTATATTTTGTAGTAATTTCTAGCTTGTTTAGAATAAATACATACAATACATTTTAATTTCTTGAATTGATATCTGTTTTTCGGCTGATTAAAAGTGACGGCGGATCCTGAGATCCATATCTTTTTGCAAACTGGAAAATTTTTGGAAGATCCTTAAGCAATGTATCTTCCTTTTTTGCGAATTTTGAGAAATTTGAAAGGCCAGAATTCATATATTTAAAAAATATTAATAAAAATAGGTTAATTTTATTCTGCAAATGAAAAACTTATAGTTACTAATTTATTAAGAGTTTGAACCTTAAACTAATCTCCTTACCCAAACGTATGAACCTGATGCACTATCCAGTAAACCACGCAGACCATTCAAAAAATAGAAAAATGTTTTTTAACCGTCTCAAATTTTCTTTCTTTTATTTTCACGCCTTCCATCCTTCCATCTTCTCTTTTGTCGGAGTCTATAACAGGCTCCGGAGCTTTTCCTTGGCTCCGGAGCTTTCAAAATCTTTCTCCGGCTCCGGAGCTAGCTCCAAACCATACCCATTAATGCTCCAAACAGTACATAAATTATTTTTTAAGTTTAACCTAGCCAACAGTAAGTTCAACAAAAGCTCTATAGCTTATAAGGTAAATTTGTTATTTAGTTTTAATAAAATATTAGCTTTAAATTTTATAATTTATTTAGTAAAATGATATAATTAAAAGAGTTAAAGTATTAAAGAAAAAATATAAATGTAGATATAAATTTAGTAAATAACTTTAAAATTTCACTGGTTCTTGTTGATAAAAATACTTGAGATTTTGAAAAGAAGAAAAAAGAAAGGAGCATAAAATAAAGTGAAAATAGCCTTTAAATTAGGGTTGCAGTCGACCTTTTAGTGTCGAAAAGTTTGGAGTCGTGTTCGGGATGGAATTTGGAATTAGTCAGGGCAGGGCTGCAATCCTATTTAATATTTAAAAATTAATACATGCAGCTAATATGTATATCAACAATTCAATTTTGATAAAAAAGAATAATTAGGTAATAGGTTCAGAAAGTGCTGAAGGCTTTCTCCTTTGCCGAGTTTCAACAGCATTTTGTTGGCCGTTATTAGGTATATGTGTTGTTGTAGATAAAGTAATCATAGAAGATGGATGTTCTTGTTGATTTTGGTCATAATGTTGAAATTGCTGTGGACAACTATATTCTATTTGTGGGCGAAGAGCAAATCTTAGAAGTTCTGATAAACTAGTTAATTCACGTTGAATGTCTAAAAAATTGTAAAATAAATAAACTTTTTTTAAACTAAAAATTTTTTAATGAAATTTAGTTCCTTCTTCAATGAGAAAAAATGAAAGGAGATTTTCATTGTCTAGTTAAAGGAGCAAATTTATTTATTTGGAGATGGAAATATTTTTTATTTCGAGATTTTCCAGATTTAACCTTAACACAAAATCCTCGAAATAATGAAAGAGTGATTCAATAATAATTAATAAATTACCAGAAAGTTGATGTTCAACAGCTGTAATACGAAGAGCCATTCCTTCCTAAAAAATAATTTTAAAAACCAAACAAACAAGCAACAACCTGTGTAGTATGTACATCCCTCATTAAATCGTGGGAATGCGCAGTTGTTTTAGCAACATCCCCCAAAGATACTCTATTTTCATCCAATTTTCGTTGACTGGTTTTTAGCTTTCTTAATGCACAAATAGCAACGAGGAATTTTCTTTGATGGTAACGGATGCGACTTGGTTCGATTTTATCAACAAGACGACGATTTTTATAAATTAGCCAAGTTTCTCTCAAAACATTTGCCTTTAAAAAAAGAGGGGAAATTATTAAAAAAGAATTGTTTGTTTAAAGACAAACAGCAATATGTTTCATTTCTTTTGTATGTTGTGTTTCAATCATAAAATTGTGGACATGTTTTTCTGCCCTAGTTAATTCTAATTTTCTAGCAATTACAGCAACCACCATAGAAGAAGTACAAGTACCTAAAATTCCAGTTACAACAGCCATTATTCTTCCACATTGTGTATTTGGAACTATATCACCTTAAAAAATATTATTATTTTTTAATAAAATTAAATAAATAATTATTTTTATTTACCATATCCAATACTTAAAAAAGTCACAGCAACTAGCCAAAGAGAATTTAAATAACTTTGATGTTTTTCTGCATGGAAATTTAATGTTGGATCTTCAATTGAATTATGCCTATGAAAATAATAATTTTTTAAATTTTTAATTAATTAATTAATTAAATTACCTTTCACATAATCTTAAAATATATCCCCCAATCATCCATAAAGAGGCTGTAAACAACATTAAAACAGTTCCAGGGCAAATAGTCATTAATGTTTTTAAAATAAATTTTGCATCTGTTTTGACTCTTAAAAAATATATTTAATAAAATATTTTCCTTCTTAATTAAATAATTCTTAATTAAATATTAATTTCTTAATTAAATATTAATTTCTTAATTAATATTTTTCTTAATTAATTTCTTAATTACCTATTTAACCCAGCAATTGAACGAGAGGCAGCATCAGTAAAAAGTCTAGAATGTAAAAGCATTACTCGACAAAGCCAATAAAGACGGAAAAACATTACTAAATTTATTGAAGGAATTTTTAAAAAATAATTTTTAAGAAATATTTTTAATGCAAAATTAATAATAAACAATAAATTATTTAATCAAAATAAAATTACTCCATAATTCTTTAAATTAAACTTACAGATAGAGAAAAGTACATCCAATGGCATACGTTTTGGAACCTCAAAATTAAAAAAATTTAATTAAAAACTTTTCTAGTTAAAAAACCGTTGGCCAAAAATTTCCATCTAATTGAACAGGTAAAGGGCAAATAGCACAGGCAACAACTTCAATAATTATTTGCATACTTTTACGGCATGTTAAAGCAATTTGCCAATCTTCTGCACTATTTGCATTCATAAATAGCTTAAAATAAAAATAATATTTTAATTAAAAAATATTTTTATTTACTTGAATTTCATGAACATGATATTTAACAACTAATCCAACAAGAATTATTGTACTTTAAAAATAAATATTTAATTATTCTTAAATTATTTTAATTTAAATTACCTTAATAAAATAACAGTTTTAAATGCTGTACAAATCATAAAATAATGAAGATAGGCAAATTCATTTTCAATTATCATCAAAACTTTATTTAAAAATTAATTTTAAAAAATAATTTTCAAGTTTACCAATTCCAAATAATGAAAAGAAAAGAGCATAATCAGAAGTAACCCGTCTTTTATTAAATAATTGTTGCCGTTTAATAAACCTTCCACCACTTTAATAAAATTATTTAAATAATTTATTTTAATTTAGAAATCACCGTTCTTTTTCTTTAACTAAAGGTTGTTTAACAGAACAATTAATAGATTCATCTAAAACACTTCCTGGACCTCCTCCTCTTTCACTATTATTTGTTGGAGGTCCAGGTGGGGCAGAATGCCCACCACCACCACCAAAACCGCCAATGGCAGAAACAGCACCAGGTCTTTGAGATTCGATATCACCATCATTAAAAATCAACGAGAGGGATTTCTTCAGTAAAGGATCTCCTTCAAAAAGATTATTTTAAATTAGTAGGTACGTAATTAATGTAATTTTTGTTAAATACAATTTCTTTAACTAGCTGGGATAAGATAGATAATACTTTAATTGTTGTCAATACTTCATTTTGATAATATAAACTAAAATATGTATGTAAAACTCACTCTTTAACCAGCCCAATCCTGTCGGGCCTAAAATTTTTTGTAAAATAGCTTGTTCCCTTTCTTGGTGTGCTAAAGATGAACAACGTCTATGTTCAGAATGTGAATTTCCCAAAGCAGACATTGACTCTGGCCTTCTCAATGTTGAACAATTTGAAGTAATTTGAGGTAAATTTTTATTTTTTAATAATCCTGTAGATAAAAGAGGAACAGATTCTTGCCCAAAACTGGCCCTTTGTTGTTGTAAATCATTAGAAAGTCTACGGCAAGCACAGCACTGACATCCTTGTAATTGTTGACTATCACTACTTCCAGGCAATAACGTTAATTTTGGAATATTACTAAAAGCCATTTCACTACTTGAACGTTGTTTTGTTGAAGCAAAATTGAAACGAGTTGGATCTCCTTTTTTGTTATTATTAACAACATTTGGAGGGAATAGAGTAGATTGGGGAGAAGAAGAAAAAGGTGGAGGAGATGTTGGAGCTATTTTATTACTTCCAATACTTCCAAAACTGTCAGAAATAGGCCTTTGAGGAAGAAGAGGAGGATGATGACTTAGAAGTTTTTCCTCTTCATTTCTTCGTCTTTTTCCTCCTCCACTTTGAGTACGATTTCGTTGATCATAAGTTCGTTGTAAAAGTTGAGTAAGTTGACTATGTTGAAGTTGAGAAGGAGATTGTTGAGGGGATATTTCACTGCTGAGCATTGCAGAAGCAGGTGGAAATGCTGTTGGAATGAACGTTACTAAGCGAGGAAGTGAACCACCACTCCCTCCATTTCCGGAAACAGCATTAGTACTGTCAGCCCCACTACATCTGTCTACAGTGTTTAGCCTTCCTCGAGGGACACACTTTTGCCTAATACTTCCAGCTCGGTGAAGAGAATTGGCAGAAGAACATTGAGAACAGCACTGGTCGTTTTGGGTATGAACTCCTCCACCACCTCCATTGAGAGAAGAAGCAGAGGAATCACCTCCGCCTAATTCAAATCGAAGAGGACAACGACGAGAATGATGGGAAGGAATAGAAGAAGAACAGCAACTACTGTGGTGACTATCTGTATTAATAATGTTGTTTTCACCAATTTGGTCAGTTGCTATGTTTGAGGCAACCAAACGAGGTGACGGAGCTGACACGCTTGCACAGACACACTGATCCCGAATACCATGCCTTTATAAATAAATTTTTATTTTAAATAATTACATCCATTTCTTTACCCAAGAACGTCACTCATAAGCTGATCTCTTTGCGCTGGTGTTGCCTCACTAGTAGTCCTTTGTTGCTGGAAGTTATTTCGCCGTGTTGCAGCAGCCATTAATGTTGAATATCGCAAAGAATTATTTGGAGATAAGGAGCCTTTTCGGTGTTTTGATGTTGCCCCTCTAGCTGACCAAGGTTGGCTTTGCTGACGATACCAACCCTTAGAAGTGTTTGAATCTTTTGTTGGATTTTGATATTCGTTTGTTCCTTGTTGATGTTGGTAATGGTGATTAATTATAGAAGCGCTAGGTGAGGCTGGTCCTGTTGCAACTGTCGTTGCCAAAGCAACCAAATGTCTACCAAGTTCACCTGATTGTTGAGTATTTTGTTGTTGTCTTTCAATTTGCTTTTGTTGTTGTATAAAATCATTTGTTGAAACTTTATCATTAAATTCTTTTCTCATTTCTGGATCTTGTACAGGATGAATACGAGTTGGCGGGGGTGAAATATTACCTCCCAAAAGTGTATGATCTGGTGGTGCTAACCAACATTTTTGTTGTTGATTTTTTTGTTGTTGTTGTTGTTGTTCATCAATATTAATTATTTGTTGTTGTTTCTGAAGAATTGTATTATCTTCAATTATTTGTTGTAAATTTTGTTGAATTAAATTTTGTTGTTTTTCTTCTTTTTCTTCAAAACTAGAGTTTTCAGGTTCTTCTTCGGCTATACTATTTTGTTGTTTTAATAAAGAAGACATCATTCTAGCCACTGAAACTGAACCAGAACCTCCACTTTGTAGCACTCTTGTTGAGTTACCTGTGCCATATTTCCCAGTAGATTGAATTACTATAGATGATGAAGGGGGTGTTTGTACACATGTTGGGGGTGGTGATGGGTTTGGAGAACAATGATGAGAATTGGTTATTAATAAACCTCCCCCTGTACTAGTCAAAGAAGAGGCAGAAGGGGATCTTGAAGAAAAAGAATTTGTAGTCGAAATAATTCGTTGTCCTGGGGGCATTAAGGGTTCTCTTTCTGGTGAGTGAATATCTACAGATAAATTGCGTGTTAATAAAGCACTTGATTGACTCAAAGAATTAACATCCCGTCTGTTTTGATTGTTTGTTGTTTTTCTCTCAGAAACTTTAACAGCATTGCCCTTAATCCCTCCATTCGTTCCTGTTTCTTCCAAGAGGAGAACAACAGACGGAGGAGGTGTCCCCTGTCCTCCTCCCTGTCCGCTCCCATTTCTTTGTTTAAAATAATGTGAAGATGTATGTTCGGAGGAAGATTTTGCTTGTTCTTTATTTTGCTGATAATGTTGTTGTCCACTACTGTTGTTTTGTAAAAAACCTGGCCGCATTAAAGCGAAAATTCAATGGAAAAGTTGGTTCCAGTCTGTCGTATTTTTTTAAAATTTTTTTCTTTAATGAAAACTAAAAATAGGTATTTACTTATAAATTTTTTTAGGTAAAAAAGAAATGTGATAAATACGAGAAATAATCTTTGTAAAATTGTTTTCTTATAATTTATTTTGAATATTTTTAATTTAAAATTTTTTTATAAATTAAAATGTTGTTGTTTTTTTATTATGAAGAATTATAAGTAAAAGGAAGTAAATAAAGAAGATAGAAAATTCTAGGAAAAATAATAAATAAAAGAATATATCTTATTAGAAAAAATTGCGGAATTTATTTTGTACTAAATTTGTATTTTGTAAAAAATCCATTAAAAATATTCCAAAATAACAAAAAAATATCTCCAGGGGATATTCCAAAAAAATTATTTCTATATTTAATATCAAACTATTTTTAGTTTTAAATTGTAAACAAAAAGAAAATAATAAAAAATAAAGAGTTATTTAGAGATAAACTACATACTAATTTATTACTATTTAAAAGAATAAAGTCAAAACAAAAGAGAGAAAGACATATATGTATTACATAAAAATATTAAAACCATTTGGTTGCCATAATGAAGCCAGGTGTAAACAAATAAAGTAATTAGAAAATATTTAGTAAAGTTAATCCAAAAAGTGTTAGCTGCGCAGGTTTAGCTAATATTAAATAATAATTTAAATGAGAAAAGAGGAAAAAAAGGTAAAAAAAAGTATTAAATAGGGGGAAATTTGGAATTAAAGTACTCATAAACTACCTTAAAAATAATATTAAAATTATAGAAAATATTATGAAATATTTCGTTCCAAGAATATACGAGGTAATAAGTTTTAGTTTCTAGACAGGTAAATAAAAATAGTTAAAATTAATAATAAAATATTAATTCTTATTAAATAAAAATTTTAAAAATATTTTTAACAGACAAAAAATTATTTTGTTAAATAAAAAAATGGATTTTTTAAAATATATTTATAGAAAATATGTATATTAATTTAATTTTTTTATAACAAAAATGTAGAAGATAAAAAGAAAAATTATGATAAATGAGGTTAAAAGTATTAAAAGAATTAATGACAGGAATTAATGCTTATATTAATATATAAGTATTATTAAATTATTTATTAAAATTAAAGAGAAATAATTCAACATATAAAAAGTAATTAAGCAGAAAAAAAATAAAATTAAAAATTAATATTTAAAAATTAACGAAAACAAATAATATCTAAAAATGTAAAATATTCTCTAAGAAAAAAATAAATAAATAAAAAATAATTTTCAAAAGAAAATGTTTTGCCGTAAAAATTAGAAATAGTCAGTCGCTCCTTATTGAATGATGTGGGGGGAAGGCAAAGTATTGCCAAGTAAAAGGTGCCAACAAGAGGAAAATGTCAACTACATATAAACACACAAACACGAGGTTCAAAAGGCCAAACATTGCCAAATTTAGCATAAAAAAATTTTTTTGGTTGGTAAAAAATAAAAATTATTAGGAAATATCTAATATGCTTTTCTGAAATTTTTATGTTTAAACTACATAAAATATACATATCTTTTTTTTTGGATTACTTTCTCACAATCCCCTATCCTTATAAAACAAAACTATCTATGAACTAATATAAAATTTATAAAAATATTAAATATAAAAGTAAATATTTTTGTTTTTCCTTTTATTTTTCTCAAAAAAGCTCTAATATTACGTAGTAGATAGTGTTAATATTATTATTTATTTGTATATATTTTTAAATAAAAAAAACTAATTGGTTAGCGCAATTCTTTAAAAGGAAATAAGGTTTTAAATTACAAAAAATTGACGAGGAGAGAAATTTTTTGTTATAATGTTTGTACTTTAAAAATATTTATAAATTGATTTAGGAATATTTTTAATTTAAATATTTAATAATTTAAATTTAAATAAAAACAAGAAAGGCATTAAAGATGTGGAAAAGATCGTAAAAATTATAGTCAAAAATATTATTTTAAATTCTTTCAAAATTTAAGGAACATTTCCTATCTACAATAAATTTAAAGAAATTTAGCATTAAACTTTTTTTAATAATTTCCAAAATAAATTATCATAAAAAAACCTTAAATAAATGACGAATTTTTTAAATTTCTTCGATTTTCAAAATTGAAAAGAAAAATGGAAAGAGAACTTTTATTGCCCGCAAGACTTTTTACTCTCCGTTTTTACACCAAAAATTGTTCTCAATTTCCATTTACAAAAAGTTGGTAGATAAAGGATATTTATACATATATCCCTCCACACCTTTAATGTTGATAAATATATTAATTTTAATTGCTAATTAAAAACTGCAAGATTAATTTTTGCTGTATCAAAACAAAACTCCAAAAATAGAAACAAAAAAATAACAAAGATTAATTAATAAACAAAAAATATATTTTTGTATTTAATTATTTGATTAAACATTAATAAACATATTTTTGATAAAAAAAATAAATAGATTATTTTAGGAAAAATCTAAAAATATTCTTTTTTGATTTTTAATTTATTTTTGGTTTTTTTAAATTTTATGTAAATTTGTTTTATATAATAAAACAAATTTACATGTATTTCCAAGTGATGAAAAGGAACGAAGAATTTTTACATTTTTGTGAATGGTTAAAATAAAGTTATTAATTTATTATATTAAAAATTTTAATGCGGATGTTTGTTAGGATTGGCGGATCCTGGGAAATATTAAGAATCTGGAAAGAATATCCGAACCGAAAACTGACTTTTCGGATCTGGGTATCCAAAACTCTCAACTTAATGGTTGGATATTGAACTAAAATTTTAGCATTTTCAGGGTCACATGATTACAAGTCCCATTTTAAACATTTATTTGGTAATCAAAGTTTTCCTATTATAAAAATTTGTTTGAGTATTGGTATTGGGAGTAAGCTGCGTCTTAAGACTTGTAAATTTTTGGTTTTAGATATCTTTATTAATTTCTAACATTAAATTGTTTAAAAAATAAAATTTTTGTTTAAAATAATATATAATATATGAATGCTTATCGCTTGAAAAGTGCATTTCTTTTTTATTTTTTAATTTAGCCTTGGCATTCACGCGAAATTAATTAAAAAAAGCATGCGAAGAAGCAAAAAACAAAAAGTGAAATTAATGTGTTGAGAAGCCTTTCTTAGTGAGAAGAGTGTGGAATTAGATAGATTAACGAGAATAAAAAATAAAAGAATGGATTAAAAATAAATATTTAAATGTTGAAAAAATTACAGAGAAAGTAATCGTTGGATTGGGGAAATAGTATTTAAAACCGTTGGCAGGGTAACAATAATAAAAAAATAATTAGAAAAAAAACAAGTCTGGAAATTACTCATTTACTTTAATTTTTTTAAATTTTAAAATTTAAATTAATTTTTGAAATATTTGTGTAAATATAGAAAGCTGGATATAGTACAAAGGTTAAAAAAAACTCTTTATTTTTCCAGATACATAAACTTTTCTTTACCCAATAAAAATAATTTTTATTTCCCCATTTTAATTTAATATTCAACTTCCGTTTCCCCATTGTTTGTCGGCAAAAGAAGCCAAAAATGGCAACAATTCTTTTTTGACTTTTTATTTAAAACTTTCCCATGGTTTTTAAACAATTAAAATAATTAAATATATTCCAGGACTTTTTAAAAATTATTTTAAAAAGATTTTTAATTAATAAAAGGAAGATAATAAAAATTTAGAAAATAAAATGATTGGGAAGTTATTTTGATTTTTAAAGAGACCAATTACAAATATAATTGTGATAGAATTAAATTAACAATAATTGTATATTATAGTTAGGTGTGGCTTTTTTGGCCGTGATGTAAAAATTAAAAAGTTTTGAAGCGTCAGACTCTCCCTAGCTATAGTTTTTTATTCACAATTTTGAAATTTTTTAATGATAAAAGTAAATTTAGAAATAAAACAATAATTTTTGAAAAATAAAAATAATAAGCACGTGATATTAAATATGGATATTCTGTTATAAAAATATTTTAAAAAAAAGACTAGCTTTCAAACACCAATAATTCAATAGTTAAATTTTTTAGAATTTTTATTCCCAATTTGTCAAAAGCAAATATTTTCCATGCATTTTAAATTCATATTTAAACAAAAGCATTACTAAAAAAAGACTAAAAAGGTGTGCTCTCTAAATAATAATTTTTAATGGAATTGAATAAATATTTAGAAAAAAAAAGAAAAATTGAATGGAAAGTTAAAAGAATAAATAAATAATTAATTTATTATATTCTTTTTTAAAATAATTATATGTATTTATCAAAGAATATTCGCTTTAAATATTTAATTATCATAAAAATAAATTAAAACCTCCCCCACTCCCCCCTCACTCCCACCAATTACTTTTCAATAATTAAAATAAATTTTAAATTAAATAAATTATACATCCAAAAATAAAATCTATCTTATCCCTTTACACTTTTAATTTTTAAAAAATACATCCACATCCACACCCTACACATTTTAAATTTATTTTTAATTTTCTTTCCAAAATATTAAAAAAAACTCCCCCCACCTTCCAATTTTTTGTCAGGTTCGATAATTATAATTTGTTTTTGTTGATCAAAATTTTCTGATTTAGCTGTTAAAGGTGTATCTATATTTGTATTACAAACAAAGTTGTTATTATTTTGTTCAGACATTGCGAGGTTAAAACAGCTACTTTTAAGGGCTGCTGGACCTGAAAAAATAAAAATTAATCGTTTTTAGTCCTTTTAAACGAAAATTGGGATTTTTTGTTTTTATCAAAAACTATTCAAATTCTAGCTTAAACTATCCCTTCTTTTAATCAACTAAATTAATAATATATTCTTTAATTCCATAAATTATTTTTTTAATTTATTAAAATTAAATATAAATAATTATTATTTCTCTCTCTCTTACCAACAAAATTATTATTTAATCTTCCTCCACTTCCAATAACTTCATTATCATCATTAGTTTTTTGTAAATTATTTCCAAAAGGAGTAGCTCCGGCAATACGTGAACCAACGGCCATTATAGCAGAAGCTGTATTGACAGCCGAAGCAGCGACTGCTGGGGTGGCTATTGATTGGAATGGACGGTGATTGGGCAGACTTTGAATTAAAAGAGAGAATAAATTAAAGGAAAAATTTTTGGGAATTTTTTAAATCAAAAAAAGGAAATCAAAAATATTTTTGTATTAATATTCAGGAAAATGGGAAATTCCTTTATTATTCCAATAATTCCTTTTTAATTTTAAAAAATCTCGAAATTAAATATTTAAAAATACTAACGGGGTGCTTGCAATTGAACTGGCTTGTTGTAAAATATTTTTAAAAGGAGCAATCGCCCCATTCATTAACTAAATTATTTATTTTTAATTTTTTTTTCTATTAAAACTCACCATCCATTCTCGGGAAATCTGAAAAATGATTTTTAAAACTGTAATAAATCTTTAAATCAAATATTTTTTAAATCAAAAATCTCTCTCTAAACCAAAATAATTTTTCAAAAAAAAACATACCTCAGTCAAATAAGTATCACGTAGAGGCCCACCACCAGCATTACTTAAATGACTAGAATGGTCCCCCTCATCAAAAGAAGAATGTGTAGACCGTCCAGTTCGAAGATTATTGTTTAAGTGATGATGATGGTTTTGATGAATAGAAGAAACTCCTGGACAGGAAGGATGGCCAGAACAACCTTTAAAAAAATTAAAATAATTTTTGTCCAAAAATATTTTTATTAAACTTTCAGTATTATTTTCATTATAATTTTGTAAAGAAGAAGATGATTTTATTTGTGTTTGTTTATTGAGATAAACTGTTGGTGAATTATTTATTGAAAAAATTATTTTAGATCGAGATTGGGAAGAATTTGTTGTAGTCATTTATAGATAACTAGTACTTATTTTTGAAATTAACAAAAGAAAATGTTCAAGAATTATTTCAAATATTTTAACTCAATTAATTACCCAGGGTAATTAATATTTAAATCGTGTGGGGTGTCCGGCTGTGGGGTGACTTAGGGATGAAATTTGATAGACAGATAGGTCATACCCTACTTTAGTTGTGAATTTTGAACCATTTTCGCTGAATAGTACTGTGGACCGAGTTATAACGAAATTTCATCCCGAAGTCCCACGGACACCCCACAGCCTCTCCTTTGTGAGAGAGTAAATAAATAATAGGGATAGGTAATCAAAAAGGTAAATCTGTTATTGATAAAAAAGTAAATGAAAAAATAAAGGTGAGAAACTCAGATATAGTCTAATTAAATAATAAAAACATTTTCTAAGATTGTGAGGAAAATTTTGTTGAAAAAAATTTTTTTAATAAAAATAATTTTTTTCTTTATCAAAGAAATATGCAAAAAGAAGACATTGAACTTTTGAGGGGGATAACATTTAAAATTTATTTTTTTTAAATTATTGAAAAAATAATTTTATAAAGAAAAAGAAGCCTTCCCTTAAAGCTTTTAGGTATCTTGTTGAGAAAAAAAGGATTATTACCGATGGTTTCCAAGGCGTAAAAGCAAAATAAATTAATGGGATTCTTAAAGGATTTCCTTGTCTACAAAGAAAAGCAAAAAAAAAATTTAAAAATTCAAAAAGTCAATAAAATACTTTTAAGAACACGAAATAAAGAAAGGAGAAGAATAAAAAATAAATTAAATTAAACTTTTGGTTTTTAGGAAAATTAAAAATATTTTTTTAAAAAAGAAAGCACGCAATTTAAAAAATGAAAGATTTTTAGACCGTAGAAAAAACAAAAAAAGGTTTTTAGAATAATTTAAAATAAATGGCAACAATTAAACAAAATTAAAAGTTTTTCTTAGTTAATTTATGACAAAAATATTAACAAAAAAACAATCCATCATTCTTTCCTAAAAAGTCCATTTTATAGAGAAAAAATGTTTTTAGCCGGAAATACATATTCTAAAATACTAAAATATTTATTTATATAAAGTCACTTTTCTAAATAATAAAAAAATAATATAATTATTGGAGAGACCAGCTGGAAAAAATATTTAAAATAAATGGAACAGTCTAGAAGATACAAATTATTTATAATTAAAATTGAAGAACAAAAAATAACTAATACAGTTGAGAATCAAGTTACAGTCAGTTGAATCTCATTGGTGCAGTTCCATACAAGCTCACTAAAGTGGAGGTATCGTTTAGTTATCCCCCTCCTTAATTAGTATCCAGCGATATTAAATCTTAAAAAAGTTTTGTTCTTGTTTACAAGAAGACAAATATTAAATTTTAAATGTCTTAAAAATTAAAATAACCAAATATCCAGTTTACCCAAAAATAAATAACTAAAAGAAAAAAACAGCTAAAACAAATATAATGAAAAGATTTTGAGAAATAGATAAATTTAGATGTTTTTAAGTACCTAGTACTATCTAGTAAATAACAAAACAAATAACTTAAAATCATTGAGACACAAGAATAATGAAGAATAATTTTTCGATCAAAAATTAAAAATATTTTAAAATATAAAATTGTCCAAAAAAACATACCAGCAACTCCACAATACAAAGTCAGTGCAGCATTCCCTGGATGACTACGAGAATCCCTGCTGCTGTCCCCTGAACAAAATCCACTTCTTCGTTCAGTTCGATATCCTTTACAGGCACAACAAACACCTCCACCAACAGCATCGTTTATATGGCCACAAGAAGTCGAGAAATTAGTAATTGGATCAGAACGAATATCAAATGACTTGAAAATTAAAAAAAAATTAAAGAAATTTTAACATTATTAAGAGGGAAATATTTTTTAAAAAATTTCTGAATATCTAACTCATTTTTAAAAATTTATTTATTTATTAAAATTCCAATTACTTGATGAAAAGAAGAAGGCCCAACACGTGCCCAAATCTCTTTTCTTTTCATACTACTAATCCCAGCACTCGTCGGAGCGGAATCAGTAGAACCCTGTTGCCGTTGAACTGCTGCTGCTCGACAACGAGCTTAAATTTAAAAAAAATTTTTTAAATTATTTTTAAATTAATTTACCTGTGGAAGGAGAAATTGGACTATTTTGTTGTTGCTTTTGCAGTGAGGGAGAGGGAAGTGGAGGCATAGTAGAATTATTAGAGCAATCCTCTGGACGTAAATTAAGTGAGTACTTAGGCTTTGGAAATGTTTGTTGAGGATTAGGGTAATGTGAAGATGTTGGGGAAGACATGGTAAAAAAATCTTCTTCGCCTAAATAATTTTTTTTAAATTAAAAATTAATTGGTAATTACAAAAAAAATAATTTTTAAATTATTAAAAAAGTTTTAGATTTTTGTTGCTATTTTTAAAAAAATTATAAACAAATATATCTTTCCAAAAATTAATATATATTAAAAAAGACGTCTTAAATCCTTTTATTCTAAATAAGGAAATAAATTTTGACATCATCTCCACTAAGAAAAATATGATTTTTGATTTCCTACAAGGAAATATACAGTGTTCGACATAGGTAACTATAACCTCACTCTGATTTCTCGTGTTTCCCGACTTCAATCAAGCCGATTTTTATTTATGAGTAGTTAATACATGTAACAATTCGAAAAAATTTTCATTTTTAAAAGTTAACACGAAAATTTAGGGTGAGATATAGAGTTATGTGGAGCTATAATTAATTTTAATTAAATTGTGGAAATAATCTTTTTAGAGATTTAATTTAGAAAATAAATAAATTATTAATTTTTAAAAGAAGATAATTTAAATAAAATAATTATTAAAATATATTTTCTATTTAAAACCTATTTTTGAATAAAAGAATTTTTTAAAAGGTTATTTTTTTAGTTTTGCTAAAAAATGCCGAAAGGAGTATTTAAATTTTTAAACAATTTTTTTAATTGTTAAAATATAAAAATACTTTTATTTTTTTGCTTTCTTTATTTGAAAAGAAAAATATTTTAAAGTGAATTTTAAATAGAATTATTACAATAAAATGGCTTTTAAATAAAAGTTTGAATAAAATAAAATAAATTGTGTATACATATTCAATAAATTTAATTTTAGAAAAATATTAAAGTACTGAATAAAGTTTTTCCTTAAAATAAATATTTTAGTAACCTTATTTTAAATAAAAAATATTTTTGAAGAAAATTTAAAGAATTTATTTATTTTCTATTTCTAAATTTGTTCCACACTAACGCTTTTTTATCCAAAAAGTATTTGGATAAAACACGCTGCTAAAGCCTTTATATTTCTCTCTTTGTTTAAAAAGTTTTAGGGATCTCTCACCGGATTTTAACTTCACCTTCAAACCCTTCTAAAAATGGATGCCAGTTTAGGTACAGGCTTTTGACAAAATTCTAGACCTGTCTGAGAATTTCGGAGTCGGAGAATTTCGGCAGCAATAAAAAAACTTTTAATTTCAAAGCTTAATATCAAAATTCTGCTATATAGGAATGTAGTAAATAAACAAAATTAAAATAATTAAATTAGAATTGCTATTAATTTCTTTAAAAATTAGAGAAATAATGAGGTATATAGAAAAGAGAAATTTAATTTTTTTGGTAAAATTGACAAGTATTTAAAAGGAAAATTAAAAGGAATATTTATTTTTATTTTTAGGTAAAATACTATTTTGTTCTTTAAAATTAAAAAAAATTTTGAGTTTTGTTAATAAAAAGACATTCTTTTGGTTTTTGTTAGTTCATTTTTTGTTTTGTTTTAGTAATTAGTAAATGTACTTTAGCTAATATTAAAACATAACTTTTTTACGTCAAAAATAAATATATTTACACAAAACATATGTGAAGGATATTTGTTTTAAGCTTGTTTAAATGTTTTTTTTGTTATTCTCTTTTTTTCTAAGTAAATCACTCAATATATTAATTAATCTTTGGCAATGACTAAAAAATATTTTAAAGACTAAATTTAAACAATCAATAGAAAATAAATCAATTGAAAATAAATAAAGTAGTTATAGGGAAAAAATTTTTTTTTAATTTAAAAAAATTTGAGAATTTTGGGTAAAGTAAGTAGGCTCTGCTTCATAAATAATGTAAACTTTACCTTTAAAAAATTTTATTCCAGTTGGAGGAAAAATTTACAGAAATTCAAGCAAGCCTGTTGATCGATATTAAAAGAAAATAAAAAAGAATTAGATCTATATCTCATTTGAGTGTCGAGATCTTGACTCCTTGAAAATCAACGTCGAACAGGGATAAGCCTCTTTAAAAAATATTTTCGACCCTTTATGAAGCAGAGCCTATGTGAGTCTTAAATTATTTTTAGAATTCTCTCATCAAAACGATACAAAAATAATATTTTTTTAAAACAAGAGTAGAAAAAGAAGGTGTCATATGCCCAAATAAAACATAAAAAATAGAAGAATTTACTCCATTTTACTTTAAAAACCGCAACTTTTTGTGAGAAAATAAAACAAAAAGAAAAAGAATTGTTTATATTTATTAGAGAATGAATAGATAATTATGTAGGTGAAAATAAGTCCTCTTGGGAATTTTTTTTTTTGAAAAAATTTTTTGAAGTGGAAATATATAAACAGGCAATTATTTTGATAAAATAAATTTTAAAAAAATAAAATTGGCATTTAAATAAAATAAAAAAAAGTAAAATTATTTAATATTTTAAATAAATAAAAAAAAGTTTTATGAAGGAAATGGAGAGATATTAGAGTTTCAACGGAAATCCCGGTTCAGGAAAGTTCCGGCGTTTTTTGGTTTCGGTTCCGGAAACCGGAACTCAAATTGGATCTGGTTCCGGTTTACAATACAATACAAATCCATTTAAGGGCAAACAACTACCTACTAACTATTAGATGTGTAGTTGTTTGTCCTTGAATGGAGAAATGGAAAAGAAGTTAGGCTAATAACCTCTCGAAAAGTATTGAAAACAAAAAAACTTAAGTTTTTATTAAATTTTTTTCAAATATTTTTAAAGTAGATAACTCAAAATTAATTTTAAAATAATTGAATGTATTTTTTCAAAATAAAAATAATTTCCGTATAAATTTAATTTTGTTTTTACAAATTTATTTAATTAAATAGACTTGCTTAATCTAAAAAAGTTTTTATTTTAGAAAATGATGTCAGTTAAAATAGTAATCCATTAAGGATTTTTTGAAGAAAAATAAATTTATTTTTAATATTTCAAGAATTTTATATAAAAATTCTAAACGATTTTTGATTTTAATAGATTTTGTAATTCTATTTTAAATACAATCAAAAATAAATTCTGTATAGAATTGGATTTAAAAATTGGATTATCACTTTGTGTGGTAGAGCGTAATCAGAATTTAAAAAATTTTTTTAATAATTATTGAAAAAAATTCTTTAATTCTGGGTACATAATTTTTTTTTAAATAACAAAAATAAGCGGCAACCCAAGATTCACGAAATTTTAAAATTTTACAAGTGTAATAATTTCGAATAGATAAAATGCATTTTTAAGAACTTGCTGGTCAGCTTATTTTATTTATTTCCCCCAAATACACTTAATTTTATCTACACTTTTTTCACCCCCAAAGGCGCATGTAAATTCAAATTCTACTTTATTTATTAAAAATAATTATTTAAATAATTATTTACTAACTGGGTGTTGGACTACAACTAGCACTGCTACTAATTCCCCCATTATTTTGTAGATAACCACTATAAGTTGTTGATTTTATATAACGTTTATTGTTGTTATTAATATATTTTGGTGGTTCTAATAAATTAGAAGTACTTCCACTTGAACGAATTTGTTGTTGTTTATTATTATTTAAATTATTATTTATATTTCCACCTCCATCATTTAAAATCATTGTACATTGAAGACAACGAACAATTCCAGAATTTTTTGAATTATTTATTTGGTGGTAAAGATTTATATCATCAATCGGTGTGCCTAAAACAAATAATTAAAAGTTAAGAAGGTAAAAGGCTATGGAGGAATATAGGGCTGTTAAAGGGGTTTTTAGGTCGTTCCCTTTCGCTTCTGCCATTTCCCCCATTTTACCCAAAATTACATAAATATAAATTACATATGTATACCCGTTTTTGATATTAATAAAATTATTTATTTTTAAATTTCTATTTTTTAAAGAAAAGCAATAAATAAAAAGGAATTGATTACCAAAAATAAAACCCTAAATTTGTTGCGAAAAAACTTCAAAAAAATTTATTTTTACTTAATAATTTTTTAACAAAAAAAAAGACTAAAAAACATTTTTGATTAAAAAATTAACACAAATTGACAACTGACTCATTTACTAATTTTTAACTAAAATAATTTTTGAAGTGTGAAAAATTTGAAAAAAGAATAGAGAAAAAAGAGGATAAATTTTGTGTTTTTTTTTAATTTTAAAAATATCAAAGAAAATTTACTAATTATAAATTCTCTAATATTCACGTGAAAAAAAATTTTTACGGAAATTTTAAAATAGAAAGTTATAATTAATTTTTTAATAATATATTTACAAATATCGTCTTATTGCTAGTATGATAATTATTAATTTAATATTATTATTTTACTAGTGTTCAGCAAATGTTTTTTAGAGTTTCGCCGGAAGTTCCGTGATTTTTTGGTTCCTGTTCAGGTTCCGGCCAAATTTACGGTTCCTGTGAAGCACTAGTATTTTCGTTAACAGTAATACCGAAATTTACTTTTATTATTATTATCGGTATTAATTCCCGAGCTTTATTACCATACCGTGCCGAATATAAATATTTTACCAGGTAAACAAAATCCGTGAAAAGAATTTCTTTTCCATTGTTGTTGATAACCAAAAGATGTGTGGGGAGGTTCTAAATGAAGTTTTTGTTGATTGTTTGAATATCCACTTAATTTTGTTACAAATTTAAATTCAGAAGAGGTTGTTGTTGTTATAGATGTTGTTGTTTGTTGTTGTTTAGTTAATATTGGAGGAAAGAGGAAAACAGACATTTATTTTTATTTTTGAATTAATTATGTGTATATTTTAATTTAATTATCAAAAAATTAAATATATTAGCTTTATTAAATTAACTAAATTTATTTTTTTTTATTTTTTCTAATAAAAAAATATTTCTTTTTAGTAATTTACCAAGTCATTAAGCCGTTCATTTCTGCATCTTTTTCTCTCCTTTCCCCCTAAGGAATATATAAATATTCTAGCATACATTAAAGCTTTTGGTTTGTTTTTTTGTCATTGACATAAATTCATTCCCTACTTAAATACTTTTTTAGTATTTTTAAGCAAAAAGTACTATGTACATTATCTATACCAGGCGGGAGCAATTAATTTGTTTTGTCTGACATTAAAATTTTAAAAAAGAAAAAAGCCTATTAGATATATTAGATATATACATACTACATCTAATAAAAAGAATATTTAGAACTTCTTTAGATTTAAAAAAATTTTAAAAATATTTTTTAATTAAATTAGGTAATCTTCTAGTTTACTGATACCGAGAAAAAATTAGGAAGAAGTTCTGTTTCGATATCTTTGAGGGTAATAATTTTGATACCGTTCAACTCAGCTCGAATAGAGGAGTAATAATAGCCCTAAATTTATAATTTCAAATTTTTACCCCGGATCCAACTTTGTTGAATTCGGGTCCGGGGTATGAAATAAGCAATTTTTAAGCTCAGATTCGGACTCGGCACACTCGATTACCTACTGATAACCAACAAAAATATCGAAACAGCACTTCTTCCTAATTTTTTTGGCCTAGTAAACTAGAAGATTACCTTAAATTTTAATTTCTGTGGTAAAAAGATGAGCTTTTAATCGAAAAAAACTTTAGTTTTAAAGCGATGAGACGTCTATCCTAAACAATATAATTCCAAAAAAATAAAAAACAAATAAAATAATCTACAAATTAAAGTTTTCTTTTTTATTTAAAAATAAAATGGCTTTGAAATTGTGGAATAATTTAAATTAACAATTAAAATTAGAAAAAAAATATAGTCATCTTTTTTAAATAAAATTGTTTTTAACAAAATAAAAAAAGCTTTATTTATAGCTTTAATAAATTCAAATATATAAATTCAATCAAAAAAAGGCAAATCTCTGCTTTTGGCATTCAACCAAATAAATTGCCATTCCTTCCTCTCCTTTTTTTAACTTAATTTACAAATAAACACATATTTCACAAATTCATCTTTCCCCCCTTTTTCTCTCATCTTTAAAAGAGGTAATTGGATTTCTTTTTTTATATATTTTAATATAAAATAGCAAAATTTTAAAAATCGAAAAGGAAATATTTAAAAAAAGAATAAAAATAGAAATTTACTGATATTTAAATTTGGATTTAATAATTTAAAAAATTAAAAATAATTTTTAGACATAGATAATTTGATATTAAACATAAGTGCTGGGTATAGCTTCGGAACTAGCTCCGGAGCCGGAGCTAAGATTTTGAAAACCCCGGAGCCAACAAATGGCAAATACCTAGCACTGTTAAACATCTTACTAACAAAGAACCCAAATAAATAAATTTTTTGCATTTTGACTACAATAAGCTGAACTAAAAAATAAATTAAATTTAAGGTTTATCGGAATACGAATGAGTACATGATAATGAATCAGCAACTGTACTTGGTCACTATCCGTTTTTAACGGATTTACCAAAAACTGGTCTAATATTTGAAGTCTGTTTAAAAAATTATTCCTAATAATTTTGGTTTCATTGTATTTTCTTAATCTTGAAGCACATGTACCGAGAAATGTCACCTAATGTCAACGAAGTACAGTAAAAACCTAGAAAACTAAACTATTAAAATTCCACTAATAATTTTATAAAAATCTAAAAAAACAATAACAAAAATAACAACAAAAAATCAACAAAATTAAACATCTTTTATTCTTTTTATTCATTTCTTGTATACTCAAACCACTGATGAATGGCTTCAGCAACTGTACTTGGTAATGAATTTGCACTTCTCACTAGTGCGTAAAGAGGAAAAGGAAAGCATTCCATGTAAGGTCTGAAAGAGCATCCTCCATCAGCAAAATCGGCTATACGCACTTCTGTTATAGATTGTTCAGCAGTGTCCATTATTAGAAAGAGAACAGTAACTCTGTCATGTTCTAGATGTTCCAAATGCTAAAAAGATTTTAATAAAAACTTGAAACAAACAATTTACTTACTTTTTTAATATCAGTAATACCATTAGCAAGCACATCTCTTCCATCACCCAAAATAATAAGCATTTGTTCGGGTATTTGTATGGAACATTCTCTCCCACTTTTAAAAAGCGCTATAGAGGATTCTAGCAATTGGGAAATATCAGTCCTTTGTTGATCAAATTTAAATGTTTGAAGAATGTGTAATCCAAGAGAAGAGTCTTCGCCAGATGAAAAATCAGAAAGCATGTGTACAGTAGAACCAAAAGAGCATATTGCTAACTGACCAATTTCAAGTTGTCTAAGTGCTCGTTCAATTAGACACAGAGCATTGCAAGTAATCTAAAAATATTTTTTCTTCCATTATTAAATAAAAATTTACCTCAGTAAAATGATTGTGCTTCATACTTTGAGAATTGTCAACAGCAATACAGACTTGATAGTTCCTTTTAGCACATTTTGTTCTTCTCATCCATATCTGGTCCTTTCGATAATCACTAGCAATATAGGCTATCAACCTGCGCATATTCAATCTTTTGCCTGTTCTATAATCACCTCTGAAAAAATATATAGGAATATTCTGATCCAAAAAAATAATTCTAAAAATCCTACTGAAGTTTGCTAGCAACAGTTGGTTCAATAATTGAACGTAAAGACTCAGCCAATTCAGAAGCCAATGAAGTAACACTTTCAGAAATAAGAGCCCATTTCAATTGAAGTTGTCGAATATCCTCCTCGTTACTTGTAGTAGGAGTTTCTCGCTCTAGCCTATCGAATTCTTTACATAAATTGTCCATTGAAATGAGTTCATTTGGATTTACTCCAAAATTGAACTATAATTTTTAAATTTGTTTATATTAAAGTATTTATATAAAATAATAATTTACATTTTTTCTCTCGGTGATGTTAAGAAAAACATTTCGTGCCTCCTTTGCAAAAGAATCATCAATAATTTCAATAGATGCATTGTCTTCATTATCCATTTCAATTTCACCGTCTGCCTCATCATTCTGTTTTTCTTTATTTAAATTTTGTTGGTCAGAAGCATTCTCTGCCAATTCATTTGTTTTTATCTCCTTACGCAACCGTCGTAAAGAAATGTCAAATAATGCACGAGTTCGATTTGCTTGTTCAAGTGTTGAGGTTCCAGTAACAGATAACTTAAAAAGCGAAGTTAAAGTGGGAAATTAACAATACCAAAGGTATTCTACAATAATTGAATAATGTATTAAAAATAACCTTTTCTTGTTCAACTTCATCAAAAGCATTTTCTTCCATTTCTTCATCAACAGAATTATCACCTCCTCTTTCATTTCCACTATTACAATTATCCCTGCTTGGCTCAACTTCATTCAATTGCTCATTTTGCTGCGAATCCGTCTCTAGTTGTGCTGATTTTGTTGGGTTTCTAGCAGCAGACTCTTTCTGATTTTGTTCACCATCTACATCTTCTAAAAATTTAATCACAACAATTAAATTCTAGAACACTCACGATCATTTGAATTTTTATCTTCTCCCTGCGTTCTGGCATCATTCTTTTCCTCTTGTTCTTTATCAATTATTCCAGGAGGACGAGCAGCGTTTGGAGTACCTTCAGTATCACCAATTGCGTCTTGCTCAAATTCATTATTACATGCTTCATTGTTTTGATATTCATCATTTGAATCTTCATCTTTCTCTTAAATTTGGAATAAATATAAGGAATTAATTTATTAGTCTGTTAAAATACCTTTTTCCATTTCACCTGAATTCCCCTCTCCATCTTTATCTTCTTGTTTTTCATTTTGTTTTTGATTATCTTCATCTTCACTTAAATATTCTTCACCGTTTCTTTTTTCATTGTCATCTTTTTCTTCAGTATCGCCATTCTCTTGTGTTAACTCATGATCCTCAATATCTTTATCAATAGATTGTTCTGCATCAGAAGCATTGTTCTAAAAAATGTATAAAATACATAATTAATCATTTTTTTGATTTTCACAAACCTCATTTTCATCTCTACGTTCTCCTTTCTCGTCCGGTTCAGTAGCGTCATAATCATCGGCATTTTCATCCTCACTTTGATAAGTGTCTGATGACTTCGCTCCCTTTTCTTGATTCTCATCATTTTTCTGTTGTTTTTGTTGTTGAGCAGCAACCAGATCTTCAGTTAACGAATCAGCCCCTTTAAGAATTATTTATAGAAAGTAATCAATAAAACACAATTACCGTTTCCAACATTATCATCTTCTTCCATTTCCTGTTCATTTTCGTCGCCTTCATTTCGTTCCCAAAGCTTTGGATCCAACTGTCTTTCTTCTGGTTCGTCCACTTCCCCAAAATTCCAATCAGCATTCGGATCTTCTTCACCTTAATTTGACATAAATAATTCATAAAAAGTCGAAAATAAAAACAACAATTATTATCATCTCCATTCTCCTCATCTTCGCCATCTTGCGCATCTAACCCCTCAATGCACCCAGCAAAATCGCCATCTATATCAATAGGATTATCAACTTCGGGCAACTTCTGTTGTTCATCAGAAGGGTTTTCATTTGATTGATCGACATCTTGATTATCATTTAAATTATTTTCCGTTCCATTCTTTAAATTTAAAATAAAATTAGAAGAACATTATTAATTAAAGTTTAAGGCTTATAAATAAATCAGTGTTTTTTATTTTCATTAACCTTAAGTCCCTCAATCTGTTCCATTGCTTCTAATTCCCCACCAACATCCTTAGCATCATTAGTTAAATCGCCATCACCAAATCCACACATATTCTCTACTCTTTTATCATCTCCTTGTAACGATGGTCCAGATTTTGGAACTGGATTGACAAACCCATTAGTTAATAAATGACTAAAAAATAATTTTAAAATAAATAAGGAAAATATTTAAAACCATCCAATTGCAACCCAATGTTCGTGGAGAGAAATTGAATTGAAAATAAATTCACATAAATAATGCAATAAACGATCATATAATTTGTGAACGCCAGTGGCTAAGGTTGAGAATTTGTTAAGTAAATCAATTGATGTGTCGGATTGAATTGAAGATGATAGAAAAATCATTTGAAAATTTCTGATAAGCTGGTTGCTTGCCTGAAATTAATGGAAATAGGTATATAAAATAAAATAACAAAACAAAAAACCTTAAATGCATTTTGTCCAAAATATTCAATCAAACTCCTGATCGCATCGAATCGATTTATACTATCGGAGTTAAGCAAAGATTCCATTTGATTGAAAATGTTTTGGAGACGAAATAAAAGTAAATGCTGTACTTCATCAAATGAATTTTCATTGAAATGTGACTGATTGTCAGTGGATTGAGATATTACATTTTCACAATCGTTGAAAGAAGAAATTTTGTTAATAATCTCGCAAATCTGTCTGGAATCGTCAGGAAAATAGTGCTGGATATTATTTGTCATAACGATAGATTTAAGATCTTCGAGTAACAAAGAAAAATTTTGAGAATATGTGGACAAACGGGTTCTAAAAATTTTAAATATTATTATTTATATAATTTATATTAAAAAATACTTATTCCAAATATCCTCCTCTAAAATATTGCTCTTTTCTTCAAAAATAATAGGCAAATGTAAAATAAATTCTTTTTCATTCTCGTTGAGTTTGTAAAGTTTTGTTATAATACCGAGCAAATCATCAACATTTTTATTTAATTGAGAAAACTGTAAATCAGATTGGCGAAGAATGCCAAGAGGTTCCTGTAAATTTCCCAAATCATGAGAAGTCTGATTGTAATGTTCTTTTGGACAACAAGAAAGAAGCTTTCGAATCCGATCAACAATTTGAAGAATATTTTTAATATAATCACAATTTTGTGCAAATTTTTCAGTCATTTGTTTATGGGTAAATGTGGATAAATTATCCTAAATAAATTTAATCAAAACAATAAATTATAAATATTAACCTTCGGTCTCATTAGATTATCTAACTCCGTCTCAAAACATTTAGAAACTGAATGTAAACGCTTGACCTCTAAAGCACCATTTGTAGCAAGTCCATTAAGTGCACGTAAAATCCAATATAACCCAAATTCAGTGGTACCACGTAAATTATCCAAGATGGAAGGAGAAAGTTGTTCGGCCAAATGAGGAGTATCTTGAGAGCAGCGACGCCAAGAAGCAAACTTTCGCATAAAAACATTTCTCGAGGCGATTGTATGACGAAACAATAAGTCCATCTTAAATGAAATAAATAAAAAGTAAGCTATAAATTTGGAAATAAAAACCGTATCGCCAGCTAAGAGTAAATTCCTGACATCCGGTGCCACTTGTGTCAGTGTTTCAACAGTTAGCTTCTCAGAATCTATTTTATGTGCACGCCTTGAACCGAGACCAAAACGATTCAAAAAACGAATTAAAAGAGAAAAGTGCTGTTGACGTTCGAACAAAGCCCGCCCATGTAACTTTACATTTGCAGAGTCAACAACGTCAGAATTATTTGAAGAGTCGTCTATTAAAAATAAATATAATAGATAATAAAAATATCGTGAGCACTAACTTGTTTTATCAATGCTTTGATAGGGAACATTATTCATCACTAATTGAAGAAAATCAATGGCAGATTCCTTTATATTGCACAATTCATCCAATGCAACCAACTTTTGTAATTGTTTATCAAATCTTATTTCAAAATTGTTGAGCATTTGGGAAAGAGTCGAATATGAACATAGTTGATTATATAATGGTAGAGAACTTGGAAAAGGATTTAATGCTTGAGGTGGTAATCCTGGCAGTTTGTCAAGTAAAATAGGTGAAAGTGATTCATTGGACATTTCCTTAAAAATTGAATATAATTTTATATTCAAAGGAGTATGAATAATTAACAATTTATTGTCTTAAATTTAAAATAACCTTAAATTTTCGTAAAATTCTAGATAATTGAACATGCGCACGCTTTACTGACTCACGGACACTCCATAAATTCAGATCATTATAAGAAACAACACGAGTAAAATTTCGTAATTCAGTTTCGATTCGGCTGTAAAGTTGTGCATAACGTTCTTTAGCTTAAATTAAAACAAAATATTTAAAAACTAAAAAATGGAAAAGGAAACTTTTATCTTTAAACTGCTCAAAATGATCAACAATGCATGAAACGCAACGAGAAAGTTTATATTTCTCCTCGCTTATTTTCTCATTCTCTTGTTCAAATAATGAAATAAAATGCGAAAGAAGTCGACCAGTCCAAATACGAGTTTCAAAATCACCCAATGTTGAATTTTGAAGCCATTCAGTAAGCATTAACAATAATTTGTTTTTATCACATTCCAACTCAAATGCATATTTAAAAAGTGGCCAACTGACCAAAACAGCAAGTTGTGATGTGTCTCGCTTAACAAAACTAATTAATTCGTTCCAACATTGAACTTCACGACGGCGCCATTCTACAAGTAACTCTTGTAAAGGATACATTTGCTCTCGCATAGAGTGTGCTCTATCCGAAATTGATTCCCATGTTTCGGCATACTCTAAAAATTATAAAAAATAAATACACTTTTTTAAAACAAAGAATCTAATTTAAAGAAAATTATGTTAAACTACCTAAAATTCGTTCCAATTGTGCAGCATGTTTCATAAGCGGAACTCCTGCTAACGCATCATTAAACATATCAATGGTAGATAAAAGTTGAAGCAAATGAATATTTTCAGGAAATTCCTTAAGTAAACGAGATGCAGACATTCGAAGTGGTTCAAGTAGTTCACAACATTGAATAAGAGAGCTTGGTTCAGATTCCTTATAAACATTTAACGGAAGACATTTAGAAATTATTTGACGTCGTCCTTCATTAGGTTGTTTTCCCAATTTTTGACATAGCTCGTTGAGTTGTAAAAGATGATGGACTAAAAAATAATAAGAGAAAAATAAATGGATATTATTTTCAAAAAAATAAACTACATGCAAAATTTTCATTTGTTGTTGATGATAAATTGCGATAAAATAAGCCCTGATTAGGATCAGCCAAGAAGGACATAAAATTGAGAAATGGAAGCTTCGGATTTTCAGATGATAAAAGCATCGTTTGTAGTGCTGAATAAATATCATCGCCGTTAAGAGATAAATCAGTTTCTTCGGATATTGGTGTCTTGGTAGTTGGTTCGTTTTCAGTAGATACGCTAAAGTCAGGCAAATAGTTGTTGAACTAAAATAAAAGAATAAACAAAAACAAAAAATTTATCACCTCTTCTTCATCAACATCATTTGAATTAATAATTTGCCCATCATCGTCTAATAGATCTTCATTGTTAACCTTCTTCTTTACAACATAAAGTTGCTCCTTTTTAGCTTTTGCATATTTTTCATGCCATAATTCCCAATGTTTAAAAAGCCATTGCAAGAACTTTATATGACATTTTTCAAATAAAGAATTTTTGAAGTTTATTTTGATATAATCAATATTCCAGAGAATAATGGGAAGTTTTTGACGAGGAGAAAAATTAACATCGTCAGATAGTAAGTGATTAAGTAGAATGTTTAAATTAGTCTGCTCAGTGGGTGACTCTTCAAATGGGGACAGAAAAACCTAAAATGTCTATTTATTTTATATTTTAAAATTAATTAAACTCACATTAATTTTGTTTTGAATACAACAAATAGTAGTTAATCTTTCCTTTGCACGTTTATGTTGTTCGGATAAGGAAATAACAAGGCAGTTGAGAGCAAATAAATAAGGAATAAACATATCAGGAAAAAGAAGAATTGTTGGAAAATTAGAACAAAACAAAGAATATAAGCGTTTCCTCAAAACTTGAACTGTCTGGAAAGCATTCAATAATAAAGAACAAAATCGTTCAATTCTGAAAATATTTAAGGGGTTTAAAAAACTTAAAATTAAATAGGGAATATTATAAAACTCAAAAAAACTAACTCATTTTGAGTAGTTATTGTTTGTAATTTATCTAAATCTTCCAAGAATTGTAGAGTGAAAAGTTCATTTAAAGCAGTAGTACAATTAAATAATTCATAAACAATATTCTCTTGAAAATTCTAAAAGAAATAATTTAAATTAAAACATTTAAATTTACTAAAGTTTTACTTTTTTATATGTCATCTCGTCAGTCTCTAGCATTTCGATTCGATAAACACGCTGACCTTTAGTCCAAAAACAAAAATCTTCTTCTAAACTATTAATTTTGGAAATTGTTGTTTGTCTTACATCAGAAAAAGCAGCAAAGAATTTTGAATGACTGGAGGAAATTGTACAAACCTGATCGATATCATAATTTTTAGAAATCTTAAAAAATTTATTAATTTATTTTAAAAAATCTAAAAGAACCGTTAATTGAAGAAAATCTCTCAAAACACAAAAATAATGTTCAAAATACTGATTTTTAATTTGTAAATAATTCTTCTTCTTGTGAATATAAAATATATGATCAAGAAATCCTTTGGGAGGAGTCAATGAATTTATTTTAAATAAAATTGATTTTATTGAAAAATTTTGGGTAAGGCTAGAAGCTGATGTAACAGAAAAATGTTTTTCACATTCAGATAAAAGACTACTGAAAATAAGAAAAAATAAGAATAGAAAAAAAACGTTTCTTCACCTATTTGTTTTATTCAAACATTTTGATGCAAAGTTAACATCCCAAAAAAGTTCAGAAGTCCGTTCCAATTGATGTAAAGCATCAGACATTTCACAAACTCGAACATGTAGCAGGAGATTATCGTTATAATTAATCCGAGACCACAACAATAAATTGGCAGAATGTGTAATAAATGCATTATTGCTCAAATATGAAAACAACTATAAAGAGTAAAAAAATATAGAAAAATATTTCGGAGAAATGTAGAAAATCCAAACTTACAGATAGTGGCTGTTCAATACAATTAATATTCTGCGCTAAATTGGAGTTGCTCATAAATCGAGAAAATGTTATAATTGTTCATTTCCTCCTGCCTTAATCCAATCAAATAGAGAAGTAGAAGTTGAATTGCTACAAAATAGATAACCAATTTTGTTTAATAATTCAAGTAAATGATGTTTTAAAGAAGTAAATATAGATTTCTGTAAAAGGAATATATAAAATGAAGAAATACAATCAAAAATATACCGATTCTTCTATGTTTTGGCAACCATTAACTAGCAAATTCTCTTCGTATTTCCAACGTTCTAAACACAAACACATTTGATCATAAGTAGTAAACGGCTTGCACAAACAAGCAGAGACACGTAAAGTAGACAAATATTGTTCTCCAAGATAAGTTGAATTTGTAATATTAAATTGTAATTGATTCCATTGGCAATAATGAAATTGAAAGTTCTCAAAAGTTGAAAGAATAATTTCATCGATAATAACAACTTTGTCATTTTCACAAAGAATTCTTGAAATAAAAATTCTCAGTTGATCGTAAATTTTTGTAATTGATAAACGAAGTTCTAAAAATAGAAAATATCTATACTATTAGAAATTAAAATATTTACCCCGAGAATAAAAATTATTAGTAAGACAATCAAGAATAAACGGATTATGCTCTAACACAAGCTCGAAAGGAAAAACAAAAGCCATTTGTATAAATAATTCTATTGGAATGTTTAAATGAATTGATTTGTTAAAAATTGTAGCCCAACAACGGCAATAATAATTGAGGATATTACCTAAAAGATAGAATTTGTATTAAATCTTAAAAATAAATTTTATAATTTATATTCTTACAGAGTAAATCGCCCTTAAGAGAAGGTCGCAGTAAGGGAAAGAAACATTGAATTGATAATTCTGTTGATAATAAATCTAAAAAAAAATATAATAAATTAATAAAATAAAAAATTACTATTATTTTGATTTGTCAGTACGTTGAGAAACAAACTCAAAATGTTTTTGAACTCAATTCCTAAATTTGATTTCATTTTTGCATAAAAAAGAGCTGCGCATTTCAACAATTGTTCTGGAGGTAGACAACAAATTAATAGTTCTTTTTTCATAAGCTTTGAATTCGTAAGATTAGCTTGAAAGTCAATGCATGGATTAAATATAATTGAAAGAGCATCATAAATGTTTTTATTCCAAAATTCTTCCTGATAAGCCAATTGATCAACACAAAATTGGATTTCTAATGTACGATTTCTCATTGCTCGTGAAATTTGGCCATTTCGAGGATTCATTGAAAAGAAAATTCTGAAAATGTAATTTATTAAAGTAAAGGTCTAAAGTCAACATGCCTAAAGTCAGGATGACGATGAATCACTTGTGAATCATCCATGGGTAAAAGAAGTTCACCATCTGTACTCTCAAGACAAGAGTTTAAACAGTCTAATACTGCTGAATTACAACAATTAGCATCTTCAACCAATAACCAATGCCCATCACGAAAGGCACGCAGAAATATACTTTCAATCCATTTGAAACAAAGTTCACCACGATCATCATCAGGAAATGTTAATTCATCCAATGTCAAATTCTCATCATTCTCATTGTGTAAAATCGGAGAAGATTCCATCTGTATGAAATAAAAATAATCTTTTTCGATAAATATGTATTTAACATTAGAATATCAAAATAAGTATCCGGAAACCTGAATTTGTTCAAATGATCCTAATAAATCAAGTGCGTCCGTTCCCGAAGTGAGACGCATCGTGTGAAGTTGCTTTCCATTCAATGCTGCAAGAATTTTAATTATAGAGCTTTTGCCAGAGTGTGAGGGACCAACAAGCGAGAGAAGCCAATTTGCCTGCACGCATGCAATTACCTTATTTTATAATCTGATAAAATTAAATTCAAAAATAAATACTTTCTCCAATAATTCCATCTGGGTTGCCAAAAGGCAAAGATGATCATTTCCGACATTTTCATCTAGTGTCTCATTTCTAATATAATTTAATGTAACATTTCCAATTGACAAAGTCGAGGAATTGAGATCAATTTTAGGCAGAGGCACACTGGGCATCCATTTTCGAGGAGAAAATACTCGATTGTAGATAGCATTTATTACCTAAAAATTTAAATTAAATTTTATTATCGAAAAGATTCGTTTTTGAGGAAAAAACTTAAATAATTATATTATAGTATAATTTTTCGTGCAGCATAAAAACACATAGAACTATTCTCTTTCTCGCAGTTTTTCACATACAAAGTTAAACGCGATGTATTTATTGGTCAAAGAACTTGATCTACGATTAATTTTCGTCAGCAAAACCCTGCGCGCAACTTTGATTTCTCTGCTCACAAATTTAAAGCAACGAAGGAAAGAAAAGCGACACGTCGATGTTCTAGGTTCGATTGACTATAAGAAAGATAGCTTCTCATAAACACCATTTAAATCCTAACGAACATAATTTTTCCAAATGTTTATCTGATAAATTTATTTTACAAAGATGAAAGCTTCAGCAAGATTATTTATAGAAATTGCATTGATTGCAGCATCAGGAATCTTGATAAATGCCCATGACAATGAAAAGAAGGTAGATCTAACCGAGATGTACAAAAACCCTTTATCAAATGGTATAGACAAAATTCGACTGATAATTCTGAATATTAAAAATATATAAATTCGTAGGTTTTGGTGATGATATTGACTGGATACCTTGGGAAAATGCAGTGGAAACAGCTTTGGAAAGGAATAAACCTGTCTTTCTTTTAATCCATAAGACATGGTGTCACGCGTGCAAATGTAGAAATATTTTTTTAATTTAAATGAATTTTAAACTTATAGCTCTAAAGAAAGTAATGCAACAGTCAAATGCAAGAAAAGCATTCAAAAAACTTAGTGAATATTTTGTTATGGTAAATACTGCAGATGATGATGAACCCTACGAAGAGGAGTACAGACCTGATGGAAAATATGTTCCGAGAATTCTATTCTTAGGTATTAATTAAAAATTCAAGAGAAAGCAATTAAATAAAAATCCAAACATATTCAATTAAAAATAGAATTTAAAATTAAATTACTTGAACAGATAAAAATGGTGATTTGCTCCCGGACTTCAAGAATAAAAAGGCGGAGTACAAGAACTATGCTTATTATTACCCAAGTCCTGCAGACATTTTAAATTCTATGAAAGAAGTAATAGCCCATTATGGCATTGAATTATCAAGTGAGAAGAAAGGTGACAAGCTTAAACCTGTAAAACCGCCACCAAAAAAGGAACCGGAAGCGCCAGAAACGAAGGACAAAAAGAAAGTTTCTGATGATGAGACAAAGAAAGCGGAAAAAGTTAAAGAAACTAAGGAAGGCGAGAAGAAAAAAACGAAAAAAGAAAGCTCGAAAACATCAGAACTTTAAAGATCTTACAATCTTGCCATGTTTTATTGTTAGAATTTTTACAAATTTTTAATTGATAAGGAATTTCAGAAATGAGATTAATTAAATTTTCAATATAAAGTGGTAAATTTAGCAAACAAACCTTTTGCTTAGCCTCTTTAGATATTAAACGACTTAAATAAACCAAATCGAAACTGAAGTCTACATTCCCGCGAAACTAAAAAATAATTTTTGTTAGAAAATTTATTTAAAATTATTACAACTTACCAAAACAATTGCCTCCAAAAATCGGAATAAATCTCGTAAATTGAATTCAAAGCTATTTTTCACAAGAGTATTGGCTTCTTTGAAGAGTTTGTTAATTAAAATAATTTTTGCAATAAGTTCATTAGAAAGATATAAATTTCCATTATGGATTGTTTTAGAATATTCAGTCAAAATAAAAATAAAATCGTCGTCAGTCATTTCTTCAATGAAAATCTAAAAACATAAATTGGTATCATATAAAATCATTATTCTCTTGTTTATTTTATATAAAAATTACTTACTGAAATAAATCGGTTAACAAATGATTTTGGCAACGCCCTCCGATCACCACCTTGACTATGCGGGTTTTGACAAGCAAAAAAGCGACATTTACGAGCATCAACATCAAAAGTACGATCCAATTCGCTAATGTAAATATTCTTCCGAAAATCAAAACAAGAATTGAGGCCTTCAAGAACAGACTGAGAAGCCAGGTTCATCTTTTTAATTAAAGGAATTATTCTATTTTATCAAACAAATTTAAAACAAACCTCATCCAATAAAATCCAACTTCCTTCTTTGATAGCTTTAAGAACTGGACCGTCGCGCCAAGCGAACGTGGCAGATTTTCCATTAGATTGAGCAACTGGAACGTCTGTTCCAAATAAGTCGTAAACATCCTAAATATAATTGATAAAGCTTTTAAAAATATAGTAAAAATAAAAACCGTCTGTTCAGAAAGATTAAGTCTAATTAATTTATGACCAGTTGCTGCAGCTAATGCCATCACTAAACTTGATTTACCAGAGCCAGGACTACCCTCCAACATTATTGGCTTATTTGACGCCAACGCACGAGCAATCCGGAGTATATTTTTACAAGTGCTTGGAGAATTTATCGAATATCCTTTAGGAAATTTGCAAGCTTCAACACTTTCGTCGGAACATTTAATGAAGAAAGGTCCAATTGAGAGGCCATAATCGTTTACAATAATATCGTCACATCCCAAATGAGGTAGAACATTTTCACAAATAAAACCATATTTTTGCACAACTGTTGAAAACTAAAAAAACATTAATCGAACAAATATTTTTCAAAACCTTAGCTCGACACTGTTCAATTATCAAGTTTCTATTGAAAGACATACGCTGGGGCATAACTCCTAAGGCATCTAAGAAAGTTGCCTCAATGGAATGATAAAGTAATTTGACAAGCGTATTTAAATTAACATCTGAAGCAATCGTATTCAGCATTTCCATGAATAGCTCCGCCAATCCAACCAAGTCTCGTAATGAAGGAGAAAATCTGAAGTTAAGGATATCAATCTTGTCGTACATCAAATTTTTATCAATAAAATTAAAATAATATCCCTTATAATAGTTAAAAAAATTTAAATTATTTAATGAAGATACTTTATGATTTCAGCAAGCTGATTGGTAAAAAATTCAGTGAAGTCTATAAAAACACTTGCAATCTTATCCATTAATTCAATAGTCAATTTTGCAGATGAATCACATTGTAACCGCCGGCGAAGTATTTCTAATGCATCTTCTCTGTAATAATTGTTTGGACACCAGATTTCTGTAAATCGATTGCGTAATGCTTTTGAAAGCTTAATAATATATGTTATTTTAGTATGATTATTCTAAATGAACCTCTCTCTTTCCATAATCATTCCCAGGATTCATTGTTGCTACGAGCTGAAAACCACAATTCGCCCTAACCAATTGCTCAATTGAATTAGAATCTCCAGAAGTAGACGAAGCAGGATTTGTTAGTAAAATTGTACGTTCCGATTCAAGTAATGAATTAAGCCTTTCAAGAACAGAATCAGAAGCAAGCGAGATCTCATCAATTAGTACACGTTGACCGCGACGCATCGCCTGCACAACAATACCATCTTTCCATTGGAAAGTTGGGCCAATTTTTGAATCATGAAGTGGACGAACACTTCCGAGAAGATCTGAAGCATCTGTTCGCTCATGGCAGTTTATTGAAAGAAGATCACCCTAGAAGTACAAAATTATTTTATAAAAATGAAATAAATAACGTACAAAAAGATGAACAGCAGACGTCTTGCCACAACCTGTATCACCAACAAGTAGAACAGGTTCATTACATTTCCAAGCCTCTGAGCAAAGGATAAGTGTTCGACGTAATTGTGCAGTTAACACTATTTGTTGAGGGATGACAATATTAGGCATAAATGGAGAGTTTTGACCAAAAAGAAGATCGACGTTGATTTTGCGTTGCAATTTTTGTTCCAATACATTTATAACTTCTCGTTCGTCATGAGGTGTGCGACAGCGAGTACCAAGTACAAAATATCCATGATCGGCCATTGACTGTCGCCAATCATCGACTTGTTTCTGAGAGGCAAGCCTATTAGCCCAACGGAAAAGGTCTCTTTAAAAAATAATTGAATAATAAACAAATTGTTAAATCAAAAACCTCAAAGTCATTAAGCCATCTGATGAAGAGAATATTTTAGAGATGGCTCTTCGATTACGCAGTTCATATAAAACGTCGACAGCCAATTTTGCCTGTTTAGGTGCTATGCCACAACGATGTTGAACAATTTGAGGAAGTTCAGAGAGCGGAATTAGATCACATTGAATCACCATAAATCTGTTTAGAAATGCACGAGAAAGGTGTTTACGACCAGAATAAGCACCAAAAGGATTCTGAGTAGCAAATAATTGGAAGTTAGGATAAGCCTTGATGGTGTAATTAAGTTCAGGGACAAAAAGTTCACGGTTGTCGTCAAGAAGCTTTAAATACAAGATAAATTTCAATTTGATTTGCCCGAAATAAATTTAGAACATACCCTATTCAATGCTTCAAGTACAGAACTAGGAGCCAAATTTAACTCGTCGAGAATTATCCAGTGGCCAAATTTAAGGGCTTTTAAAAGAAGGCCCTCAGTAAAAACAAGCCTTCCATCCATATCAGGAGCGTAAGTGCCAATATATTCCTAATCCATCAGTAAAATTTAATAAAGATTAATTCAAAAACCTGGATATCAGAATGTTCATGGTTGTTAATTCGATAGACACAATTACCGCTCATTTTGGCAAGTTGAATAACCATGGAAGTTTTTCCAGCAGAAGTCTCTCCTTCAAGAAGGATAGGATATTTTCGGGTAGAAACAACATTAGCCAATAATTTTATATTCTCTCTGACTGATGGAGTGAAAACATAAATACCGTCGTTAGTAATTGGTTCAGAGCCTCGAGGAATCGGAAAACCTTCGATTAATCTGTAAAAGTTGTTAAGGATTTGAAATGAAATATTTAAAAAATTACATAAATTTGGAGTCATCAATTTGGTCAGCTTTTGGTGCTGGAAATTGAAGAGAAGATAAACCAAATGATTTAGCAAGAATGTTAGACATCATAATTCGCTGATTTACACCAAGTTGACTAGAAAATGAAAGACGGCAAGCACTCAAAATTGAGGTAAGCTGACCATTGTTAGAATAATTGTCACCGACCATTGAAAGTGCACGGCTTAGATTACGTAAACTAAAAAAAGGAAATTAGCTGAAATAAAGGAAATGAAATAAAGAATAACCTGAATTTAAGAGGAAATGAAGCAATTATTTCTTTGTAAAAATTCAGTGTTCCATCAATCAAATTTTTTGGAAGCGAAGGAAGATGACCTCGAATAAGAATATGTAATTGATCCACATCCACAATTTCAGAGACAAAAATTTCAGTGAATTTTGCGCGAATTCCGCTTGGTAATAAACGTTTTCCTATATCTGTTGCGTGATTCATACAAGCAAAAAGACGAAAGTTCTTATGTACATCAGTTGATAACTCGAGCAACTTTAAAGGAATAACAAAAATCAAGTAAAAATGAAAACCTCAACAATAACATCCAAACATTCAGCAGATGCCAGATTTATTTCGTCCACTAAAAGCCATTGTCCTTGCTCGATTGCTTCAGTGACTACACCTTTGACATAAGCAAAAAACATTCTTCGACGCCAACTTTCACCATCATCTTTATCAGCAAAGTATTTAATCATTCGAGAAGTCTTCTTTGCCAATTTCATCCACTCATTACGGGCATCAGGTAATTTACGACAAATTCTAGTGCTCGACTTCAAAATAAGTTGAAGAAAATCACCAAAACGTTGAGAGTTAAAACATTTCTGTTGGATAAATAAAAGTAGTTAAATATATTAATTTTTATAAGCTTACATTGACGTTATTCAAAAACTTGGAATTTTTCTCCAAATCAAATGAAATTTTAAACAAACGAAAATATTCATCAGCCAAAGGTCGAAGAATATTTAATGGCGATGTTGGTTTATAACTAAAAATTTTATTTTTAAAAAACTAATATTTGTATAAATTAATTTACCCTCCCAAAAGATCAGTAGACTCCGATTCCTGACTTAAATTAACAACACGTAAAGGAACACGAAGTAAATGAGATAAATATTGAATTGAACTAGTTTTCCCAACTCCAGTTTCACCCGTTAAAAGAATTGGCTCAGGCGGAGTTTGGATTATTGAAGCAGCCAAACGTTCAAGTAAACATGTAGCATCACGTGTAAGAACAAAATTTGAAGATTGTGAACTAAAAAATAAAATTTAAAAAATTCTTCTTAAAATACTTTATGTCTGTAAGCAATCTCCTTTCTAAATTAATTCTTCCAATTTCAACATTTTCATTGTTAACAACCAATTTAGGATGTCTAATATTTAATAAGAAATTTTGTTCCTCTTTTGAAAGTGAAAGAGCTTCAGAAATACAATTTGCCACATCTAATTTGAGAGAAATTGATGTTAAATGAACTGCCCAGACATCAAATAATTCAAGAAAAATTGCACGAGGATCATTCAAAATATTTGTTGGAGAAGAGCATAAACGAGACAAAGCAACAAATAAATCCCGTGTATTAAGTAAACGATCAATTGATATCTAAAAATTTAAACAATAATAAAATTGCTGATTTCCTCCTCCTATGGGTTAATAATGTAATTAAAAAACCTTTTTTGTTTTTATTAAATCTGACACTGCAATGAAAAGTGAAATAATCTTCTCGCGTATATTCTCCAATTTTGGATATTTTTGTTTAATAATTTCATTTAATTGATTAAAAGAAGGAGCAAACAATTTGACTTTATAAGGATATTCTTGTAAAATTAAAGGAATTGAAAATATTTGTTGAGCATTTTCTTCAATAGAACCCAAAATACGGCAATTTTTATTCATTTTTATTTTCATTCCATTGGGTAATTCAATAGATTCATTATTGACAAATTGTAAAATAGCAGAGGCTAAATCAGGACCTCCATGGTCAATATTTTCCAGAAGGATAAGACATTCTTGTTGTAAACACTAAAAAAGAAATTTGATTAAAATGTTGTATAAAAATAAGAGTGAAAGGTTAACAGACCTGAGCAAATTTTGACGGCTTCCAAACAAATTCACCAGGAACTTCTGTGCAAGTGTAACTTCCATATAACAACTTGATAAAAAAAATTAAAAATTGTTTTTGAAATCCAATTAAACCTTAACATCAACTTGGTGGCTAATTTGTAAAATATTTAAAGTAAGTCCGCATTTTTCACTGATAATTTTTGCTGAATGGGTTTTGCCTGAACCAGAAGGCCCCTGAAACATTAAAGAATAAATAATCTGAAAGAAATACTAAACCTGAATAACAACAAAATTTTTAACAAGAAGTAATTGAGCAATATCATCAACTGTTTTGAAAAAAAAATTCAAAAAAAAATTTGTACTTATTAAAAATTTTCTTAAGATTTAAAATGAAATAAGGTCCACAACATAATTCAGACTATATCTTTAAAATTTTAGAAAGCAAACCAACGTACTGCGAGCCCAACGTGCCTTAGAGCTATAACTTCGTTCAAAATAGTCGAATCCGGGACGCCATGTATGGTTCGATGCATCTCGACGAGCTGAATCGAACCATATCAGGACGTCCTGGATTCGGTCATTTTGAACGAAGTCTGCGGTACGTTGGCCTTGGGGTGCACGTTGAGGTGTACCCAAAATTTTATTTTTTTAACGATAATGTTTTTAGAGTATTAAAGCTGATCACGAATCTGAAGACGGATTTTGAATACCTAAATCGTTTTCGAAATAAAAACCCATGACTTTAATATAAAAACTGATTTTCATTAAAATTTTAAAGGTAAAGTCTGATTGTCTACGATTTCCAATGAAGAAGTTAACTATTAAAATTAACAAACCAAAAAAATTACTACAATCTCCTAATGAGGAAGTTGGAATGATAAGACAATCAGCAGTTTCATTAATTTCATTGTTGTTAGATAATTGTTTATGTTTTGATGGGAATTCTAATCTAGCCTTTTTCAATGCTGGCATACCTTCCATCTTTATTAAATTAAGTGCTTATTTAACGTCTAAAACAAAATTAGAACAAAAAATCAGTTAAAGTGATAGAGCTTATCAAGGGAACAATTATTCAATGATAAACGTGAAAAACTCAATATGCACTTTTTATTTTTAAAATACAAAATGCCAAACAATTTAAATAACCCTCATATTCAATTTAAAGTTCAGCAAAGTCGTTTTTGCGGGATCACGCATGCGTGAGCATCTTTTAAAAAAGGTTTGCAGGGGCCTATACAAATTAAAATCTACATTCTACATCTACAGCCTACATCTACAAATTATAAATGTATATGTAGAGAATGTAGATTATAGCCGATACAAATTAAACAAAATTTGTAGATATAGATGTCGCCAGAATTATGTAGATTTTTGTCAGAATTATGTAGATTGTAGCCTGTTTAATACAAATTAAAATCTACATTCCAAAAATCTACATTTTTTATCTACATTTTACGGAAATTTGGTAGACGCTAAAAACCTCCTCTCAAATCTAGTTTTTTATTTTTTACTTGTAAAAATGGATGAAAAATAGATTTTCGCTAATTTTAATGACTCCGATGATGATGAAATTCAACAACAAATAAAATATAGATTTAAAAATCGTATTATTTACAATCAACCCAATGATTTTTATGAAAGATTTCGCTTTACGCACAGACAAGCTGAACTACTCCTTCAGGCTTTAGGAATTGTTAACTGCATTAATTGATAACCGATTAGAAGACAAATGAGGAGTTTGAAGAAAACGTTATAGAAATTATTTCAAATAAAAATGATGGTTATAACGAGGAACCAGAAGATAATCGGTGGAACAGCAAATAAAAACTTTTATTGAATTTAATCAACTTGAAAAAATTGAGATCTGATAATATATTGTGTCAAAATTTTAGTTATCAAAAATTTAGTTACTAGAAAATATTTTTAAGTGTAGATGTAGATTGTAGATGTAGAAATACCAAAAATATAATTTGGATCGGCTACAATTCTATCTACATTTGCAGAATACAAATCTACAAACTACATCTACTAATCTACATTTTAAATTTATTTGTATTGGCTACATTCTATAAATCTACAATCTACATTTCACTTCAATAAAATTTTTAGATGTAGAATGTAGATTTTAATTTGTATAGGCCCCAGGAGTAACTCCCGAGGGAATTATCTTGCAAAATTTTAGACCCGACTGATCAATCTCCCGGTTTCAATGCTCTCTTCCTTTTTCTCCCGCCTTCAGCTTTTGGAGTACGGTAGTGCCTCCCTGGTCCACTACTACAGAAAATCGTAAGGGAGCAAGTTTATCCTCGAAGGAAATATTCAAATATACGAATTAGCTCAAAGACAATTCGAATTTTGTGGATATATTTTACTCACCCTCGGTTTTATTGTGTGCTATTACATAAAGTTTCTAATTATGTAAATATCTACTTATAATTACATAACTTATTGCATTAATTTTAAGCTAACTTTAATATTATTTTTCTTAAATGTACTTTTCTAACTATAAATTCAAAAAAATTTCCAAATATTTCAACGATTTCCGTCAAATCTTCGAAAAATTCTGTCGGTGCTGATGGTCAAAAGCTAATAGTTTATTTTCATCCGCCGGAGAGCAATTACGTGCATCCGCGCTTTTTTTTATGATTTACTTGCCTATTCAGTTCTTTCAATTGTTATTTTCTACTCTTAAATTGTTGAAATCTTCTAGTTATTTTTCTACTTTATAAATTATATTCGGATTTGTGAGGCATTTTACTAAATATTATTTTAGGATATTTATTTAAGTACTTTCTTGTCTTAAATTTTATGGATGGATTTTATTAATTTTTAATAGAAACCCAATGAATTTCAATTATGCTTATTGTTATTTTTCTGATGTAAATTCTCTCTCTCTCATTGTCTTTTAACAATTTTACGCTTTTATTACCTTCCAGATTTAAATGACAAAAATATTAAAAAAAACCTGAATTTTTATGTTTTTTGTATTTTACTTGATGATTTTTATGTTCTCTAAAGGAATAATAAAATAGCCGGTAAAATGTGATTAAAAGTTAATAAAAAAAGAATTCGATTTTTTAATTTCGTCAAATAGTCTCACTTTTTCGGTTGGGTGTTTTTGACCTTAAATGCATTCTTTTACTTGTTTTCTTTGTTTTGTGCATTATGTTAAGGTTATTTTGTAAAATTAGCACCTTTTATTTAGCGTAAAATCATCGAGGTGAATAAATAGAACATATAAAATAATTAAATAAAACAGTCAATTTTTTGTTTAATTTTTTTTATTTTTACGTGCGCTTTTAAAAGTTTTTACTCATTTTTGTCAAAATAAAGATATTTATCTATCTAAAAATTTTACTAGTTTATTCGACTAAAAATAAGTTTATTAAATAATTTTAAATTATTTAAACATTTCTTTGAACATTCTGATTTTTGCTAAATATTTTTCTTTGGGTTTGTTCCAAGAATCCAAACTGCGAAACATATGTACAATTTTTGGAAAATGAAGGGAATGTTCCACCGGAAGTAAAAATTCGGCCTGAACCAGGACTCCCGAAAAACACTAACTATTATAGTTAACGCCCAATTTAATGATATTGCCTCGATACTTTTTTGCCGCTTCAAAAGGAAGTTTAATTCATCTAACAATATTTATTGAGTTGGGCGGTATCGGGATTCCGACCTAAAATCGGTATTTTGGAAGGATGATTCCGATCCCGGTACCGGTCAGGATCTCGATGCCATTATATTATTTAAATTATTATAGAAATACCGTATCTATTCTAATTGAATGGCCGCCATGTAATTTTTCATTCATTCAAAAAAAGTGTCATTCTATTGGAGGGGACATTCAAATAAAGAGGGGGCATTTAATTAGAATAAATACTGTAAAACTTGTTAGATTTAATTTTAAAAAATGATAATATTAAATATTTTTTATTTTCTTCAAATTAAATTTAAAAAAATTATTAAACAACAAAATGATTTAATTAGACAGTAATGACTAAAAATGATTTAAAAAATATTTTATTGAAAGAAAAAAGAAAACAAAATTTAATTTTTCCTTTACTTTTGCAATTTTATTTTTTAATTTCTTCTACTCTGAGGCAAAATTTAATTTTTAAATTAAATTAATAATATTTAATATTTTAGTTTAACTCCCGAAGAACGAGCGGATATAGCTAGAAAGTTTAAATATTATCATAAATCTGTTAGGCCTTCAGAAGAATTTAATATGTTAAATACAATTAATGGTTATTTTAAATTAAATTTTCGGAAATTATTTATTTTTAGGCACATTTTTTCGTTTATTAACTCAATTAGAATTAATTGATACGAGAGAATTTGAATTTGGAGTGAGAGATTTAAAATAAATTATTTAATAATTATTTATTTAAAAGAATTCCCCAAATTATCTTGGTTTAGAATTTTCTTTGTTTGTCCATTTTCGTGATGACAGATTACAATTTAGGGATTTAAATGATTTACCTATTTCCTTACCTGATGAATTTACTCCTTGGCAGGTAAATAAATAATGTTTAAATATATTTTCTAAAATTATCCGGGATGAAAGTTAAATATAATAAATTTACCGTATAACTTGTATTAATTGCCCTCCCTTAAATAATCACCCCACTTCCATCATTTACCCTATCCAACGATAGATTGAAACAATAATTACCCCCAAACAAGTACCCTAAAACACGTTCAAATTTCAAACCTCGTATAATTATTTTACTCCCTCCAGCGGAAGGTCGAAACAATAATTACCCAGGGTAGTTATTAAAGGATATACAAAAAATAATTTAAATTATAATAAATATATTTAAAAAAGCCTCGTATTCAAATACTTCCACTTTTAACAACACAAACAATTCAATCACAAAAAAGTATTCATTTAAATCCAAAAAATGGTTTAATTACTTTTGTATATCGGTAATTAATTTTAGAAAATTTTAATTTTAATTAAAAAAAGTTTTTCTGGCCAACTTTTTTGTAATTCGGATATTTGGAAAGAACCTTTTGAAAAATATTCTTGTCAGTTTTGGTTTGAAACTGAACTTGGTAAACAAATTATTTTTTAATTTAAAATGTTGTTTTTTAATTTTAATATAGATGAACGTTTACAATTAACGGTTATTCGAGATCTTCGGCCAACAGAACAAATAAATAAAATTGGAAATGAATATGGTAATATAGTTATTAATTCTTGAAAAAACCCCCTCTTAGCGATGCCTTCTCGGGAAATTATCCCTGCTTTTACTCACAATTCAGTCGGGAACGCCACTATTTTTGTCTCTCATTCCTCACCTATTTTTAAAATATTTAATTTTGAAACAAATAATTTTAATTAATTATTTAATCTAGAACAATGGCCCTGGTTATTATTACGTTTCAATTTTTGTTCCTCAAAATGGAAAAAAGCTTTAATTTGTGAATATTTACCTTCTTTAATGCTTTTTGTTTGTGCATTACTTGCCCAATGGAAAAGACGAAAAATTCAAGTTGTTGTGTTGATTGGTGTTATTATTTGTTTAATTTTATTGGTAAAAAAAGTATTTTTTAAATTTCCTAACTTTTAAATATAACACAAATTTTTTAAATTTAATTTAAAATATTCCAATTAATTTAACTAAAAATTATTCTTTTTTAAAGCAAAATATTCTTTATTCAAAAAATATTTCTTCTCCTTTTTCAATAAAATTAAATTTAATGGATTTTTGGTTAGCTGGAATTTTTGTTCATTTAATTTGTTTACTTTCAATTGATTTGGCATTCCCCGCACGCCGAGTGATTATTTTTAAACAAAAAATTATGAAAAAAAGAATTAATGATAATAATGATATTCCTTTAGAAAGTAGAGAAATTGATAATGAATTAATTGTGGTAAATTTTGAATAAATAAAATGTTAAATTAAATATGTCATTAAAAAATGCCTAAATATAATTTAAAAAATAATTTTTAACAATTATTTCACTAAAATAATATGCACTTAAAAAATATTTTTAATGAATTATTATTTTTTTATTTTTAGCATAAAGGACAAAGGAAACAAAGAAGAAGAATAACAACTACTTTAAATTCAAGTAATTATTCATCTCCTTTAATTTCTTCGTTGTCTCGGAAATTAGGAGTACATCAACACAAATGTTAAAAAATATTTTCTAATTAATTAAAGGATTCTTTTTTAATATTATTTGCTTATCCCTATTAGAGATCGAGTTGGGGCTGGACCAAAGCCTGGGGTTTTCCTGTACCCAGAGTCCAGGCCCAGGCATTTTTTGACCTTCCTGGGTTTTACCTGGGCTTGGGTCTTTCCTGGATTACAGGCCCAGGATCCGGCCCAGGTCAATAAATCAAACCCAGAGTCCAGGAACAGTCCCAGGCTTTTCAAAAATCTCGAGCTCTAATATATACCCATACTTAACCATTATTTTGGCCTAATACATTATATCAAGTTAAAACTTTAATTTTGTCTCACCCATTCCAGCATGTTTATATTGAAGGGCGAATTTCTAAAAAATAAATAAAAATCATGTAAATTACTTAAAATATTTCAAATTTTATTTTTTCAGTTCCAACTTTCGGTCGGCATTTACATCATCATCTCCCTTCATCCTCCAATTCATTACTTCATCATTATGTTTCAAGCCCAAAACTTTCTGGCAATCAACAAAAACAACAAAAATCTCCAATATTTTCAAATTATAAACGACGAATTCTTTCTGGTAATTTATTTAAAAATTTAGATGAAAAATTATTTTCTTTTTATCGACAAAATATGAATAAATATTATTATATTTTCAACTTTTTATTTTCAGTATTACCAACCTCTATATCCTCATCACCTTCTTCTCCCTTTAATTCAACAAAATACATTAATCCCTATAATCAAATAATTAGAACTTCATCAGTTCCTCCATATAAAGCTACTTCTTCCTCTTTCTCCGAGGCTGGTTAAAAGTTAAAAAAATTTAATTTAAATATTTAAAGTGTAATGAAGGGAAAGAAGATGTTAATGATGGAAGAAGACAACGAGCAATAGCTCAATTACTCAACGAAATGGAAAGAATTAGAAATATTGACAATGATGACAATGAGTTTTTTAATTCCGTTTAAATTAATTTTAAAAACTTTTAAGAGCCGTTGAAGGAACAAATAAATTAATTATTCAGTCTTCTAGTCAACAAAACTCTTCTTTAATAAAAAATCAACAAAATAAACAATTTTTAAGAGCACCACCACCTCCACCCCCATCCAAACCTCCTACCAATATTCCTCAATCCTCCCTACCTTCACAACAACAAAATAATTATTATTCATTTAAATACCCTCAAAATGTAGCAGGACAATATAAAATTGGGAAAGTACAACAATTTTCTGATGAGGAAGAAGAAGAAGAGGAAGAATTGGGTAGAATTGAAGGTAGTGGGTTGGGAATGCCTCGACAGAAGAGGTAATCTAATTTAGTTTACAAGAATAATCAAATAAAATATTTAATTCATAGAATTCCATTCTTGGCTATCTTTACAAGTTTTTGCATTTTTCTCTGTGGTTACCTCATTATAGTTTTGATGGTATTATTTGAATGGCTATAATTTAGAATATTATTATACTTAAATAATTATTTATTTATATAAATATATTGCTTTAAATGTTTAGTTAATTAAATTCATGAAATTATTTGAAAGTTTAACAAACAAAATAAGCTTTCTCGACGGAGAAGGGATTTTTTTCTTTTTTCCGCTGCAAGCAAAGATTTTTGGATTTTTTGGATGGTCAAGAAACCAAAATTACTTCTTTTCTATGTCGCAGAAATGTACGAGGAGAGCAGAAAAATTTTGGGTTGTAGTATAGTATACTGGAAGTGTATTTCAACTTTTTTACCCAAAAAATTGTCCCTGTGCTATAATACATATTTAGGGGCCTCCGGTATATTATATTCAAATTTTTCTACTACTAGTATACAACCCAAAAATTTCGTATACCCGATTTTTTGCAGATTCCCATTTTTTTTTAAATTAATTTTTGTTTATATTAAATTTCAAATTATTTAAATTTATACTTTTTATTTATTAATAAATTTTTGTTTTTTAAAAAATTATTTTATGAAATATTATGCAAATTTGATTTTCTGAAGGAATGTACTATTTTCTACGTGGAATTTAAAAAAATGGGAAGTTAAAAAATAAAAAAAATTAAAAAATATTTTTAAATAAAAATAAACATATTTATTACATAATTTTACGATTAAAAGTTAAGAAAAGGAGAGAGAATATGTATACAACATATATTTTTACAGACAACAATACATAGATAGTAGTTTAGTGTTTTTAATTCCAGCAACAATTTTTATAAAAATATTTAAAAAAACTTAAATATAGAAAAGCGAAGAATTGAAAATAAATATGAAAGTATCGATATGTATAACGAATTTAAAAAAAAATATTAAATTAAGATTACATCAATCAGATTGTTATATTTATCCAATGTACTCGAGTTCTTTTGAATGATAAATAACTCGCTTAAGTAATAAATACAAGGCTAACTAAAACACCTTTCACCTCCTACTAATATTCCTCAATTCTCCTTTAATTGTTTATTATCAACATTTGTGTTGATAAACAATCACTAAATATGTGTATATGTATTCAAAAATCCAACACAAAAATTTATATTATAACTTTTATTATTTATTTTTTAATAAAGAAGTAAATGGCCTTAAAAGGAGTAAATGACAGCACCAAATTGATACTTTTGAATATTCTTTATTTTTAAATAAATACCAAAAAATAATATATTTAATTTAATCTAAAATGTATTTTAATTTAATTAATTTATTTATTTTAAATAAATTAATTAATTCCCAAGACTTATTTACATCTTCTGCAGAATTACAACAATTAGTACATGTAGAAAAGGAAATTCCAAAAATTATAGAAAATTATATTTTATTAGAAAATGAACGTTTAGAAAATTTAAAAAGGTAGTTTTTAAATTTGTAGAGTTGTGGATACATTCAATTAATATTTGAAGAAAATAATAAATTAAATAGGGGTAGTTAAAATTTAAATATTACATATCAGAAAAACTAAATTCACGATTTTCGGGAATTATGCTTTTTTGGTGGGTGATTTGGTGGATATTTAGGAATTTCGAGTATATGTATAGGAGTATATTTTGGTTTCCCTAAATCCTTCTATGAATCCCTGAATATCTCCTACACACCTAAAATTATCTTGAAAAAAGTCGGATCGAAAAGCCCATGTTTCGGGCTAGGGTAACCCTGATATCCCTGGTAGGGAATTTATGGGGATATTCTATAATATTGATTTATAAAGATTTTTCCTAAAAAATTAATTTATTTAAATAATTTTATAGTATAGCAAATAAATATTTAAAAGAAGAAAGTGAATTATTTAAATTGGAACCAAAAAGTGTTTTAAATCCTTTAAATGCTCTTAGAGTAATAAAAAAATTAACAAAAACTTGGAAAGAAATTAAAAAAGAAATTCAATCAGATTTGGCCGAAAATTATTTAAAAAATATATCAAATCAAAGAGAAACTCGTTTTCCTACTGAGGTGAATTTTTTATTATTTTTTTAACTAAAAGTGAAAATTGGAGAGTTTTAAGAAGTGCTTGGGAATTACTAAATTATAAGAAGAGGTAAAAAAAGGAGGAGCACTCGAACTAGTAGGTACGAAGTAGATCTGTGGTAGGAAAATGTATTTTTGTGGTTTGGTGCCAGTAGTACTTTTAAGTACCAGTCCGGTACTTGGACTGCGGAAGTTGTGTCGAAAACTAGTTTTAAGCAGATTCTTAAATCGGGGAGCTTGAAATGAGAGCTGTAAACTTATTTTTCCTATCCTACATGTATTTTTTACTTTTTAAAAAGGAGGATTTAAATGGAGCAATTCAAGCATTATTACGCTTACAAGATACATACAAATTAAAGACTAAAGATTTAGCTAATGGAATTCTTGAGGATATTAATATAAACAAACAAATGGATGGTAATATTTGGTTATTAAATTATAAATATAAAATAATTATATTTAATTTAGCAAAGGATTGTTATGAAATAGGTTTGGCTGCATATAATGAAGAGGTAGAATTTTTTAGCTTTGAAGCAGATAAAGGGAAAATTCATCCTAAATACTAGATCTGAGGACGAAGCTAAGATTTTGAACTGAAGCCAATTTCATTAAATTTCTTTTCTATCATACTGATACCAACCATAATTATTAATAGAGGCCGCGGAGTTAAGGGACGTGGCTCTTCCCACACCTCGAAGAGCCACGTCCCTAAAGCTCGACTCGAACACGAAGGTCAATCAGATACAGCCTGTTCCCACTTTCAATTCGGTCGAAAAGAAATGAGTGGTTAATTAGTAATATAAATAATTAAAAAAGGATTATTACCACTCAATATTATGGATGGAAGAAGCAAATGAACGTTATTATTTACTCGAAAAAGAATCAAAAGAAATTAACAAATCTGATATTTTAAATATTTTGTCAATTTCTTTATATAAACAAGGAAATTTAAAGAGAGCTTTAATTATTAATGATAAATTAATTGAATTAGGTAATTGAGAATTAATTAATTTATTAAAAAATATTTAAAAAAAAGATCCTTTATATCCAAATGCAACAAATAATTCAAAATTATATGAACAAGAATTATTAGCTAATGGAGTTAATGAAGAAGATTTTCGTTCAAATATACCTCCATTAAATAATTATAGACCATTAAACGATACATACTATGAGTCTGTTGATCGTTTGGCTTATGAAGAACTCTGCCGTGAAGAAAATGAAATTGTTTGTTAATTGGAATTATTTTAAAAATAATTTCACAATTAATTCTTTAGAATATAACAGAAATATCCAAACTTTATTGTTATTACAAAATGGATCGTCCATTCCTTCGATTAGCCCCAATTAAAGTTGAAATAATTCGATTCGAACCTTTAGCTGTTATATTTCGTAATGTTATTTATGATGAGGAAATTGAAATAATGCAGAATATATCATTACCAAATTTTTTTAGATCTCCGTTTGGAGAAAAGATTGTAAACAGTCGTTCCAAATTTAGAATTAGCAAAAGGTTTTGTTTGAAATAATTTACTTTTTATTTTTAATTTTAAGTGCTATACTTAACATAAAAACACATCCAATTGGTAAACAAATAGCTAAACGTTTGAAATTAATGACTAATTTAAATATGAAGTCTGCTGAACATTTACAAGTAAAATAATAATTTTTAGAAATTAAAAAAAGTTTCTATTTAAAAGATGGGGAATTATGGAATTGGCGGATATTGTGAACCTCATACCGATTTTCCTCAGGTTTATTCTTAATATACATAAATTAGAATTTTAAATTTTTAAAATCGAAATTCTGGTATAACATAAAAAATACATATTAAAAATTTTAATAAAAATATATATTTGTTAGAATACAAACGATTCAAATGCATCCATGGGTAGTGGATACAGAATTGGAACAGTTCTTTTTTATTTAAGTACACCAGAAAAGGGTGGATATACCGCTTTTAGTAATGTAAAAACAATTGCTAAATCAACTAAAAATGATGCTCTTTTTTGGTATAATTTGCGCAGAAACGGAGATAGAGATTTAAGAACAATGTTTGGTTTTCTTTAAATATTTATGTATTACTTATTTAGGCATGCATCTTGCCCTGTTTTGCTTGGCGAAAAATGGTTCACGATTTCTTGGATACGCGAAAGAGGACAAGAATTTTTTCGTCCTTGTGGTTTAGATCCATCAATACAAGAACGATATGTTGGTGATTTGGGGGGTCCAGAGCCCCGAAAATATCCAAACATATCACCATATTGAAAAGAAGGATTATATTGAAAGTGAAAATATGTAATTGTGATATCTATTTATACTTTTGATATTTTTAAAAATATTTTGGTTTATATGTACAGTGTATATATATCATTATGTTTACGACCACTTGTTAAAATAAAATAATAAAATTATTTTAGCGATTTGGCTCAGAAAATCTTCCCCCGTGGCATTTGGGGTCTTCGGCCCCAAACACGCCGGCTAGTCAGTTACTGTATTTGACGCCTGTGTTGTGTTTAGCATGTGCGGTCGGTTGTCCCGCTGCTTTAGTGGCCTTTGGCCCCCATATACTTTGGCTTGATATTTTATATTATATGATATTTAAATAAAACTGTTTTTGAAAAGAAAAGTTTTTTATTTGTATAGTAGTAAATAATTTATGTTTAGTACTCTGTATAAGAGTCGAAAGATTAATTTAGATTAACAAAAATAAAATTATAATTTTTTAAAAATATCACAATTATTTTCATTCACAATATAATCCTTCTTTTCAATATGGTGATATATTTGGATATTTTCGGGGCTCTGGACCTCCCAAATCACCAACATAGCGTTCTTGTATTGATGGATCTAAACCACAAGGACGGACAAATTCCTGTCCTCTTTCGTGTAACCAAGAATTCGAAACCCATTTATCACCAAGCAAAACAGGACAAGCAGCATGCCTAATTTATCAACAAATTAATATTTTTTAATACTCCAAAAACCTCGTTCTCATATCACCTTTTCCACTTCTCCACAAATTATACCAAAAAAGAGCATCATTTTTAGTTGGTTTAGCTACAGTTTTTAAATCAGTAAAAACTGTATATCCGCCCTTTTCTGGTGTACTTAAATAAAAAAGAACTGTTCCAATTCTATTTCCATTAGAAATTGAATTAATAGATGTCTCTGTTATTGCTTCATTCTCCTATAAATATATTTGTTTTTAAATTAATTATAATAAAAAAATTTAGTAAATACCAAAGCAAAGTCATAATGGGATTCATAATGTCCACCAATTCCATAATTTCCAATCTAACAAAATTAATAAAATAATATTATTTTTTAATTCTTTATCAAGCTTTTTTGAGGTTTATTCTAAAGCTAATTTAGTTAATAACCTGTAACTGTTCAGTCCTTCCCATATCTAAACTTGTCATCATTCCTATACGTTTATCTAATAATTCTGTCGTTGGATTTTCATTATTTCTTAGCCAAGCACTTTAAAATTTTAAAATTAAAAAAATTAATAATAAAAAAAAGAGATATTCCACCTTTTACTAATTCTATAGGAAGCCGTCATTGGATTTCCAGTTTTTGGGTCCTGAACTTTCGCTTGTCTAAGTTTTGGCTTAGATAACTGTTTTAATATTTCAATTTCTTGATCAGCAATAATATTACGAAATATAACAGCTAAAGGTTCGAATCGAATTATTTCAACTTTAATTGGGGCTAAACGAAGGAATGGACGATCCATTTTGTAATAACAATAAAGTTTAGATATTTCTGTTATATTCTAAAGAATTAATTGAAAATTAATTTTAATGAAATTTTTATTTGAATAATTAAAGAAAGTATTTATATTTGAAATCTAAATTTATCATTATTAAATTTATTTTTAAATTTAATCTCATTATATAAAGCAGCCGAACCCATCTCAGAAAATAGCAATAGATGTGGTCCTTAATTGTGAAAGTTATCCGATATGTTAACCGATCAACCATGCCATCATCAACTAATCATACCCTTTTTGTATTATTTGCCTAGGCTTAAAGTAAGAAATTTCCTCCTTTTCTGCTTGGAAATCCGCCGGCGGCAATTATAAAATTATAATTTCATAATAAATATTCTTGAAAATATTAAAATTAAAAAATACCAAAGAAACTTCATCTCTGCATAATGATTCATAAAGTAATTGGTCATCAATATCTACAGAATCATCTTTTTCTTCTTCTTTTATTGAGGTATTATTTAATTGAATATTATCAGTTTTATTTGTATTCTTTGTTAAGTTTCCCCATCTATAATTATTTAATGGAGGTATATTTAAACGAAAATCTTCTTCATTAACTCCATTAGCTAATAATTCTTGTTCATATAATTCTGAATTATTTGTTGCATTTGGATATAAAGGATCTTTTTTTTTTAAATATTTTTTTTTAAATTAATTCTCAATTACCTAATTCAATTAATTTATCATTAATAATTAAAGCTCTCTTTAAATTTCCTTGTTTATATAAAGAAATTGACAAAATATTTAAAATATCAGATTTATTAATTTCTGTTGATTCTTTTTCGAGTAAATAATATCGTTCATTTGCTTCTTCCATCCATAATATTGAGTGGTAATAATCCTTTTTTAATTTAAATTAAATATTACAAATTAACCGCTAATTTCTTTTCGACCGAATTAAAAGTGAGGAACGGTGTGTATCTGATTACCTTCGGGGTTCGAGTCAAGCTTTAGGGACGTGGCTCTTCCAGGAGTGGGAAGAGCTGCGCCCCTAAACTCCGCGACCTCTATTAATAATTATGGTTGGTATCAGTAGGATAGAAGAGAAATACAAAAAAATTTTCGATTTGTGGCTCCAATTCAAAATTTTAGTTTCGTCTCCGGATTTTGTACTTAGAATGTTTTTAGGATTTCCAAAGCTAAAAAATTCTAACCTCTTCATTATATGCAGCCAAACCTATTTCATAGCAAACCTTTGCTAAAATAAATATAAATAATTATTTTATATAATTTAATAACCAAACATTACCATCCATTTGTTTGTTTATATTAATATTCTCAACAAGTCCATTAGCCAAATCTTTAGTTTTTAATTTGTAAGTATCTTGTAAGCGTAATAATCCTTGAATTGCTCCATTTAAATCCTCCTTTTTAAAAAGTAAAAAATACATGTAGGAAATTGAAAATTTCATACTCCCCGATTTTTTGCCTCTGATATAAGAATCCGTTTAAACTTGTTTGTGGCTTCAATTTAAAACTTTTGGAGCCACAAAAAACTTTTGTTTGACCCTATTTGGTAATAAAGCTGTACTATTTGTACCGGCTCAGAAAAAATCCATTTGTGGAACACTCTTAAAACTTGGAAATTCCAGATTTGCTCGTACTCGACTTCCTCGTACAAGTACAAGTACGAATTTTTATAAGAGCGTTCAATCACTGCTTTTACTTGACCTATTTAATATAAAATTAATTTAAAATAGAAAATATTGAGGGGAAATATTTAGTGTTTCCCCTCATTAGTGTTTACCACCTCATTAGGAAAACGAGTTTCTCTTTGATTTGAAATATTATTTAAATAATTTTCGGCCAAATCTGATTGAATTTCATTTGAAATTTCTGCCCAAGTGTTTGCTAATTTTTTTATTACTCTAAAAGCATTTAGTGGATTCAAAACACTTTTTGGTTCCAATTCAAATAATTCACTTTCTTCTTTTAAATATTTATTTGCCATACTATAAAATTATTTAAATAAATTAATTTTTTTAGGAACAATATGTAAATACACATAATTATTATTTTATTGAATTATTAGGGGTTTTCAAAAATTTTCATAATTTTCAGTAATCGGATGGACTATTTAGACCTCTTGGTAATTATCGTTTATTTCTCTTCACACCTTCTTTATACAAATAATTTATTTTCTAAATTTTAACTAACCATATTTTCTTCTTTAATTAATGGTTCATAAATTAAAAATTTAATTTAAAAAAAAACCTTTTTAAATTTTCTAAACGTTTATTTTCCAATAAAATATAATTTTCTATAATTTTTGGAATTTCCTTTTCTACATGTACTAATTGTTGTAATTCTGCAGAAGATGTAAATAAGTCTTGGGAATTAATTAATTTAATTAAAATAAATAAATTAATTAAATAGAAATACATTTTAAATTAAATAAAATATATTTTTTTAATTTAATTTTTTAAATAATTTTTTGAGTAATTTTGTTAGAAAAAATTTAATAAAAGATTTTTGTATACTAAAATGAATGGCTTTCAATTTCTCAAAATTTTATTTTATGTGTTGGCATTAAAATCGAAGGTTTCTTTTAAAAAATCTATTTTCTATCTTTATTACTTGACTCTTGCTCAATACAAACATTAAATTTAATATATTAAATTCCATAAAATATAAAGTTTGGATAGCTTTGCATTTATTTAAATTTAATTTTCCATTCTTTTGAAATTGCAAATACTCAATAATTTTTATTTAAATTAACGGGGAAAAGGTAAAAGAATTTTTTATTGATTTGGCATGAGACATAAAATTATAATCAGAAAATGATTTTATTTTTTATACTTTAACTTTTAATAAATAAAACATCTATAGCTTCACTTTTTTTATATAAAGTCAAATCCCGGTATAGTGGGACTGAAAGATCGTGATTAAGACGAGTTGTACAAGTGGAGGGAGATATCGGTTAGGCATCTCCCTATCAATCTGTGGCCAACCAAATTAAAAACCATATACAGGATTGAGTTGTATTTTTGTATTAAAAGGAGTATTTATTAGTTTTAATAATTCAAAATTAAACTTTAAAAAAATCTTTATATATTAAATGCAATATTAAAAATCACAAAAAAATATTTTTAAAATATTTTCTTTATTTTTTAGCTCTTTTATCAATTTAATCAAATTTCGCTAGGCTTTCCTGTATTGCACACAATGGATTGTTCTAAATTATCAGTTGGAATAGTATGATTGTTATTTGTAAGAACATCTTCGACCAATTCCAAATGCTTTAAAAATAAATTTTTAAAAATAAAAAAAATAAATTTAATTTCCAAATATCCTACCGTATAAACTGTATTAATTGCCCTCCCTCAAATAACTACCCCACTTCCATTAATTACCCCATACAGCGATAGATTAAAACAAAAAATTACCCACTCCCCCCATAAATGCCCTAAAACACGTTCAAATTTCAAACCTCGTATAATTATCCACCCCCGATTAATTACTCCCCCCCCCCAGCGGAAGGTCGAATAATTACCCGGGTAGTTATTAAAGGTTCACGGTATCCCTTCAATGGACTGATAAAATTAACTTAAAAAATTTTCATTGTAAAAGAATTAAAAAAATGTAAATTCTCTTTTTTAATTTTTATTTTAAATTAAAACTTACTCTTGACAATTTATTCAAGTCTTCTTTTTCTTCTTCTTTACTTTCCTCAAAATTATTTTCTTTTATTATTTCAATTTCTCCATTCTCTTTTAAATGTTCTTTTTCATCTTCTACCTCCTCCTCCTTACTTGTTTGACAAAATTCTTGATTATTTTCTGAATTATTAATATCTTCTTCTTTGTCTTCTTCTTTTTTATTTTCACAAATATTTTCTTCCTTCAAATTTTCCTTTTGCTTAATTTCCGATTCTTCTATTTTATTATTTTCTAACAAATCAACATCCCCATCACTTTTTTGTTCTTCTTTTGGTTCTGAATTTTTGTTTTTTTCAATAGAAATTTCAATTTTTGGGTCATCTTCTTCTAAATTTTGAATTTTTTGTTCTTCCTCATTTTTTGGAATTTTTTCTTAAATTTTTAAATTAATTATTATTTTAATTAATTTAAATTAATTTAAATTACCCAAAATTGGTTCTTCCAATTTATTTTCATTTTTTTCTTCCAATTTTTCTTTATTTTCTTCATTATTATCAGCAGAAACTACAGCATTGTCTGTCCAAACTTTAGCCATTTCTGTTGCCGCATTTTGAATATAATCACCATTCTTTTCTGTTGATATACAAACTGCTACAGGTTCGTCAGACGCTGTTCGGCCATTGGTTGATGCTGTTGGTGGAAATGCTACCTTTTAATAATAAAGAAGGATGTTTTGTTAATGATTAATAAAAATTATTTTAAAAATAAATATTTCAAAATAATATGTAAATATTATTCAAAATTCTGATAATATTTAGTATAATAATTATTTAAATAATAATTATGTAAATTCTTTAATATATTTTTAATGTAAAATTAAATTACTTCATCATTAATTTCTGTTGAATGTCGATTAGTTCCACCATTTTTAAGAGAATATTTTTTAGAATGTTTTTGGCCCATTAATTTTTAATTTTAGAAATATTTTTAATATTTAATAGTATATTTATCTTCAAAAATAAATTTAAAAAATTATTTTTAATTCGAAAAGATGATTATTTTAAAGTAGAAAAGCTTTAAAGAATAAAAAGAATTTAAAAAGCTCTTCTCTCTTCCCCATTTCAATCACCATTTTCCAACCATTTTTATTTGCCGCATCGATTTATAGGTTTATATAAAAATAATTATATATTTCGATTTATAATTATTCTCAACAACCCAAACACAAAATCTGTCCATAATTTCCGTCCCCAAATGTGTGAAAAGCAAAAAATAAAATAAAAATAACCCCCCAGTGTCAGTCAATTTATTTTTCGACCAATAAAAAAAATTTTTTTCTTTTTTTAATTCTTCTGCATCATCACCCCTTTTTCCCTTCTAAAATACCCTTTGAGTGGCAATTTTATAGGGTAATACTATCATAAAAGAATTTATATGTATGGACATAAAAGAATGGAAGAAAATGAGTGGCGGTCATTTTTTTAAAAAAATTTTTTTTGTTAAAATATATACACGAAAACAAAGTAAAATGAGAAGCTAGTAAAATTAGAAATAAAAAGCTTTTAAATTTTTTTGGAGATTCATTTGTAATGCATGTCCATCAATATAATATGGATATTTTAAAGTACATAAAAGAAAATTAAAAAAACAAATTGATGAAAAGCTTTAAATAAATTTATATTAAAGGAATTTAGTATAAATACTAATTTAAGAGTTTAAATTTCTTATTTTCGGGATTGAGGTACGGCGTCAGAGCGTCATTAAGCGCCGTAATAAATACAAAAACAATTAGAGACTGGATTTCAAATATTTTTTGTTCTTCAAAATACCTAATAATTTATCTCCTTCACAGTTAGCTACAGTTAAAAAAACGTCACTTAACTGACGGTTATAGTATAAGAGATTCGGCTGTATAAGATAAGGTAATATTTTTACTACAAAGTATTTTTCTTTAGAATTTCTTATTTTAAAATATTTTTTAGAAAAATATTTAAAAGCAAAATAAAATGTTATTAAATAATAGGATGTTCCTATATAATTTACCTTCAGTTAATAATAATTTTCAGATAAGAGAATTCTAAAAAAGGACAATAAATAATAAAATAACTAAATTTGTGTATTAGTCATAAATAGGAATATTAAATAAGTAAATAATTTTGAAATAAATTACAAGAAAAAAATAACTATTAATGGAAATTAATAGAAAAGTATATTTAACCAATAAAAAAGTAAATATGTAGGTAGTTAATAAAAAGAAATTAATAAATTGAAATTAAAACAAAAAAATATACAAAAATATTATAAGCCTACCTTAAATATTAAAATATATAATACCTAATATCCATTTTTAATTTAATAGTCTACATATTTAACCATTTATAAATAAAAAGATCCAAATAAATTCCTCACCTTTTTATTAAGAAAACACCCAAATATTTAAAAAGAATTTGTGTTCTTTTTTAGGAAAAACAAAATTTAAAAATAAAATCATCCCCTCCTCCCAAACTTGTCCTCAGTCATTTTATTAAATAAATATTTTGTGATGAATTCTTTTGGCGCCATTGGCTCAAACTGATAAGAGAAAAGTAAAAGCTATTTGGAATTTAAACAATTTTTTATTCACTCTCCCTTTCCTCATTTCTGGTAGCAATGAATGATTGAAACAAGAAAAATGAAAAAAGAGAAAGGAATGAATCACAGACATTTTTTAAGAAAAAAAGGAAATAAATAATTGTGATTACATTTTTATATTTTTAAACAAAATAAATATATATTTATGATATATTAAATAAATAAAAATTCAAAAATGTTAGAGGAAGCCGTCAGCTGTTTTTAATTAAAAAATGATAAATAAATAATTTTATATTTTATGAGTAAATTCGATAAAATATGAAAATTAATTTGGAAATTAGGTAGACTTTGGATAATATAGAAATAAAGTTAATTTACGAAAAAAAATAAAATGTAAATTTAAATTAAATTTTAAACTTTTATTACGTAAAATAATTAAGTACTTTAATTGTACCGTATTTATTGAAATAGTACGGCCCCCTTTATTAGAACGGCCCCCTCAAATAGTACGGCCCTTTCGATGAGGGTTGAAAAATAGTACGGCCCCCTCAATTAGTACGGCCCCCTTATTAGTACGGCCCCCATTTAAAAACTATAAAAAATAGACAAAATTTGATTTTTTAATCATAGTAATTATTCCTCGCAATATTTAACTAATTTATTCAATCTTAATATCTATTGGTATAGAAATTGGAGTGCTTAAGAGGTAATACTTTTAATTCCCGACATCATCCTAAATTCTTGATATCCCCCATAATCCCCATCGTCCTTGATTATGGACATCACCATAATTTTTCTACTCTCCTAATACCTCGAAATTAAAGACTTTCACTCAATCCCTCCAAATCATTGATCTCACGAATATGCTTGACCTGATGCACGCGCGGAAGTACTGATTTTAGGGTTCAGCGTACCGGTATTCAGAGACCTCGCGATCGGGATTAATCTAAATATGTATCGGGATTTGAGATAATGATACCGATACCGGCTCGTGATCGGGATTTAAAAATTGGTATCGGTATTTTCTAAAAAAAATTTTAATATGAGCAGAAATTAAATAAATTTATTTTTCAATTCAAAGATTTTAATAATAATAAACCGCTGAACCCTAACTGATTTAACGCTTGCCTCTCCACAAAACACGAGGTAGACAGATGCGCATGGCGCTTTACAAAACGCTCTACAAAATGCTTGATACAGATGTCATTATAGACGGTGTCTTAAATAATTTTTAAGTTCTGCTAATTTTATGTTTGGAACAAGCTTTTGATTTGGAATAATTTCCGAGCATACTATTTTGGATACTATAAAAAAATTTAAACACAAGAAATTCAGATAATTTTGAAAAAGGGTTGAAAAATAGTGCGGCCCCCTCAATTAGAACGGCCCCCTCAAATAGTACGGCCCTTTGGAAGAGGGTTGAAAAATAGTACGGCCGGCCGTACTATTTCAGTAAATACGGTAATTGTAAATTAATTTGGAAAGATTTTTTATGAAAATATTTTTTCTTTTAATTTATTTAAAATTTGTAAAGCCAATAAACATAACCAACCAGCAATACAATAAACCTTTAAAAAATAATGAAAAAATTTTTTTGTTTTTTTTTGAATCCAAATATTTTTTCCCAATAATTCTTAAATTATTGAACTATATTTTCAAATTAACCTTTCATTCTTTTTAAATTAAACCCCAACTAAATGTAAATAATTTAATTATTTAATTGGTTCATTTAAAATTATTTAAATTACTTGTTCAATTTTATCTGTGAAGAACAAGATGAGTTAAATCCTCCACTACCGCTACTGCTTCGACCTCCCCTCCCTCGATAGCCACCGCGATATCCTCCACCACCTCCCCATCCTCCTCCGCCACTTCCTCCACTACCTCCACCACCACCTCCCCGTCCTCCGCGACTACTTCCACCACCTCTACCTCCTCCTCTACTTCCACCGCCTCTCCCTCCTCGCCCACCACTTCTTCCTCCACGTCGTAAACTTAAATTTTTTATAAAATATTAACTTCACTAATAAGTTTTTAAATATTTAATATAATTATTCAGCTTATAAAGGTCTAAAAAGATGTTCTGGTATTTTGAAAATTCTGTGGGAACACAACAAAACTTCTCTAAATTTCAAAGCCCAGTTAAATAATTTATTAAAAATTGAAATAATCAAAAAATAGTTAATTAGAGAATAAAATGTATATTTTTCTTTAAAGACCTATTAAAATGTTAAATAAATTTCTAAAAATAAATTTACTTAATTATTAATCCTTCTCTTAAATCATTTGAATTTTTATTTATTTTTTCCCCGACGAAAGAGTTTTGAATTAAAGTTTGTTGTTTAATTATTAGCTCTTTTAAATTGTTAATAAATATTGTGAAATAATTGAAATAAAATCCACAATTTAATAAATCCAACTTTAAATTTTTAAAATTTATTTTTTTAATAAAAAAATTATTAAAATACCCTAATCGAAATTAAATTTTTTAATTCATCATTTTTAATGTTAATAAAAGTTCCAATACAAAATATTATATTTGAAGAAGTTAAATAAATAGTTAAAGAATTTTCTGAACAATTTTGTTGTAAAATATTTTCCGAAATTTGGCACTAAAAGTTTTTATAAATTTAATTTATTTTATTATTTTTTGGTAATGTTACTATTTTATTTTCTTCAGTCTCAATTGCAATAAATAATTGAATGCCTTCACGAACACATTGATTTGGGGCATTTGGCTAATTAATTAATTTAAATTAATTTAACAAAATATAAAAGTTTAGATTAAAATTGTTTGGACAATTATAAAAAATATATTTTGCAATGCTGTTAATGGTGATATTCAATATCTGATTTCATCAAATTCTGACAGAATATCGCCACCACATTCTCATTTAGTGCTATTCCCTACGATTTTCCAAGAATGTTTCTTTAGTATTTTTTATATTTTTATTTCTATATATCTTGAATTCATGTCTTAGTCCTGAGCCTTGGAAATTTTTCGATCATTGACAACTCTACTATTCCCTACTCTCTTTTGTTTCATAGTTTTTTTTATTTAAATAATGACTTATACCATTTTTGTAGATTCTTTAAACTCCTTTATAATTTTATTGAGATTGGCAAGCTGATTCTAAATTGATTAAAATGCTTAGTTTTATTTAATAATTTTCAAACTTTTGTAAATAACTCATTATAATTACAAACAAAAGTAGGTTTATTATCTTGACAGTTCCAATGATTTTTGTTTTCTGGATTTAAATTATTTTTTTCAGTATTTATTCCTTTGGCTGGGAGTATATTAATTAAAATAATTTTAAATAAAATTAAAAAATTAAATATTAATTTATACATTAATTAAAAATTAATTAATTGATGAACAATTATTATTTAATTAATAAATTAAAAGCTCCAGTTAATTTCTGACATATTTTTTGTTAATATTTTTAAATAAAAATTTTTTTCCAAATGATTCATTAAAATATATACTAATTTATATTTATTATAAACTTTATAGTTAATCAGAAAATAATCATGGAGATTTCTCTTACGACCCATTTTTGAGAAAATTATTCAAGATTTATTGAATTATTCTAGTAATTATTATTTCTTGTTTTAAATAATTTTTCTTAAAGTTTTTAAGATATAAATTTAATGTTTTAAATATATAAAAGCTTAGTATACACCATAAATTTAATAAATTTTATCCCATTTTAATAAACGAAAATATCAATAAAATTTTGTTACTAATAACTTTGTTAATTATATATTTTCGTAATTTATCTATTAATTTATAAATAAGTACAATAATTCCTATGTAAATTATTGCCAACGTTTTTCTTTTTCCAATTTTTTAATAATGTACTTGCCTTACTCCATAATAAAAAATGTACAAACTGATTGTTCCTTTTTTATTAAAGTAAAGAGTAAATACAAAGAATGAATGAATAATTAGGGATACGTGACTACGATCTACCGAGTTTAAATCTAAGATATATCACAATAACTAAACTTTAAAACTAGACACAGATAACTAACAAAAATGAGATCTATATTTATTTTCTAAAACTAATTTATGTTTATTTATAAATGCGCAATAGAATCAGTATCGTCATCTAATGAATCTTTACTTGAATATATTGTTGATGGAATATTATCAGAAAACCGTAATAATGTTATATTATTATTGTTTTGTTGTTGTTCTTTATTTGTTATAAATACTAAATTTGTTAAATTATTATTTATTCCTCCAATATTCATTGTTGATGGGGCACTAGAAACTATTGAACCCCTCTGTTGTGCTGTTAACATTATTCTAATTCTCTGAAAAAAAAATAATTTTTTAACACTTAAACTTTAAAATAAGCAACTTTAATTAAAGGACCAGGCGTTGTAATAAACATATAAATAATATAAGCAGGAATTGACAGACAAGAGAGCATTCTGAATAGCCAACCTAATGACACTGACCACCTTTTTTTAATTAATTAGGGTAGAAAAAAATTTAAAAAAAATTAAAAAAAAGTTACCAAGGATAAGTATAATTATTTAATTGTTTTGGCATAAATGAGGCAGAATATAAAGAAATAAAAAAAATAAATCCAATAAAAACAGGACAACAAGTCCAACAAATACGCCAATAAATACCGGGGTAAAACCCAAGCATAACATGAATATCCTATTTATAATAAAAATTATTTAAAAATAATTTTAAAAGAAAAAAAACTTCGCTAAATCTTTTAATTCCATAAAACCAACAAACAGCAATCATTTCACACATTACAATAAAAAGTACGGAAAGAGAGACTCCATAATCATCCAAAAAGGGAATAACATAACGACCCCCCTATTTATTGAAAAAAATAAAATTTAAGATTTTTTATTAAAAATAGGGAAGTGCGAAAGTAAGAAAATTTATGCACGTTTAGGTATTTCTTTCCTTCTTGGAGTTGTGCCTAGGATTTTCAGAAATGGATATCAAGATCTGAAAAAAGGCAGGATATCCAAAAAATTTTTGTTCGGATATTGGATCCATATATTCAGGGATTTTCCAGGATACGCCAACCATGACAAAGGAGAGTGCCTGGGGTGTCCGCGGGACTTCGGGATGAAATTTGGTAGACAGGTAGATCATACCCTACTTTAGTATAATTTAAAATTATATTTAAAAATTATACTTTCTAAAATTTATATTTGACTACAAATATAAGTTATATAAATAAGAAAAAAATTAATCAAAATTACGTATTTTTAATGTTTTTAGTGAAACTCTATTACACTTAACAAAATTTACCTACTATTTAATATTTTTTTAATTTAATGATTAAAAAATCTATTTAAGAACCAACATAAGTAACTGCTGGCAAAGATCCAATATAAAACATTCCTAAAACTAATGCTACAAATATTTCCCTTTTTCTAGCCAAAATTCTCGGATATTCATCACAAAATCCAGTAATAAATGCCTCAACACCGCTAAACTACAAAAATAAAGATTTCCTAACAAAAAATTAAAATTAATTAACTGTGCTGTCAATGCCTAAAGTGATTAACATAAAAAAGAAAATAAGTGACCAAATTGGAGAATAATCCATTTCGGCAATTGCTTGGGGATAAACAACAAAAATAAGGGAGGATTCGTCCTTTAAATTGTTTGAAAATTTATTTCTTTTTAATTAAAGAAACATACTTCCCCAACAACTTCACTAACAGGTTTATTAGTTAATTCACTCATATAGCCAAGTGTTGAAAATATAACAAAACCAGAGAAGAAAGAAGTAAAACAATTAATTAATGAAGTTACTAATGCATCTCTTTTTTAAAATTAATTTTTTAATCGGATAGAATACAGCGGAAAATCACTATAAGATTAGACCCACTACTGGATACATTCTCAATTTAAGATATTTTTTAAATCTGATTGTCCAATAGGCGGGTAAGCTGCTCAACATAGGCAGCAGGGAACGAGCTGTCCCGGTCACTAAAATCGGGAATTCTCGATGTTTTGGGTCGGGAATCGCGATTTCCCGAAATTGGGAATTTTGTTTTTTTTGTTGGCTCGTTCCCTGATAGGCAGCTTAAGTAATAACCCTTTTAAATAATCCCATTTTTAGTAATGTCCGAGTATCCCTTTTTAATACCCAGTCATTATAAGGTAAAGTTTTTTCAGTCCCAGCGGTGTATCCTTATTGTTAGGGCAGAATTCTAATCACAAATAATACCTATAGCAATTATTATTAAAATCATTGTAACTACTCAAAGCAAGAAGCACTCCAAAACCCGGTCCTAAGGAGAAAAATATTTGTGTAGCAGCAGCTGTCCAAACTTCAGGCTCTTTTAATTTATCAAAATCAGGTGTTAAATAATAATAAATTCCTTTTGACGCTCCAGGGAGTGTCTTTAAATTTAAAATTTTTAAATTTAAATTTAAATTCTATTTACAAGTCCTCTAATAAGCAAAATAGATAAAACAATATATGGGGCAGTTGCTGTAATCCAAACAATTTTCCCTGTACTTTGAGGACCTTTCCATAATGCAAAATAAACAATTAAAAAGACAAGAAGTAGGCAAAAGGCCATTGAAGGTTTAATTCCTCCAAGATTATCTAAACCTGTTGATTTATCACTTTCTAGAACTGAATATCTAAAAAAATAAAATTATTTTTTTTAATTAAAGGAAGGAATAATTTACATATAAAATTCTTGTGAAGGTGTTCGCCACTCCTGTCCATCTACAGCTGGCTTAACTGAAGTATTTGAAGAGTTGTGAGTGTCACGACACCATTCAGTATTCCCTTTATTTAAAAATTTATAAAAATATTTGTAATGATAATACAAACAGGAATTATTGCAATGTAACCAAGGAACTTCCCACTAAAAAATAAAATTTAGAAATTTAACAAGAAAACATCTCCAGAAATATATTAGTAGAATATATTAAAGGAATAAGCTAGTTAGAATGTCCAACTGGCTAGGATTTAAAAAGCTTAGGAGGCTGGAGAGGGTAAATCAGTCATCTGAACGTGATGAATGAAGAATCTAGTTAATAACTGTCAGGAGATTGCAGGTTCGATTCCTGCCCAGTTTTAATTAACTCTTACTCCCCTCTCACAAAGATAAATCCCTATCTATTTCAATATTTAGAAAGGCATTTTTATTTATCTCAATAATAATTTTCTAACTATTTTTTATATAAAATCACCCCAACAGAGCTGATAAAAAAATAAACAGCATGAGCAATTATTGCATTATAAAAACAAGCAATAAATGTGCAAATGAAGCAAATACCATAGCCAATACCTTTAAAGATATTAGAATAAAAAAAGATTTCTTAGCTCGAATTTTAAATTAACCCTTGAACATTGGACAAATCTTTCTCCAAATTGACAAACAACCGGAACGATGAAACTTTAAAAAATATAAAAATTATTTTTTAAATTAAAAATACTTGTCCAAGTACTAATTCCATATAAAACATTGGAAGTCCACCAATTAATAACTTATTTAATTATTTAATTTATATAATAATATAATAATATTACCATAACAATGTAAGGAATTAAAAAAGCGCCTAAAAAATTTTTAATTATTCAAGATAATCTCGAATGAATCTACCTCCCCCATGTTTGTAACAAACAGAAGGAAAGCGCCAGATATTGCCTAAATCGACAGCATAGCCTAAATAAATATTGAAAATATTTTTTCAATTTTATAATAAATTTATTTAGAATTATTATTATCTCAATAAATAATATTCTCTTTTTTAACCCAACTCTATTGGGATCATAACAAATAAAATTTGAATTTTTTCAACACTTTGCTGAATTTTAGTAATTATTTAATCCGTCGTACACAAAGGGGGGGGGGCTCATTAGTTATGTTTCAGCCTAATTATAATTTACCAACCAATAACAGCTAACAAAAATTCCAATTTATTAGCCCATCTTTCTCTCACAAAAGAAGAACGCCTTCTCATAATAGCTGCAGCTGTTTGTAACATACTAGGACGACGTCCCCCTTCCCCCATATTTAATGTTGGAGGTGTTGATATCCCAACAGTTAATAAATTATTTTGTTTTAATATCATCTCCTCTTCTCCATCATCTTCTTTATTATTAATTAATACTTCGTTTCCAGAAGTTGGACGAATTATGCAATATTTAGAACGAGATTTTGGGAGACGAGGTAGTACTTAAAGAAGGGGGGAAATTTGAGAGAATTTATTCTCAAAATACATTCTGCCTGTACAGAAGTGTCTCTACATCTTTGTTGTTCTTCCTCTGCTTCAGTCTCAGTTTCAGCATCAATCGAAAGCAAAGGGGATCCAACATTACAATAAGCCCCATCATACATCGTTACTGCCCTTATTTCTTCCATTTTTTCTTCTGATTTTGGAAATAATTGCAACCCTTTAATTAAAAATAATATTTATTTAAAAAAAACAATTACATAATTACTTATTATTTTTGTTAAATACCCTTTAATAGAATATTTAACAAAAAATTTTTACTTGTGTGAATTTTTGAAGTGTTACAAAATAATATATTTATATTTTTAGGAAATTTTTTGAAAAAGAAATTAAAAATTATTGGAAATTTTAAATATTTTAAAGCATTTTTAAAATAATTAGTAATTGATATTTTATATGATTCATTAAAATTTTTTTTGATTTTACACAATTTAAGAAATAAAAAAATATTTATAAAGTCGGACCTCATATTTTTCGTAAACCCAATAATAAATGTTAAAAATTTTATCAGGTCTCTAGAGATTTTTATATTATATGTATTATTAGGGAGTTTTAATATTATTAGATATTAATCATTTTTAATATTAATTATACATATTATTAGAAATTTATTTCCCTACGTTTAAGAATTTTTTTAGCTTTGGTTAGTCATTGGTAGAGATCGGCTCGATACGATATTTTTTCGATATTTTTCGATATTTTTCGATATTTTTCGATATTTTTCGATATTATCGACCGAGAAAATTTTTACTTTTTCGATATTTTTCGATATTCGATATTTTTTTCGATATTTATCGAAAAATATCGACCGAGAAAATTTTTACTTTTTCGATATTTTTCGATATTCGATATTTTTCGATATTTATCGAAAAATATCGACCTAACGAATTTAAATATCGAAAATATCGACCGACCAAATACAAAATATCGAATGTCATTTTTGACAAAAATTTGAATTTTTGGCGTCAAAAAGGATGAATTTTAGCTTCCTGACCATCATAAATTCGAAAAATTTTTGCCTGCGGCGCTGTAAATGGAAGAATTTTGCAACTTGACCTCCGAGATTCTCATAAGATTGTTGGAATATCCTTTCTTATCCCCTTAATCCATCATATTCCTTCGATATCCCTACAAAACAGTGATATGAATTAAGAAAAATTCCGGCAGATTAAGTGAGATTTCACTGGATTAAGAGTAATTTTATAGGATATCCGAAGGTTTGTTGGGATATTTAAGATATCCAAGGAGCATGACGGATATTGTGGATATCCGGGGTAATCGACTATTTGTATAACTAATAGAGGATTAAGTGGATAAAATGGATCTCGAGGATCAAGACGGAGCTTTGGGAGAGATGGTTTTCTAAACGAATACCAAATGCCAAGATATTTTATCCGAGATATCCCTCTTAATCCACAAATTCCTTGATATCCCTCCTGATCTCTCAAATCCACAATATCCGTCTTACTACCTCTAAATCTCTTGTTACACTGTTTCCAATATCCCCCTTAATTCCTTAAAATCCATTATGCTTCGCTAGAATCCGTTATATCCACTTGATCCTTCGATAACAAATACAAGCCCTTGATATTCAATTTAATCCGTCCAAATCCACCAATATCCCATTTAATCAATCTTAATCTCCTTAAACTATTTGGCTATTCTGTTATTCATTGGTTATAAAAATTTTTTGAAAAATCGAAAAATATCGAGACTTTTTTTTCGATATTTTTCGGTTTCGATATTTTTCGATATTTATCGAAAAAATATCGACCGAGAAAATTTTGAGTTTTTCGATATTTTTCGATATTCGATATTTTTCGATATCTATCGAAAAATATCGACCGACCCCTCCAGCCGATCTCTAGTCATTGGGTAGCATTAATCTCTCCTGATTAGGATTGTCGGTTTTCAACCAAATCGGAAAACCGGTAATTTTCGTCTCGGTTTGTCAGTTCGGTTAACAGGAGAATTTGGTGAAAACGATACCCCTACTCCTGATTATGTATTCAATTAATTAATTATTAACCCAATCTTCTCCTTCTTTGTTGCATTCTTTTACGCAAATTCTCTTCCTTTGCATTATTATCTTCATTTATTTCTTCCTCCTCTTCCTTTTCTTCTTCTTCATTTTCTTCTCTTGATAAAATAACCATTTTTGTTTTAATTTTCTTTTGTTTTAAATAATCTAAAGAATATCTTTCTGTCCATAAACTATATCTTCGTTGTTTTTCTTTTTTATTAAATAATTGAAAAGAATTTAATGGTTGGTGGGGGTCATCTGGAGGGGCTTCTAAATTGTCAATTTTGTCTTCATTTTCTGTTTTTCTTCTATCAGCATTCATGGTCATAGCACGTCTAAATTGTCGTTTTGTTGGTGTATTAGCTACTTGTCCAAAAGAAGATCGAGCTGAGGCTGGACGAAAGTCTATAAAAGTTTAGATGAGTGAACGAAAAATAATCACAGATTATTTATTTTATTATACAATCCTCGAAGGATATTTAGGAACTGTGTTAGAAATGTCTGGGATTTTGTAGTAGTGATACTATATAGGTATGTAGGATATTTGGCAGATTGTAAAGAAAAATTGTAAAAATTAAATTGTAAAGATTAAAAGTTGGGATTAATCTAGGATAGAGAAAAAAGAGTTTAAGTGCTACTAAATCTCATTAAATATATCTACCTAATTCTAATTTAGTTTAGTTAAATTATCATTAAAAAATCAAAATTTTAAAGCATTTTCTAAAAAATTTTCTTTGTAAATATTAAAATAATATGTATTCTTCACGCGATAAAACAATGAGAAAACCTATAGACCTTTTTCTGTCGGCATTTCTTTTGTAATAAATACATATAAATATTTATTGTTTGTTTAAAGCAAACCTATTTTTTGGCTTTTCTCGAAAATGAGTACCCAGTACATACACCTTTTTTATGTTAGTTATTTTTCAATATTTGGTTGCATTTTCCCAATTATAAGAAAGAGATGCTTGAGTAAAAAATGTGTCAAAAAAGCGGTATAACTATATACACCTATTCATTTAAAGATATATCCTCAGAAAACCCTTGAAAATACTCGGATATTGAGAGAGGGAAAATGTATATATTAATGCAAAAACAGACAATTTCCTGAATTCCTTTAATATAATAAATATGTTGTATATTCAGGAAATTGAATGTTCTCTTTTACAAAGTAAAAGAATTTAATTATTTAAAAGAAAACGTGTGTACATCTGGAATCATGGAGGTAATTAATAGTGTTTTACTGGAACCAAAAACGCCGGAACTTTCCGGATCTGGAACTTACAGTGAAACTCTATTAGTAATGACCCCAGCCTATTATTAGAATAATTAATAGCAATTAGACCACAATAAAAACTTTACTATAGTTACTTATATTTTCGTCAATTTTATAAAAAAAAATTTTTTTAACCATGTGATAAAGAAGAATTTTGATTAAATGCATAACGCTGTTTTAATTCTGAAGGCTCCCAATAGCTTGAACGTCGACGAACTGATGTCCAACGCAACATTTTTTATTTATAAAAAATAATCTTCAAATTTATGATTTTTTAAATAAAGATTTAAAAATTTTCTAACTTATGATCTCTATAGAAAAATATTCAAAAAAATTTTTTAGTTAAATTATTTAAATCTTTTTAAAATATTCCAAAATTTCTCTTTCAAATTTCAATTGGAAAGAGTAATTTATTTATAATTTATTCTACTCACTACCATTAAAAATGATTTAAGGGAGAATTATTCAAGAAAATATGCAAGGTATAAATAATATGAAATTTAAAAAATTTGAAAATTTAGAAGAAAAATTTTTAAGGAAGAAAATTATAAAATCTACATAAAAAACTATTTAAAATTAAAATTTCTTTCCTTTATTATTTTATTTGATTTTTGGTTTAAAATTTATTTTTCATACACAATTCAAATTTTTCTTTATTTTGTCTGAAAAAAGAGCAAAATCATTCAAGCTTTTGCAATAAAAAGACTAGCCATACTAAATAAAACAATTGTCTTAGTTTTTTAAATTATTTATAGATTTGGTTAGTAACAAAAAAAGAAATTCTAAATTTAGTATTAGTTCAAAGAAGTGTAAGACGATAAATTAAAATTCTAGACGAATTTAATTTAAAATTTTCAGCCCGCGTTTTATTTAAATTCTTAAGTATATTATGTATCTTTTAAAAAGTCTCAAAGTAAATAAATACTTTTAAAATTCACTGAAAAAAAGAACATTTTCCGTCTGACTAATTTTTGGACATAAAATATTTTTTAACTAATCTTTGTTTTAATTATATAAAGCTTTTAAAAATCCCTTTTTATGCTTTGTTTAATTTGTGCCACCCAATCGTGGGAATATAAATGCGCATTTTAAGGATTTTTTTTAAAAGAAATTTGGTGTAGACTTTTTTTACTCTCACAAATCTTCTTTTTTTTATTGTTCATTTTCCTTATTTTCTTTACAGCATTATTTTTAAAATAAAGACAAAAAGCTCAAAAAGGCGGAATTATTGAGGATTTCTTTACATGAATTTTATTTGAAAATAAATAAGGAATTGGAAGTAACAAAATTGTTTGAATTATTGTTAAATAAATTATTCTAAAATTATCAGAAAAAAATACATAAATTTGTCTGGAAATTAATTTTAAAATTTTTTTGTTTATTTAATTTATTCTTCTTTCCCATGTTTATTCGCTTTATTTTTTATTCTCATCTACACCTATTCCTATTTTAAACTAACAAACGAGTCTATTTAACAAAAATATATTTATGTATATTTATTAATCATATAGAGATCGAAAAACAATTGTCAAAACAAGAAGTTATAAATTCGTAATTATAACGAATTAAGAATTTATCTCCGATCTCTACAAATAAGCAATAATATATATAAAATAATAATTTAACTTACAAATTTACTTTTTCTATATAAACCCCTTCATTTAATTATGTTCATAATTTTCTGATTCAAAGGATTATCTGCTGATTTTTGCCATTCTTTCTTTAGTAATTGCTTAAGCTGGGATAAACGGAGAGTTGGATGTTCTTCTTTGAGTCTCGGAAGGCGATTCTCTTCAAAAGTAGCATAGGCAGCTTTTAGACGTTTTTCTGGATGTTGGTCCTAAAAATCAAAAGAATATAAGCTAAAAAATTAAAAAATAATTTCAAACTTGAGCAATCGAAGATGAAGCACCATCAACCGATCCCCTCAAAACTCGGATTGCTTCGTCGACATTTGTTGCAGAATCCCCTTCAATTTGAAGTCGATTAACGTTCTCTACTAATTCTGGTTGTTCAGAAACAATTTTTTGTTGTTCTAATAAACGTTTCTGTTCCAATTCTTTTCTTTCCAATTCCTAATAAATTAAAAGGATTTTAAAGAAAAACTCTTTAATCTTAAAAACCTCTCGCTCTTTTTCCCTTTCAATTTGTGCTTGTGTTACTTTGGCAGGTGTAGAGAATTTAGCTGTACTAGACTTCGCAACTTCTGCTAGCTTTGTCATTTCTTGTTCATAGGCCTTTTGATTTTCCACTTTTCTATCCAATTGTTGTTGTCGCTTTTGTTCTTGATCATTCTGAAAAATATTTTGTACTTTTAATTCTCTAGCTTAATACTCATAACCACCTATCGCTCGAAGTCTTAATTTAAAATAGAAGTAACCTTTCTCTGCATTTTCCGCTGAACGTGTTTATTATCATCTGCCCACAAAGCATCCTCCCTTTCTCTATCTTGTCGCTCTTTTTCCGCCGCCTTTGCATCTGCTTTTCGAGCTTTCGAAGCTGCAGCCTTCGTATTCTCACCTTGGAATTTCTTCGGCATTTGCTGGAAACTTTTTAGATAATCATAAAGGTAGAAAAAAATTTAATAAAAATTATTAAAATAATTTTGTTAAACAATTAAAACAACTCAATAAAATAAAAAAATTTGATAAATTGCAAATTTTATTTCAGGAGATCAAAAAATTTAGCAAAAATATTGTGATTGCGTAGAATAAAATTGAATCTTAAATCGAAAAAATCAAGGAAAAGAAGTTAAAAAAGAAAGTCAGTTATGGGAGAAACATCAAAAATATTGAATATAGGCGTATTCGAAATGAGGTGTTGGAATAATGTTGAGGTTCTAGTCATTATTGCTAGTTATTCGTTTAATGTAGGCTTCCTAAAAAAGTTTTTTTCATAAAAAGTTAAAAATATTTTTACTTTAATTTGTAATTTCTTGACAAGAGATCTCCATGTAGAATAATCAAAATTGCTTATAACTTGAACCGTTTCCAATTGGCTACGTTGCATGGTTGCTGCGCGACCAGCATGAGAAGCTTTCACTGAATTAAAAATAATGTAGTGACAATAAAAATAAGAAAATCAACTTAAATTTAAAATAGTACTAATCTACACATAACAAAAAAGTTTCAAACCAATTTTTGGGCACCCAGTTGTTTTATCCATTTTTAAGCCAATTTTTCCATCTTTAACCAGAAAAGACATATAAAACATGTTTTCTATAGTCTCGCCAAAGCTTTTAGGATTTAAAACAAATTTGTAGTAATCCAATTCATTTGAACGTTGTGATTTGTAAAAGGCACGAAGTTGTCGACTAACATTATCCAACTCTTTGGAAACAGAAAACTCTGTGGCCGCTGTCTCCTTTTGAAGTTGATGTAACTTAAATTATTTATGAATAAATTATAAAAATTTAAATTAAATATAAAAACCGTTTTAGACTTTATCTCTCGCTTAACAGGTCGAGTATAAGGCACTTTCTTAATCTCACGCTTTCCAGGAAGTTGAGGTGAATTTTTTGTTTCAATACAAGGACGCCTTAAATAAATGAGATTAATATTAAAGTTTTAACCGAAAATAAATTAAACTCACAGAAAATAAAAATCTGGTATTTCACGTAGTAAGCTGGTTGAACGTCTTCCAAGGCTGATAAATGAATGCTCAGTTTGATAACGTTGAGGAAATTGGTTCAAAGCGAATTTTTCCTTTAAACAAGATAAGAATTTAGATTTATTTTAATTTTCGACTTACAATACGAGTGATGAAAATATCCGGGTCCATTGTCTTTGCTGTCTCTCCGCGCAATTTATCAAGTTCAGTTGTTGATAATTGAATAAGTTGTTGAAGTACTTGAGCATCAGCTTTAATTGTTCTGAGGCTTTCGACCTTAAAAATATTTAATTATAGAATTGCCTAATTAAAAAAATTTTTAAAGTTAAAGAAACTAAAAGCAAAAACCAAAATTGTCGATAACAAAAATTATTTATGTGAGTAATAAATTTCAGACCTCTCCCAAGTCCTCTCCTTGTTCTTTGACTTGTATATAAATTTCATCAATTCGGTCTTCGGAAAGTAACCCCTGATCAGCACGTCTTTGTTCATCTAAATTTGGAATTATTCGTAAACTGATAAGTAGAAAACCTCTCATTCTTGTTTGAAATTCATAAGTAGTTTTTCGTCTTTTTATTTCGCTTTGCGATAAACTAATTAGACTTCTACTTGTCGTTCTTGAGCTTGTTTGACTATCTTGGCTTGTACTTGGCTGTCCATCATCATTACGAAAACCATTCTCCATCGATTATGAAGGAAATGAAGTCTGGATAAATTGAATTTTAAAAACAATTTGAATTGTTCAAAAATCTAGAAAGTGATAAGTAAGGCTGTGATTTATAGGCAAATGCCTTTTTTTCTGCGAGCTTGACATGATGTAATACGTTCAAAAAACGTGTTTTTAACTTGGTTCAGAGAGTTTAGCATGAATTTTATTTTGCCTATTTCTGCCTATTTTGGACTTTTTGAGCCTTTTTGCCTATTTTGAAATTTTTGGTACTATTTTTGCCTTTTTGGCGATTTTTCCTAAATTTTGCCTAAAAATAAGTGAAAAATCTAAAAAATTCAGCCCCAGATTTAAAAAAATCAGTGCCAATTCCCATTTTTAATTTTTAGTTCGACAAATTGAGTATTTTTACTCTATTGGGCATTTTGAGATTAGACGTTTTGGTGTTGAGACATTTTGGGGTGGGACGTTTTGTGGTTGGGCGAGATTTGCTTTTTCTCAATTATCGACATTTTAAAAAAATTACACAATTTTTGTTCAAAAAATGATTTAAAATGACGAATAAATGGCAAAATGGTCAAAAAACGATGAATAAGTGTTTATTTTCTTGTTTTTATCTTAATTTTATAGGCTGATAACCTTTTTTACATGCCTATTTTTGTGCCTATTTTGGCTTTTTGGTGCCTATTTTAGGCGCCTATTTCACTGATTTTACTTGCCTAACTATCACAGCTTTAGTGATAAGGCTTATCAACAAAGTCTGACATGAGTTAAATAAATTGCTGGGAAAATGCCGCTTAATAAATTTAAATATTTTGGCATAACGTCTTTAGAAAAAATTTTTGGACTAAATGTCTATTTTTGTACAATGGAGTCTAGGACCGGTACACCTCAATTGAGTCCGCACGATTGAGTCCGCACGATTGAGTCCCCACGATTGAGTCCCGGCACGATTGAGTCCCCACGATTGAGTCCGCACGATTGAGTCCCCGTTGTATATACCTCAATTGAGTCCCCTAGATTTAATTATATTAAAAAAGATTAAGAGGGATATTTGGGGATTTGGAGGGATTTGTTAATATCAGGGGATATTGGTCTCTCTCAATCCCGTTACGGGATCCCGGAAATGCGATTTTGCCGATCACTAATGCAGGATATGGAATTTTTAAAATTAAATCCGCGGGGACTCAATTGAGGTATATACAACGGGGACTCAATCGTGCGGACTCAATCGTGGGGACTCAATTGTGCCGGGACTCAATCGTGGGGACTCAATCGTGCGGACTCAATCGTGGGGACTCAATCGTGCGGACTCAGTTGAACTGCTCCGGTCTAGGACGTTTTACTTGAGTATGGGGATTTTGTTAATATTATCAGTAGAGGTCGGCAAAATCGCATTCCCGGGATCCCGGAACGGGATTTTTTTTCAAAATTTTGTGCGGGACGGGATCCCGCGGGATTAATCCCGTAAATCCCGGAATCCCGGTAATCCCGTTATCAAATTTCCCGGGATTCCGGGATTTTCACAAAAATTTTAAAATTATAAATATGTTGAATATAGGCGGATTTGGAGACAATATCGGTGGATTTCGACTGATTTAAGGGACAAATGAATATATATCAGAGGATTAAGAGGTCCCGGTAATCCCGTTTTCCGCAAAAAACCCGGGATTCCGGGACGGGATCCCGTAAAATCCCGCACGGGGTCCCGTCCCGTGCCGAGCTCTAATTATCAGCCTTGTTTTGTTTTACCAGTACGTAGGTTTAAGCTATGTGTGTTAGTTAACTTTTATTATCACTTTAAGATTTTCTTTTTTTAAAGATTTAAAGTTTAAAATGAATTTTATTAGACGGCTTCGTGTACCTCGATTGAATGATGTTTGTTATTTAAATTTAATTCATAATAATTTAAAAATTTTAAGAAAGGGAAATGGGTTGTCTGTGTTGCTGGTGGTGTGTTTACTTGCGGTTTCGCGTATGCCTTAGAACATACTGCTGACGCTTCTGATTTTGTTGTACATCCTTTTCAATTACCATGGTCTCATGGTGGTTTAATCGATTCTTTGGATATGGCATCGTATTTATTTTTTAAAATTAATTCTATTAATTTTTAAAATTTACAGCGTTCGACGTGGTTATGAAGTTTACAAACAAGTATGTCTAGATAATTTTTCCTTTTTTGTCATAACCTCAAATTATCATTTTAAGGTTTGTGCTGCTTGTCATAGCATGCAATACATTCGTTATCGACATTTTGTTAATAATTTCATGTCAGAGGATGAAGCAAAGGCGGAGGCTGCCGAAATTGAAGTTGATTTTATTGACGACAAAGGTGTCCCAGCAAAACGTCCTGGACTTTTAAACGACTTTCTTCCGTCACCATATCCAAACAAGCAAGCAGCTGAAGCTGCCAATAATGGAGCAGAGCCTCCGGATTTGTCATTGATGGGATGGGCTCGAGATGACGGAGATAACTATGTCTTCCATTTGCTTACTGGGTTTGGTTTACAATTTTTTTTAAAATTATAGTTAAAAATTATTTTGCCCCTCGAATATTTTAATAAGTGCGTGCTTGGCTCCTTTTCAAATTGCGTTAATTTTACTATTCAGTTATGGGTTTGACCCGCCTGAGGGAGTGCTTTGTGAGGAGGGAAAAGCTTATAATCCATATTTCCCGAATGGAAGTGTACTGGCAATGCCACAACAATTATTTGATGAAGGAATTGAATACAAAGATGGAACGCCGGCAACAATGAGTCAGCAAGCAAAGGATGTTGTGACGGTTTGTTCTGGATAATTGCTTTGTCAAAAAAATTTTTTTAGTATTTACGTTGGGCCTGTGAGCAATGGCATGACAAGCGAAAACAGTATGCCATAAAGGTTTGTTTTTATCGAATTTCTTCCAAAAGAACCTTTCCCTTCCTTTAGTTGGCACTTCTGATACCGATTGTGTCATTTGTATTAGTTTATTGGAAGCGAAAAGTTTGGACTCAGATTAAGTCCGAGAAATGGTTCCACCGAACAGTTAAAGGACGTGAATGGACACCTGATTCAAAATTCCCGCCGCCGCCTAAGGATGCTCCTTCATTGAAGAGATTGAATTAAATTTAAGAAAATTTGAGGGAATATTTTAGGATAAATAGAAAAATGTTCTTGTAATTTGTTATGTTACGGACTGCAAATTATATTTTATGTTTGTGGTTGTCGGTTGGTAAATAAAAATGTAAAAAAAATATTTTTTAAAACAAATTCTAGGGAAAAATTGAGGAGGAATTCTAGGGAAAATCTTGTGTTTATCGTTTAGATATTTTATCCTCTTCTGATTTTTCATATTTTAAAACATCTTATTCTTTATTTCCTTATATTTTTCAATGCGGTGGAAGGTAATGAGAATCGACCCTATCTGAAAGGAGTGCCTGGTTGAGTTTTTTCCTTAGACTGCTTCGGAGTGGTTAATTTTCCTTTATATTTTATGTTTGTCGTAAGGCAAAATGTGTATCCATTTCTCCGCTGATTTTGTTTTTTATACATTTTATTTTTATTTTTCAAAAAAATTCTGTTTGTTTCACCTAAAATGGCTAGGAAAAAATACAAATATTGGTGATTTTAATCGTGGCAGTCTAAAACACGGATATAATGGAGGGTATTCAAGTCTCGCCTCGTGACGTCCAAATCTTGGCCAGTGGAGACAATTTTGTCCTTTCCATAATTAATCGCGCTAATTATGTTTGTTGCTTTTTTAATTAAAATTAATACTACTTTTAGCGCCTGGGATACAAAATTACCTCAAACAACAGTCAATGCTATCGCGCTGGACCTGCTAACGGTATTGCACGCGCAAATACTACAACTCTGATCGAGGTTCAACGTCTGGTTAGTTCAGATTATTTTTCTTATAATTTTATATTGATTTAGCCAGGTCCTATCTTCACCGACAAAATTGTTGTTGAATTAGTGAAGACGGGACTTACTTCAAGTCAAGCCGACCCAAGAACTATAATTCCAACCAAAGAGAGGGGCGAGTTCAATGTTCAAGTCAATGTGAGTGCTGTGGAAAGCACCGAAGCCAACTTACCTGTGCGACAACATCAGCTAGTGCCTAAGATGAATAAGAAATGTGGAGATTTTTAGGAAATATTTTAGGATAAATAGAAAAATGTTCTTGTAATTTGTTTGTGGTTGCGGTTGGTAGATAAAAATGTAAAGAATATTTTTTTAAGTTCTGGAGAAAAACAGTGGCACTAGCTGATGTTGTCGCACAGGTAAGTTGGCTTCGGTGCTTTCCACAGCACTCACATTGACTTGAACATTGAACTCGCCCCTCTCTTTGGTTGGAATTATAGTTTTTGGGTCGAGTTGACTTGAAGTAAGTCCCGTCTTCACTAATTCAACAACAATTTTGTCGGTGGAGATAGGACCTGGCTAAATCAATATAAAATTATAAGAAAAATAATCTGAACTAACCAGACGTTGAACCTCGATCAGAGTTGTAGTATTCGCGCGTGCAATACCGTTAGCAGGTCCAGCGCGATAGCATTGACTGTTGTTTGAGGTAATTTTGTATCCCAGGCGCTAAAAGTAATACTAATTTTAATTAAAAAAGCAACAAACATAATTAGCGCGATTAATTATGGAAAGGACAAAATTGTCCCCGCTGGCCAAGATTTGGACGTCACGAGGCGAGTATAATACTTAACGGAATTTATTTAAAATTATATAACACTATGGATTAGTTTAAAAGGTCATCATCACAATTATCACTTTTTCAAATCAAACCTCTTCTTGGCTTTTCATTACTTCTTTCCATTGCATTCCTAACTCTCAACCTTGCCAAGGCGAAGGAAATTTGGTGACTCAACGGAATATCCATTAGTGTAGTAGTTTCTGGCGCGGGAACACTATATCCGATTGCCTCCAAAATTTTCTCTTGAAAGAGTTTATGGGATCTAAAATTATTTAAAATTTTAATAGAAATTTAGTCTATTCCTCAATACAAATTTTTTAAATTTTTTTGTTACGTGCTTTTCGGTTTTTTTTGTTGAGGAATTCATTGTCTAATACTCTAAACTTACCCCAAATAAGCTCCAACATGTCCAGTACCCGGAATACAACTAACAGAAACTCCAGGCCATAAATCACTAATATCTGGGATATAACTACTTCTCGGCACATATGCATCATCCTCCGCCACCACAACACGAATAGAATCTGTATTGATGGGTGCAGGGTAATTAGCTAAGTTTGTGAAGGCATCCATTAATATCCACATTAGTCGATGGGCTCGTGATTTTGGGAAGAGTTTATACGCAGGATGAGTTTGATCTTCCTAAAATGGTATAAAGAAAATGGGAATTTTGGTGGGAAAAGGACGGGGGGGGCAAAATTAAAAATACCCTCAATTTAGCCCCATAATTTCATAAATAAAATTATTTTAAAATTAAAAAATGCTCACCATCATTGTAAGCCAACCGCAGTCACAGAGAACCTTCTCCAATTCTTTATTTGTTTCTAATTCATCGCTCAATTCTTTCCATCCAATAGCTTCAGCTAAAGCGCCCTGTGTGAAAACAGGTGATGCTGAAGTCCAAGAGAGAAGAGGGATGAGAGAAATTGGTTTGTCTCGAATATTTGTGACAGCAAGTGAGGCCATATGACCACCCATTGATACACCTAAATTTTAGAATATTCAAATATTTTATGAATTTTTAGTGTAATTAAAAATACATTTAAAGAGGCATTTAGACATAATTTTAAGTTAAAAAATTCAAAAATATATACCAGAAATTCCAATTGGTGAAAATCCTTGTTCACGTGCCCAACGTGTAAGGAAACAACATTCAAGAATTAAACTTCCACCCATTACAAATAAATCAGAGACGTTAAGGAGGGATGAACGAAATTGGTCTATAAAAGAAATTAAATAGAAAATATAGTTTAAAGTTTGTATTTGTTATATTCAAAAATTAATCTAACGGAAAACATGAGGAAATAAACGGATTGTTGAAAGTTATTATATTTAGGATAAAATTGAAAATAAGTTTAAGTGTCCAAAATTAAAATTTCCAAAAAACATATTGAGTAAGCGTCAAAAATTCCAAATTTATAGTGAGAAAATTATTTTTCTAATTATATCCCCTCTATATTTTTTAATAAAATTTAAAATAAATACAAAACTGCTTGGCTTTCTTTCTCCATAAAATGGATTTTGAAGAAGAATTGAAGATACACCAAGTGCCAAGAGAGGTTTAACAAATCCATTATATCTTCGCCAATAAGTGTCATCACCAGTTGGGGCCAAATGAATTCTAAAAAAAATTCTCATAAATTAAATAACAAAAGCCAACAAACATTAGCCCATTACGTTTTCGATTAGGTCCAGGAAAGTATCCTCTCCAAAAGGCACGAGAAACATTTTGGCCAGACTCGAAGAAACGGGAAGAAATGTCATTCATTGGACTGATGAACCAACCCTGTTGAATTTGTATTCCATTTCGAACTTGGTCCTTTTAAAAGAAAGATTTTTTGTCTAATTATTAGAAAAGATTAATTTATTAAATTTAGAGATAGGAAATTAAAAAAAAATTTTAACTTGATTGAAGACCTTGATCAAATTCTTGACCTTGAGTCAAGAAAAATCAAGATCTAGATTGAGAACCAGGACGATCTCCAATTAAATATATTTAAGGCTAAATAGTTTAAGGTACTCTAACAATGTTACTCTAATGTTATACTTACATTTTCAATAAACATTTTAGGTAGATTTCGCTCAACTAACTCCAATGCTCTTCCATTAAATGCATAATCACATGAATGTTGATATAATCTAAAATTTGTTTTCAATTTTTTTAAATTTAAATATTTACATTTTCAAAATTTCAGGCGAACTAGCCCAAGATTTTTTGAACATTTTGCTGAAGATAAGTGTCTGTCTGAATAATATGTCCAACTGGCTTCTGTTTGAAGGCAATGATAGTGAAGCAGACATTTCTTTGCATTTAATTGGCAGCAAAAAATTGAGTGAAAATTGTGAAATAAAAAATCAACCAAAAATTGTTTTAGCAAGTTCTTCTGAGAATAGATTAGCTTTACTGAAACAAATAGTGAGTTTAAAAATTATTTACAAAAAAAATAAATTCGAAAATAAAACAGGAAACAAAATAAAGAAAAGTGACATGCCCAAAACGGCGCGCGGCCATAACGGCGCAAAGCCATAACTTGCTTCAAGATTTCCTAATCTTTCCAAATTTAGTTTCAAACGATTCCTCTCATCGAGCTAGCGAGATTGGTACCAAAATTGATAAAGGCCAGACATCTTCCAGCAGGTTCTGACTTTGCGCCGTTATGGCCGCGCGCCGTTTTGGGTTGTATCCTAAAGAAAAAAATTTTTGGCTACCCTACAACTCATCGAATCCTTAACTCATCGAATCCTCAACTCATCGAATCGGCCAAAAACACTCAACTCATCGAATCCTTAACTCATCGAATCCTCAACTCATCGAATCGGCCAAAAACGATCAACTCATCGAATTTTTCCAAAAGGGGACGTTTGAGTCCCCGTGTTTATTTTTTAGATTTTTTATTGTTTTGTTTATTTTTTTTGTTTTCTTCTGGGGTTTCAACTAATTTTGTTAATTAGTTGATCGGGCACTCATCCAAGTTTATCCGGCCAGTGAAAACATTATCAGAACATAATCTCATTCCTGAAAACATTATCTCATTCCTAATAAATTATGCTGGAGATTTTACCGGGTAAAACCGGACCAAATTAGTCCAGTAGACCCCGATTATGCCCAAAAGCCCTTTTTCCTAGCCTCCATAGCAGCAAAAAATTTTTTCAACGAAGATTCAGTTAGCCCTTTCGGGAGAAAAATAAAAACAGGGGACTCAAACGTCCCCTTTTGGAAAAATTCGATGAGTTGAGCGTTTTTGGCCGATTCGATGAGTTGAGGATTCGATGAGTTAAGGATTCGATGAGTTGAGTGTTTTTGGCCGATTCGATGAGTTAAGGAATTTTAGCCGATTCGATGAGTTGAGCGTTTTTGGTCGATTCGATGAGTTAAGGATTCGATGAGTTGAGCGGGCACGAAATTTTTAATTAAAAACACAATGCCAAAAATATCCTATATTAAATTTTTTAAATTTTAATGGAAATTTTTAATGAGAGTAACGAAAAATAAAACACGTGTTTTCAAATATTAAATTAAAACATTCAATAAACAGACGAATTTAAAAAAATAAAAAAAGCATATGGACGTTTAAAGCACGTGAGGGTAATGCAAACACTGAAAAGAGAAATGTGACTTAAATGAGTTGTTTTTATTATTTCTTTTATTAGGGTATAACCCCATTTTTGGTTCGTCCTTCAACATATGCAGAAGATTTACCCCGTTCTCTAAATATTAAAGAATTTGTAGAGGAGACGGCAAAACAAAAAGCTGAACAAGTTGAGGGGGAATTAATAAATGAGAAAGTAAGTTAATTAATTTAGAGAATTTATGGTAATTTTTCGGCTGACGCCCCCTTTTTATGTTCTATTTTTTATGAAATTATGAATTTTTTATATACATTCGAAAGAGCTCTTCGAACTGATTCGAAACATCACTAAAGTAATCGAAATCCGACTTAAATCAGCATAGTTATGAGCATTTGTTTTAATCCCTTTCAACATCACAAAAAGATGCCTACAGAGGATTTAGCTTCATAATTTTGTTCAAAATTGCCAAATTTAACCGATCATAGTATCAATCTATCCTGCTCGGAAATTATTATATGTCAAGCAAAAAAGCTCAAAATGGTCAGAGAAACATAAGGGGGGGGGGCGTCAGCCGAAGAATTACCGAATTTAAGCAGACAAAACGATATTATTAAAAAATTAGGTTTTAAAAATAACTAAAAAATTTAATTAGATCGAGTTTGATTTACTCATTGCTTGTGATACAATGATTTCAATAGATGGAAAATTAATTGGAAAACCTTTAAACAATAATGATGCCTTTAATATTTTAAAATCCCTTGATGGGCGTAAACACCAAGTTCGGACAGGAATATGTTTAATAAACAAAATTGGGAAAAAGGTTGTGTTTAGTGTTGAAACTGAGGTAGAATTTGGAAGAAATGGAGATAAATTAATTTGGAATTATATTAATACTGGAGAAGCAATGTTTTTTTTTAATTAAAAAAATAATTTAAAAATTAAAAGGAATCGTGCAGGAGCTTATGCAATTCAGGGCAGAGGGGCTGCTTTGATTAAAGCTGTTTATGGTAGTTATACAAATGTTGTTGGAATACCTTTAAATGAACTTATTGAAAAAATTAACGAAATTCTTTATAAATAATATTGTTATATAAATTTTATTATCTAATTTTTATTGAAAAAAAAATAAATTTTAAAATATTTTTTTAATTTTATTGTTTTATTTTTGATTTATGTACACTGCGTTCCAAAAGTATATGCACCCCTAGTTTTTTGATTTTTTATACTTTTCTTAGTTATTTTGATTAGATTTTTTGTCTATATATTCTTCCAGATAAGTTTAAACAAAAAAATAAAATATATATCAGGAATCGCGCCGACAGAAAATCAAATTCCCGATTTTTGGGAATCGTGAATTCACGAGCCAAAAATCGTCGGGAATTCACGATTTTCGGGAATCGTGAATTCACGAGCCAAAAATCGTCGGGAATTCACGATTTTCGGGAATCGGGTTGGTGCGTTCTCTGGTGTACATATATGTATGTACTATGAGGAAGAAATTTATGTTCCGGATGATTTTTGATCATACTTCTGGCAACTAATTTAATTGACAGTAAAAACACCTCTAGCTAATGAATATATATATTTCATTAAAATCCCCTCTTTTTTCACTAATATTTTTTGTAAATCACAAACACAAATTTTAAAACTAAATCAAAAAATTAATTATTTTAATTATCATTCACTAACAATTATTAAATCATTCCTATTTCCTTTCTTCCAAAGTAAAAATATTTTTCTTTCAAACGCTGTCAGTCTTTGTTTTCGGTTTTCTGTAAATAATATTGGCATACCCAGCTTGAATTTTCTTTGACCCATTTCTTTCTCTCTCTTTCCTTTTCCAGTCAGTTCTCGTGAATGCTTGACTTGACTAATTAGCGCTAACTTGCGGATTTAATTAGAAACAAATTTTTTATTTTGCGGAAATACTAAAATAAATGTAAAAATAGTAAATATTTATTAAAATTAAAAATTTTTTATTAAAAAAACCCCTCTAAATATTTATTTAAAAATAATTTTTTAAAATATTATTTGCCAAAATGCTCCCTTATTTTTATAATTAATTAATTAATTATTCCCCCTATTTATTACAAAATATCCGCAAAATTTTTGCATAATTTTTAATCATTTTCTTTATTTATTTGCGCGGATACGCCAAGTAAAAATGAAAGGGATTTGCTGGAAAATAAAAATTCTTTTATTTATTTTTATCACATTATTTGGTGTTAGCCATTGCATGATGATGTTAATTGTAGCAGTCATTTTAATTAATTTTTATAATCTTTTTTTATAATAAAGAGGTCAGTGAAAGGCAACAATTAATTTTAGTTTTTTACAGAAAATATAAATTTATTATTAAATATTTTTATTTTTTTAATGTTTTTATTGAATTTGATCATAAATTCCTTTCAAGCAGACGGGTAATTCTTCGGTTTAGCCCCCCTCCCTACCATTTTTCTGAATCCCTGACCATTTTGAGCCTTTTTGCCACATATCATTCGAAAAAGCTTTTCGAGCTTGGTTGAATGATGCCGATATTGTGTAGATTTGGAAATGCTCAACAAAATTAAGAAGCTGGATCCTCTCTGTGAAAGCTTTTTGTTCCTCTGCAAGGGTTCCTCTGTTCCTTGCAGATATGTGTTATTATTTTTAAATTGTTTTTAGACAGACGTTTATTTGGTCAGGTGTTTTGTAATAACATTAATTAATTATTAATAAAATATTAATATTAATCCTTCATTTTTATTATTTTCTTTTTTATTTATTTTGCGCATTCTCTAAAAAATAAATTAGTTTAGTTTTAAGGTTGTTTCAACTTTTTAGGCAAATACTATCATAATCCAAAGATGACCACACGCTTCTTTGGCAAGTACCCTTGTAAATTAATAAAAAATAAAATTATTATTGACCTTCGCGCAGCGGCTAATATTTTGTTTTTATTTTCTCTTACTTTTTTCTCTCCTCTATGTCTAATTATCCTCAGAACTCAAAAAGAAATAAAATAACCGCCAACAAATAACCGCTCTTATTATCCCAAACAAACAAATAAAAAATATTTTTTACAAAATTATTTTTTTTGATTCTGAGAAATACTCCAAAAACTAATTTTTATATATTTAATTTTTTCAATAATAATTAATTAATAAAACAATTTTATTCCGAAAAAAACTTTAAAAAATATTTTTGTTTTTCCTCTGATATTTTTAATAAAATTTTCTTATCCAATTATTGTCAACTTTATGTTCTTGGCTAATAAGGTTGTCGGATAGTTGCAAATCTTTGGATATCCGGATCCGGATTCGGTATCCAAACCGAAAATTTCCGGATATCCGGCCTTTTTTAGATCCGTATATCCGGATCCAACATCTTTATTGACTAAACGAACTCATCAAATTGTATTTTTGTGAACCTCTCTTTTAAAACTTTTCTTTATTAGCGACTTTTTTCCAATCCCTTTTTTAATCGTGATTATTTATTATTAGAACATTCTTGTTAGGAGTTTATATATTTTTTAATTCGTGACAACCATACTATATTTATTTATTTAAATATTTATAAGTACAACATTCATAAATATATTTCTTTCTTATTTTTTATCGGCATTCTCTCCTTTTCGGTAAAATATTTTTGAACGGATTTTTCTTTTTACCTGTTTTCTTAAAATATTTTTTTTCCTTTCTTTCCTCTTTAATAATACTTTCACCTAACTTTTCATTCAAAATCCAATTTTGTTTTGAAGATTGGAAGAATAAAAATAAAATATATATTTACAATATAGACAATCGTTTGTAATAGTTTTAACAAATTCAATCCTTTATATATCCGTTTGCGCTAAAATTAAACGAAGAAAAGAATTTAAGTAAAAGTAAATTGTGCTTGTTGATTTTTACCTTTTTTTGATTAAAAAATATTTTTATTACAAAATATTTAATTTTTAATTAAAATTAATAACATTTTATTTTTATATTTTCACCAAACAATTAATTATTTAACCTTATTAGCTAATAATTAATCAAATAATTTTTAAAAATAATCTTTATTGCTTAATTTTTATAAAATGCTTTTATTGTATTAAAACATTTAAATTTACATTTGTGACATTTACAATATCTTGATAATAATTTAAGTATCAGTTTTGTAATAATTAACACCCTCTTATTAATTGGCATAATTTTATTTGTCTTCAATCATAAATTATTTTTATTTATTGCGATAAACTAAAGCAACAATAAATTATTGAAAACAGTAAATATGTAAGTAGATCAAAACACACACACAAATTCCTTAACAAAATTCTTTTATTTTTAATTTATTATTTTGGTTTGGTGATATGGAAAATGCGCTAATGATCAATGCTGTTACTTTTGGATTACTTAATATATATCTACTTTTTTTTGTTATTGATTTATCTCGCGAAATTTTATCATTAATATATCCTGGATTTTAAAGAAAATATTTAATTGAAAAACGTAATTTCCGCTATGATTAAACATCTAATGAATAATTTAATATTTATTTTTTATTATACACATTTATCAGTTATTGTTTTAAAGATTTTCTTGTCCTCCATTGGTTTCCGTTTAATATCCTGATAATAATTTAAGTAACAAAGAATCTTGGTAAAAATTTAGAAAATAAAAATGCTCAAAATTATTTCATCTCTTACCCTTCTATATTATTAATAATGTTTTGCTTCATTTACTTTATTCACTTCTTAATATTTCCATCATTGTCCTATGCAAACGAGGAAGGATTATTAACAAGGCAGAATTATCAAACTGAAAGAGTTTGCCATTTCCCGGAAAGTGAAGAACGTCCATTCTTCATTGATATACCTTCAGGACCTCCCCCACGTTCAATTTTGTTGGACACAGTTGTAGAGCCCCCAGATGCTAAGTTAGAAATTGCGAATGTTCGGTCTAACAATTTGGCTCAGGTTATTAAACATCTAACTTCAAAACCCCTCAAAAATATTTTAGGAACAAATACATGACTGGCTCTCATTAGAAAAGAGACCAAACGGTCAATTCCTCTTATTTAGCAATGATATTATATCCCAAACTTCTTCAACAACCACTTCTGTTAATTCTTCACTTAAATTACCCGCATATCCTTCATCAATTAATGAATCATTGTTGTACGTCACTGTTAGGTGTAATGGACGTCTTTATCCATTGCTTACAGTCCGATTACTTACACATAATTTGCATGCTCCCGAATGGTGGATACATGGGATTAGAGTTGCTGAGGATAGTATAGCGGGGGAAATAAGCATTCCAAAGGTTTGGAAATAAAAATAAAAGGGATTTTCAACGATGTTTTTTTGAATAGAACTCAAAAACTTTTGGCTCATTATTTGATACTCAATTATTAGCGCTTGATCAAGAACCCGCTGAACATTATCCAATTACTTTTAGTGTGGTAAAATATTTATTTATTTATCAAAAATTGCTTATTTAAAAAGGACCCTCCATTAAATAAGTATTTTTCAATTGAATTGGGTAATCGTTCTTCCTTGCCAATTAATGAACAAGTTAACTTTCTTTCTACCTTACATTTTCCCTATTCTAATCGAATAGAGGATTGGCATGAACAACAATTACCTCCACAAATATTACTTAAATTATTAGATGAGGATATTATTTTGAATGAAAAAGAACAATTAATTATTAATATTACAGCAACTGTTAGTTATTTGTAATTGAGAGAAATTAAATATTAAAAAATAATTTTAAAGGATAATGGAATTCCAGAAGAACGTAAAAGTCGAATAAAATTACGTTTCCTTTTAATATCTGAAGAACAGGAAAAAACAAATAATGTAATAGAAAATGGGAAATTTAGTAAATCTGTTTATTATGGAAATTTTACTAAAGTAAGTGGAAGGAGGATATTTGAGGGTATTAATGATTAAATATTGAAAATTTATATAAATAAAATTTAAAATATATTTAGAAGTTAGATAGCTATAATTATTAAAAATAAATTTTTTACTAAAATTTTAGGAAATGAGATCTGGCACAGAAATAATTCCATCAGAACCAATAAATGCCAATTTCCCCCTTCAAAGGGTTGGTGATAGAATTATTTATGATTTAGATATTTCTTCTAATCCCTATGCTGCACTTTTTCAAATAGAAAGAGATTCTGGGCGTATAAGACTTGTAGAGCAATTACCAGAACAGCCTCCACAAAATATTGAAATGGATATTTTGGTTAAAAATTAGAGGAAAATATTTTTATAATCCCTTCTTTTCAGGCCACTCTTTTACCAAAAAATTCGAGTAATAATCGCCAAGTTATTCGAACAAAATTAATTTTAACTGACAGAACAGAAATTAAATTAACTTATTTTACTCAATGTCATTATTTAGTACATTTAGCTGAAAATCCTAGTGCTTTTACGAGAATATTACAATTTAATTTTAAAGGAGATGTTTGTTGCTTTATTTTTAAATAAATAATTAATTTAAATTTATTTTTGAAGGTTGAAGGGGTAGAATTACTTAATGGAACTGAATTATTTAAAGTTGACCCCTATGGGTTAGTTAGTGTATTGCCTGGTGTTGATATTGATAGAGAACGTACTGAAAGAATTGTAATTAAAGCTAAATTGAAAGTAAGAGGATAATTTTATGAAAATAAATTCTATAAATATTTAAATTGGCATACAATCGAAACCTATTTTTAGATAATCTTTAGCGCTGAAAAAAGTTTAAATTGAAGATATCTTTTGGGCAGCCCTACTCTCACTCTTTCCACCTACTTATAAATTAAATTAACGTATAAATTACAGATTCATTAATTTTGTGGGAGGGGGGGGTATCTGAAAATGTTTACCGGCTTATTAATTTTATTTTCTCTTAACATTTAACTTAATATTAGGTTAATAAGTCATCTCTACATCCAAAATCATTGGAATTATGCCAAATTGCTACAGCTGAGATTTTAATAGACGATGTTTGTTTTTTTATTAAAGGAAATTTTTTTGTAAATATATTTTTAACAAAACAATTTAAAACAAATTAATTGTTAATAAAATATTCTTTTTAAAATTTAGGTTAATGATCACAGCCCTAAATTTACTCAAAAAGTATATCGGTTTCGAATTGACCCATTTCCTTACAACAATACCGAAGTTGGCTCATTACGAGCTGTTGATGGGGACGCTGAAGAATTTGGCCACCTTCGATACCGAATACTTGATGAATTTGTTCCTGATGGACATGGAGGGGAAGAACCCCTTCCTTTTGTTTTATTTCAGGTATTTTGTGTTGTTTAAATTATGATATCCCTCACAAATAAGATAAAATTAAAAAAATTATTTTTAAGGCTGATGGTGCCGCTACATTATTTTTTGTAATAAAACCTACGCATTTACAACTCTTTCAACAACCTTATAAACCACAATCAGAATATACATTTACTGTGGAGGCATATGATTCTGATGAAGATCCAAGGTGTTAATTTTAAATAAATTTTTAAATAATTTTTAAAATAAAAGAACTGCTCGAGTGTCAGTTAATGTTCGAATTGAAGAAGAAAAAGAAGTTTTGGAAGAACAACAACAACATCACCATCATTTAACAAATAATGAACAATTATTAGATGAAGTAAGAGGGGAAAGGAAACATCAACGTTCGGCTATAGATGAAGAAATTGAAGGAGAAGAAGAGGATATTAGTCCAAGAGCTTGGGCTACAAGAATTAGGACTGTTGATAAGGTAAAAAGTAAACAGTCGAACAATGAATTTTGATACTAGGGGTGGAGCTTGTGAAATCTCGTATTTTTTGAAAGATCTCGTTTTATCTCGTTCTCGTATTTTTTTGAAAATCTCGTATCTCGTGAATCTCGTGTCTCGTATTTCGTGGCACGAGCTCCACCCCTGTTAGATACCCCTTAGGGGCCGAAAAATCATATTCAAAACGAATTGTAAATAATTTAATTTTTTGAGGTCCGATTATAATTTTTGAAGATCGAATCGGTTTAATTTTGGGGGTTTTTAATTCAATTTAGGAATTGAAATGCCTTTTTTTCTCCTTTTTAAATTAACTTTCCTTAAAAATTTTTAAGGATGTTCCGCCAATACTCATTCGACGTCAAGGCAAATCCTCTACTACTACTACAACTTCTAACACAAACACATTTAAAAATACCAATCAAAACCTTCGTTTACGCAACGAAATAAAATTCTCTCAAAATAATTATATTTTTCGAATGTTCGGGAATTTATTTGAGGGACAAACGATTGGATGGGTTTCTTCAGTTAAAAGAAAAATGAGTGAAGAAGGTGATTTAGAGGATCGGGATGGAAATAAAGAAGAAATATTAGACATTGAGAAGGAAGAGGTGATGGTGAAATATTTTTAAAATAAATATTTCACTTTTTCAGTCATTAATTGAATACGCAGTTGAGGAGGGAATAGATGGTTTTGTTGGTGTAGATATGTTTAGTGGACGTTTATTTGTTGGTCCTAAATTAGTTGGCGGAGCAGAACGTTTTGAAGAAATTCGTTTTTCTGTGGCAGCTATGCATCCACGGGATGGGCGGATTTGGGTTGGATTTTTTAAATAAATACTATAATATTAAAAAGTTCCCTTTAATCAAAAAATAAAAATATATTGGCAATAATATTTTTCTAAAAAATACAATTCAATCAACAATTTCATTATTTTTAAATTATTTTTTATTTTATTCTCTAGTCTTTCTTCCCTTTTTTCCTATTTTTTGTACGTTATTAAATATTATTAGGGGTGGTCATTGGGCGCTTGGCAACCTTTTTTCTCGTCAAGGAAATGCTTTTCTTTGCCCACCTTTTTTGCCGCCTTTCTCTTAAAAATATAATTATTATTTATTTCTAAACTACCACCTATTTATTTTATTTTTATTGTTTTTATTTTTATATTGGATATAATAATTATTTATATAATTAAACAAATTAAAATTAAATATTTTAATTTAACTTTATTCCTTAATTTAGATAACTTCCAATATTTCTTACGAATATTTCTCAATTTATTTTTATTTTTTAAAATTATTTTCTAAATCTTGTACTTTTTAGTGTACACTTTTAAGTGAAGATTATCTTCACTTACTTTTAATGTCTTTAATATTTAACACTTTTTTGTCCACTAAAATTCTTTGATTGATTTTTGTACGTTTTCTAAAAAAAGATTTTTCTTCAAATTATGTACTCTTGAATTATTCAAATATTTTTAAAAATAATGAAATAATGTTGCCAGAATCTTTGGTTTATCTTTTGACTAAGGTTTTTGAAATTGAATTTTAATATAATAATTTTTTATGGGAAATAATAATTTTTATAAATAATTTCTTTCCTATTTTTAAGGCAACAGCCCTCGTTTCTGTTATCTTTGATGAAACAACCCCAACAATTAAGCCTTTCTTCGATCGTCAACAATTTAATTTTGAAGTTGATTTGTCTAATCTAAAACATTTTCCAACATTTTTGGGGCAAATCCAGGCAGAAATAAAAATAAATAAAACAGAATTGACAGAAAATCCTTTAATTATTTATTTAATTGAAGAACAAAAAAATGAAATTAAAATAATTGAAAATAAACAAAAAGAAGTTGTTGAAGCTGTACAAATATCCCCAAGTGATTTATTTAGTATTGGACGTGAAAGTGGAAAAATACATTTAATGAGGAAACCAACAGAAAATGAATTGAATAAAAGAGAGGGAATTAAATTTAAAGTAAGGGATATTTTTTAAAATATTTTTAAAGAAAAATATATGTAGTTAAAATAAATTTTATTTTAATAATATTTGTGGGAAGGGCTTTAAAAATTGTGATTAATATTGAAGAAACGTTCTGGATTTTTTGGAATTTATTTTATAATTTAATTAATATATCCAATCAGAACTTTAATTTAGATACCTCCAAAATTAGGTAGACCTAAATTTTGATGCATTTTAAAAACTAGTTGGCCACAGGGTAGAGGAGTTACCTAAGCAATACCTCCAAGATAGGATATTCTTTATTATAAGGATAACCCTCCAAACTGTATTTATTTTGAAGCATTTAGATAAAATAATATTTATTCATTAAAAATTAATCATTTAAAGGTGTTTGCTTGTTCTAATTACCAACCACGAAAATATCAACAACAACAAAACCATAACAATTGTTCCGAAGCACTAATTAATGTTATATTTTTATCGGAATTAATTGAAAATAAACAAAAAAGAATCGAAACCCAAAAAACAAAAATAATCGAAGAAACAACATTCCAGACATTTATCAATACATCCTCACCCTCATCTACTTTATCCCCTCCAACTTCTACTATTTCATTAAATCAATCAATTAATAACCAAAATAATGAAATTCTTGAATTTATTCCTCTTCCAAAAAATATATTTTTAGCTCCAACAAAAGCACCTGGTTCTACAATAATTAAGTAAATATAGTATTTTTAATTAGTAAATATTAATATAGTCGACCTTATCATTCTTAGATATACTCTTGATATTGAAAAATCATATCCTATAAGAGGGTATATTTTAAATGGGGTTAACCCTTAATCAGTTCTCATACTCAATGACCAACCAACTTTAAAAAAATTTTTTTAATGTATATTATAGTTAGGTTCGACTTTATTTTCTATTATATTTAATAGTCTTTCTGTGCGTATTCATGATCCAAATGATGGAAATTGGCATTTAATTCCAAATGGAATAGGAGGGAATAATCAACAGAATAATCAAAATATGCCCTCCAACGTATATTTTAATTAATCAAAATATTTAATTAAAAAATCTTTTTTTTTCTAGTTAAATTATTGGATAGAAGGTGAAGGGGAAAATTTATTTACAATTTATGGAAATTCTTTACTTCTTAAAAATCCCTTAAAACCTGGACAATTTGATATTAATTTACGTGCCCGTCTTCAACGAAAAGGGAAAATTTTTGTTGCTGAACATAAACTTAGAATTATTGTAATTGATGATGAATTGCCTCAATTATATCCTGTTTTCGAGAAAATTAGTCATGAATTTAATGTAAATAAATATTTTTAGGAAAATTATAATTTTATATTTAAAATTAAAAATAATATACTTGACGAATAATAAAAAACTATTTTTGTCCTAAAACAGCCTAGCGAAATTCTGAAAATATTTTTAAAAATTTTTGAGTAACTAAAAAATTTATTTAAATTTTATTTTAATAAATTATTAAATTTAAAAATACAATTTCAAAAAAAATATTTTTTTAATTTCCTTAGATCGACCCAGAAGGCCATTTCCCTGTTGTTTTCCCTCCATTAAATGCTTCCTTGGCAGGTGGTGGAAGTGAAAATATTCGTTTTAATCTTTTCCCTGCTCGAAGTAATGACCCAACAGATGGGATAGAAATACATCCAAAAACTGTAAATTTTTAAAGAAATATTTTAAAAAATTATTTTGAAGGGACAAATAAGAGTCCGTCGTTCATTTCTTCGCCATTTCCCTTCCGGAAAGGGTGGAGAAGTTTTTCTTGTTGTTAGAGCTGTTAATCAAGCATTAAATGATAAACAACAAAAATATTTTTCTGATGCAAGTATTTCAATAATTATCAAACAAAAATGTTTGTTTTTTAATTTTTATTAAAATTTTCCCCTTAATTTCAAGCAATTCCACCATTAAAATTCGAATCTACCTTGTATCGTTATATTTTATCTGAACGTCAACCATCTGGAAGTATTTTAGAGAATGGCCCTCCAATTAGAATTTTAGAACCTATTTTACATTCAAATATTAGAATTAGACTAGCAACTTCTCCACAAACTGTTTGGGCGCTTAAACATTTTGGATTAATGCCTAACGGGTCTTTAATGTTAAAAGAAGAAGTGGATATGGAAAAAATGTTGGATAAAAGTCAGGGATTAATAAAAATGGAGGTGATTTAAAAAAATGATTTTAATTTTATTTGTGATTTTAGGTTGTTGCAGAAGATATTTCTGAAGGAAAAGAAGCTAGAGCTAAAGTTGAAATTCAAGTAAATTTGAAGAAAAATATTTTGAAAATTTTTTTTAATTTTAAAGTTAATTGACAACAACGAACATAATCCCGTATTTACACCCCTTTTTCCTAAATTTTATTTACAACCAGAAACTCTTTTTGCCGGCCATCCAATTGGGAAATTGTCTGTTAAAGATGAGGATTTTACTGATAGGCAAGGAGATACACTTGCATTTAGGGCAATTTCTGGTAAAAATAAATTTGTTTTTTAAACGAATCTCTTAAAGGAAATGCTTCTAATCTCGTTCACGTCCAAAGAGATGGACAATTAATTATTAAAGATCAAAATGCAGCATTGCCTGGTGTTTACACTCTTCTTGTTGAAGTTCAAGATTTTGGTGGTTTAAGTGCTCGTACAACGGCCACTTTTATTTTATTAAATTATGGAGAGAAATTTACATCGATACAACCAGGAATGGCGAAAGGAATTTTGGACGAGAAAGGTGTGTTTTTAATTCAAAAATTGGGTTAAATAAATATTTTAGAAAGACCCATTGAAAATATCCGATTTAGTCCTAACGATATGCTTATAGAATCGTGCCGATCGAGTGCCCAATCTCTCGTTTATTATTGATAAACTCGTAATTAATATTCAAAAAAACAAATCGAAATTGAAGTTAGACCCCTGTTGTCTTCTAAAATAAACTCAATTAATTAACTCCTTCCTACTAATTATTCCCTCTAGCATATGATTGAAATATTAATTACCCAGGTAATTAATTGATCCAAAAATATTATGTAAATATTTCTCTATTTTAAGTAAAATAATTTATTAAATAGGCACTACAGTAGAGTTTCCACTTCCGCCAGTTGATTTAGAAGGTGAAGAAGTTAAAGAACAAATTACAAAAATAATTGCTAATTCTGGAGGAGGAAATAATTTAGCACCAATTTTCTCAGTACGTGATTCAATCGACTGGGAAAATATGAGGAAAATTGATAAAAATCTGTCACAAAATCTAAATTTTGTTTTGGAAGAAAATAATTATAAAGGGTTATTTCGAATGGATAAACAAAGTGGACAATTATTTTTGGAAGAAAATAAGGATTTGATGGATAGACAAAAGGAAGGAGGAGGAAATGATGATAATGAATATGAATTGAGGGTTAGAGTGGAAAGTCCGATGGATGAAGGTGATAAAGAGAAAAACGGAAAAGGTAATTAAATATTAATTACTCAGGATAATTAATTGATACGTTCAAACTTCACTTTTGGATACACGTTTTAGGCCAAAAAAATTTTACCTTAGAATGGAAGGAATTTTAAATTAGACAACTCCCTCTCTCCCAGTGGTCAACAAAATTAAAGAAACTTAGCTTAAAGTGAAGTTATCCAGTTTATCTAAAAATGAGTTTTAACTGTATTTTAAGTTGACTTAAGTCAACAATTTTCTAGTTATATATGCCCTTGACTTCTAAATACATAGTATATTAAGTCCTACACGAATTTACTTTTAGATTCAAATCCACGTATTCTTCTTCGTCGTGTTTATACCGTTCGTCTCGTTCCAAGTATTGCTGTAGGCATTCAATCAAATAATAATAAATCCTCTACGAATGAAGTTAATATTGAAGAAAGTACAATTCCGACAACTGAAAGTTCATTTACCCAATTATTTTCAACAAATTCTAATAATATTACAACACTTTCTGACGAGGAATTCTTAAAAACAACTTTTTCATCATCTTCAGTTTCCCCTGCATTCTTAGAAAGTAGTACAGCTGAAGAAATAACAACAATAATTAATCATGAATTTACTAAAGAATTAATTGAAGAAACAACAACATTATTAACAAATCAAGAAGAATTAGCAACAACAACAACAAATAATTTAGAAGAAGAATTTTCTCCTTCCACAACTTTAAAAGTTCCCTCTGCCCGTCCTTTAGAGTTTTCCCCAACATTCTCCACAAAAATACCAACAAAACCTTCAACTTCCCCCTCAAAAACATTTTCTACTTTTTCTACTCGCCAACATTCAAAAACAACAGAAAAAATTAATTTTGCCCTTCCTCGTTATCATTGGCTCTTAAATAATCCAACAAATAATGTTTTGATTGGAAAATTGGATGTAATTGATTATTCAAATAAAGAAGAAATGATAAATAAAGTTGAAATGATTATTGAACCTCCACAATTTAGGCAATGGTTTAAAGTAGATTCTGAGGTAGTAGTTTTTGAAAATTAATTTAGAAAATTTTATTTAACAACAAAAATATTTTGTTTTTTCTATTGCGATTTTTTGATCAAACTAAAGGACAAACTTTCTAGTTAAAAGCGGGAATAATGCTTTTCTTTGTAGAAGCACTAAATGTACCCCCCAAATTTTGTTCAATAAAATGTATTTATTAATAAAAATATTTAAATTTTTATAAATTTAAAGACTGGCAATCTTTATTTAAATGAAGTACCTGAGGGATTATATGGACGTCAAAGAGCAGAATTTCGAATAAATTTAATTGTTCACAATTCAATAATGGGAGAGACAAGTGTAACTGTTGATTTAAATTTACCTTCAAATGAAAATAAACAAAAAGAGAAAAATGTTGAGAATAATAATCAGTTAACAACAACAACTAAAACAACTCTAGAGACAACAATAGAAATTTCTGAAGGTTCTGATCAGGAGGTAAATCGAATTAAAGTTATCGTAGAATCGAAGGGGGTGAAAGGGGGACTTTTTGTTGAAGGAGAATTTTTATTATAGGCAAAAATGAACGGATGAAACTAAAAAAGAGAATTTTAAATCAAAAATTAATTTATTAAACAGGCAACATCACTAACTGAACTAGACAATATTCACCGCTTTACAGTGAGTGTATCTCCAATGCATTTTGCTAGCACCACAAACCTAGGGGAGAGGGAAGAAGAAACTGAAGCAACAACTGAAATTGTTAAATTTACTCAAAAATCGAAAGGTGGAAATTAATGAATTAAAATTACATAAAAATTAATTTTGTAGGACAACAAAATTTAAAGTTTGGATCCCCTGAATTTCGAGCAATGCTTCCTGAAGGGCGTTATGGCAATAGTGGGGCACAATTAACTCTTAGACCATATCCCCTTTCTACTGTATGCTTTTTTTGGAATTTTTTAACTTTTAAATATCTGTAGGGAATGCCAAAAGGAATTAAATATTCAATTATTGACAGTGAAGAAATAAATAATTCGGGACAATCACCTTTACCTTTTTTTGTGGTAAATAAATAATTTTTAATTATTTTGAGAGATTACCTAATTAATTTTAAGCATAGTGATAGTGGAGATTTGGTAGCTTTTGCTGAAATTGATCGTGAGGAAAAGTCTGTATATCGATTTAAAGTTAAGGTAAATTAATGGAAATGATAAATATTTTTATAAAAATTAGATCCCCGGACAAATTTTTTTTACATATTACTAAAATTAGACAACATATTCTCAAAAAAATTATTTTAAATTAAAAAATATTTTTTATCAGGCTTTTGACCCCTCAAATAATCAAAATGCCGAAACTCTAGTTACTGTCCAAATACTCGATGTTAATGATAATTTTCCACACTTTTTGGAGCCTTTAATCTGGACTATACCAATAGCAAGAAATACTCCATATAATACACAATTAGCAACTTTTCAAGCTAAAGACAATGATGAGGGTTCTCATGGGCGTGTGCATTTTAAAGTAGAAAAAGATTCAAGTGGTGGATTATCTTATATTGATGGTAGAACTGGTCAATTGTTTCTGGCAAAAAATGTGCCTGCTGAGAATGTTGATCCTCGAGTAGGGCAAAAAAATTTTTTTGTTTTTCACCTACGGTCGAACCTCCTTTTTTAGGTACCCTTTGAAACAAAAAAATTTTTCTTATAGTGAGGGGTACCTTAAGTTGAGGGTATCGCTTAAACATTTCTCCCTTCATCACTCAGTGGCCAACCAAATTCTGAAAAACGTGTCTTAAATTGAGAAGTACCTAATTTTAGGGTATCTAAAACTGAGTTTAGACTGTAGCTTTTAGTAATCCTCCCTTATTTTCCCCCTCAATTTTAGGATCAATTTGAAATAATAATTTCTGCATTGGACGGTGGTCGTCCATCCCTCCGTACAGAACATCATATTAGAATTGAAGTTTTCCCCGAAGGAAATGAATTTGCTACTCCAGAATTTCTTCTTCCAGAATATAATGCTGGGAATATTAGTGGGGCTGCTGCACAAAATGGAACTTTTATTTTTCAAGTAACTGCCGGAATTTCTAAACAAATTTGTTATGAATTGATTGGTTGGGGTTTCCGTAGTTAAAAATAAAAGAAAAAAATATTTTTCAGACCCTCCAATAGCTAAACTTTTCGTTATAAACTCGAATAACGGGCAAATTCGTATGGGGAGACGCCCCTTAGATTCTGAACGTGGACATCAATGGTTGTTGAATATTAGTGCTTTTGATTGTCAACAGAAAGAACATCAACATGGATTACAGTGGGCATTTACAACGGTACTTTCAAAAAGAAAATCCTTAAAAAGGCTGTCAATAATTTTTAATTAATTAATTTACTAGGTAAAAGTCCAATTAGAACAATTACCAAACGAAATTATTCAAACAACAACAACAATTGGAATAACTAAAGGAGAAATAGATTCGGAAACAAATATAAAAGAGAATTGCCATTTTTCTCAAAAAGTTTACAATACAGAAATAACAGAAAATACACAAGGAAAGCAAAAACTTTTAAATTTAAATATTATTGGAAATTGTGAAAATCAGCAAATTCATTGCTTATTAAATCAAAGCAATGGTGAAAATTTATTTTTTTATAATTGAGAGTGCAGAGTAAGGTCTGAGGGAATTTTCTGCAGTATACAGCAAAAAATTTACGTTTCTTCGGCTTTGTTTGTGCGTTGTTGACTTCCTATTTTTTATTACCCTAAATGAATTATCAAAATTCTTACTCTTACTTGGTACTAGCTAGAGGTCGGTAAACCTCTAATTAGTACTAATTAGAGGTTGGTACTAATTAGAAGTCGGATTGGGTTTTAAAATTTCAACAGGACAGGATCCCTCAGGGTTAATCCTTAAAATCTTGAAATCATGACAATCCTGAAAACCGAAAGAAGGCAGGATTTCGGGCAGGATCCTGTCCTGCGCCGACCTCCAGTACTAACTACGAGCAAAAAATAGGGGGGTTCTGAAATTCCCAATCACTACTTATAATCTTCCACAATTTTTATTTTAGAAGCATTTGAATTAAATGATGAAATTAATGAAAATAATAACAAATATTGTGAAGTTTTTGTTGTTCAATCCCTCGATAGAGAAAAGAAATCTATTCATTTTTTGGTTGTTAATATAAGTATTGAAAGTCAGGAAGGTAAAGCTTCTGTTAATGAAATACAAGTTGATTCTTCTGAATTAACAACAAAAAAAGTGGGGAATGATGAGGAAGAATTACAAAAAAGATTAAAAAGAAAAAATGGAATTAATAATAGAATTAAACAAAATAATTTAAAAGAAGGCCGGGAAGTGGCTTTTAATGGATTAGTTGAACGTTTGTTTATTTTTAAATAATTATATGGAGAAGATAACATCGAATAGATAATAATAGTCTTTATATTTAGGGATATGACTTCCACAAATTAAAAATAATTTATTTAATTGATCTTATATTTTCGAATTTTTAAAATTAAAGCTTCCATCAAATATTTTTCAAATTATCAAAAAATCTCTAAAGGATTAATAAATATAGACTACCTTCTTTAAATTAAAATAATTAAAAATTTACCATTTCAGAAATCAAATCAAAGCTATCAGACAATCAAGCATTAATTGTTGTAAGAGTTATTGATCAAAATGATAATGAACCTAAAATTAATCATTTAACATCTGACGGACAAATTGGTTAGTTTTAAAAGCAAGTTGCTAATTAGAGACTGAACTTGGGGGATTTATCGAAATTTGAAATAGTTATCTCTAGAAATCCTGATACCAAAATTTTAGAATCAAATCTCTTCCCAATCCTATCTCTCTACTTTTAATTATTCTTAATTCTTCATTAGTTTTTGCTGTGGATTGGCAAACTCCAGTACTTCAACCTATTGGACGTATTCAAGCCTTTGATCCTGATGAACAGCCTAAACAATTACAATTTTATTTAGAAGGAGATAATTCTAAATTATTTTCTATTAATTCAAGTTCTGGTGTTATTCAATTAATGAAATCTTTACAAATAGAAAATTCTGATGAATATTATTTGAGTGTTAGTGTTAGTGATGGAGAACATACAATACAAACACCTTTAACTGTATGGAAATTTTTTTGATTTTTACATTGTGGTTAGGGATGGGTCGTAACAGAGGTCTTGGAAATTAGAACTTGGAAATTAAATAAAAATCGGAAATTGGAAGTTAAAAAGCATCCGAACGAGGAAATCTAAATTCAGCCCCACCTCTGATTGTGACGATAAAAAATTCTCTTTTTTAGATTTATAGACTTCAACCAGGAACGAATATTGCTCTTTTAGTAATAAATAAACCGGTAGATCAAGTAGATGTACTTAATGTTGTTAGGTACTTTATATTTTTTGTAGAAAATTATTTTTCAATTTAAAAAGACATTTAAATGCACTTCTCCCTTCTTTGGATGTTGATGTTCTTGTTAAACAAGTTTATATTGGAGAAAATGGATTGGCTGATCCAAAACGAACTCATTTACTTGTTTATGCCCAAGACAAACAAACAAGAATACCTTTGCCTGCTAATAAATTAAAAGAGTGAGAAAAAAATTTTTTTTGGAAAATAGAAATTTGAAAATATACCCCTTTTGACTTTACAGTTTACCCCCAATTGTAGCAATTAAATTCTATCAGAAATTCAAAAATAATTTTTTATATTTTTTCATAGATTGTTAGAATCTTCCCTCGCTCAATCAGTCTCTTCCGACACAAATTCCCCTTCTATTCCAAATCTCAAAATTTCTGATTCTCCTTTACAATTCTTGGCAAGTGTTCAAGTTCCGGATTATGGTGTTTGGAGTTCAACAGCTCCCTTCAGATTAAATCCAACTGAAATTGTAAGAGAATTACAACAGAGTTTTTGAAATAATTAATTTAATTTTTAAAAAGATTTTATTGTCTGTCAGTGCATTTTTGGTATTCGGAATTTGTACAATGCTTTATTTACTTTTGCGGTGCTGTAAAAGGTATAAAAATAATTTTTTAAATAAAAAAATTTTTTTAGAAAACAAGAATTGATAACAAAATCTGATTTGGAATATATGGTAGACAGTCAAATAGCTGGTCCTCGGCCATATAATGTTGAATTAATAACACGTAAAGCTATGCAAAATGCTCAAAATGCTACACTTAGATTGCCTGAACCTGTTGAGGATTGCACTTTGACGTAGATTTAAAAAAATATTTTTGGATTTGATTCCTACTTATATACATAAAATTGAGAATCAAAAAACTTAAAAGAAATACCGTTAAATCTCACTTATCTCCAAAATTCTCCAAAATTTGATAATCAAGAATGATAAATTTTTGTAAACTTGATTGGCCACACGGAGAGTAGACTAACTAATATTTCTACTTAGGTTACTATTTAGGAATGTTGGTTTAACTGTGTTCAAAACTATTTATAAAATCATTTTTAAAATAACAACATTAATATTTTCATTTAAATTTTCTAGGCCAGAATCTCGCGCAACAATGCTTGCTTCTTCGGGTATTTATAGCGGCGGCAATTTAGGAGGTCCATTAAGAAGAACAAATCGTGTAACAACAACAGAATCATCTTTATCAGAGGAAGGAACACCGCCACAATTTTCTCGTTCAAATATGTCAAATGAACAATTAATAAGAGGCCAAAATGGAGGATTATATGGAAGGAATGGAGACCCTGTTAGTTGTAAACGAGGAAAAAATTAATTTTTAAAAAAATATTTAGGAAGAACCAGAATATTCTCCAACAATTCCTCGACATCAAAGATTACAAAATAATTATGAATCTGGTGAACAAAGCCCGGAAACTATGAGGAGTGAAGCAGAAGAAATAAATGTTTCACCTCCAGAGGAATGTCCTCCACCCCCACCTTCAAGTAGTCCTCCAGAATTAAATGGAAAATAAATTATAATTAAATAATCAAAAATAAATTTAAAAATCTAACATACATATTTATTAAAATTATTTAAAAATGGAAAAAGTTTTTTTAATTAGAAAACTACTTGTATGTTAGACTCCTATTATGTTAGACTTTAAATAATCATACAAAAATATATTACAAATATTGTTTTGTTAATGCTATTTAAATTATCTAGCAATAATGTATTTATAATTGTATCAAAAGATTTAATTTTATAAATATACAGTCCAATTTTTTAAATTTATTAGTTAAAAATTAATCAAAAAACTGTAAAATGACCGGTAGGGGGAAATGATGTTATTTAATGAGTTTTTGATATATTTAATTAATGATCAATGGTGGTAGCTATCTAGCGCATTAATCTTGTGAATCAACAGATGTGGCTTCTTTTGCACTATTATCAGGTGTAGTAACCTCTTCTGCTTTGCAATACTTTAAAAAAGATAAAAGCTTAAATTTAAAATCTAAAAAACCTGAGAAAAAACCTCGACTTGACAATTTTCTAAAAATTTAATTTTTAAAAATTTCTTAAAATTTTCTTCAAAAACCTTCAAGCCATTCTTGTCTACGTCTATGTAGTCCCCTTTGATCAGTGCAAAAAGGTTTATTATTAGTCCCATCTATATCTTCACCATCTTTTGGTATACACCAATTACATTTAAATGTTTTTAACACCATTTTTTGACATTCTTCACATGTGGTAGCATCAGGCTAAAAATGATGGCTAAAAATGATGGAAAAATAATTTTATTTTTTTCGTAAATTAATTTTTAAAATTACTTTTTAATGCTTCCATAAATACCACAGAATTTGAAGTTATTTTGTCAGGCGATACGTTTATTCGACGGTACTGGAAAATTCTTTAAAGTTTTTAGGTGAGGCACTTTGTTATGTTCAAGTCTGTCAGAGATTTGGCAAAGTCGAGGGGCAGTATATTAACTCTGTAATAGTGCTACATAAGCACATGGCCATAAGTGGCCATATACATGGCATATACATATACTTATGGCCATATACATGGCCATAAGCCACACTCACTTTTCACTCCATTCTTAGACAGGAGAAAGACAAGTAAGAGGGGAAAATGAGTAAAAAAAGAAAATAACTTTTTTGCTAGATTGAAAAGCAGGTTGATCATTTTTAACCTTGTAATTAAATAAATAGGCATCAGAAATTCCCATTTTGGGTGGATGAAAAGAATCACTTATATTTGTTATTGGGATTGGAACCTTTAAGAGATATGAATATTTTTAGAAGAAATTTTTTTAAAATGCCTCTTTATAAACAAAAGTAATATTTCCATTGCGCCAAAGATGGACTTGGAAGGTAAAAGGGCCAGCTAATAAATTAAGAAATTAGGATTTTTTGAAGATTCTTTCAAATACCTTGTCGATTATCACGAAGAGTAATTGCATGCCATTCAACAACAAGTCTCTTTCCGTCATCTGCATAAGCAATACTTGATCTATTCTCCATTGTATCAAAGTATGCCATAAGAGGAGCAATATATCTAAAAAATGTTATATAAAATATTCAAGACTTTCAAAAATATAGTTTATGATTATATGTATAAACTTAAAATACCTTAGTCAAAGATACAATTTACTGGACCCGAGAAAAAATTAAGAAGAAGTGCTCTTCCGGTATTTTTGAGGTTTGGTAATCTTGTGTGCTGAGTCCAAATCTGAGTTTAGACTTTATTTCGAATCCCGAACCAGAATTCGGTCAAGTTGAATCCGGAAAAAATTTGAAATTAGGATAGTTATTGTTTCAACAACTTTAGACGAAGTTATGATCAATTAACTCCTTGATTATACTGCATCCTTGATTATACTATACTTCCGTATGTATACAAAACTTACCCACTAACAAAGATAGTTTAGTTCAAATTTAAATTCGACCTAACGAATTCTTAAAGCGATTTATTTAAGAACGAAATTAAAGTTTTGTAAAAAAAACTGTGCAGCTGCTAGCCAAGAATGTGTTTGATCACCAACATAAATAAATCCACCTACACCAATTGTTAACTTTTGAAGTTTATGTCCATAAAAAGGAAAATCAAATTTAAGTTTAACTTCCATAGATATTCTATAAGCATTGTTCAAATGAGAATAATCTATCTTTAAGACAAAAAGATATTAAATTTTTATTTTTGGAATTCAAAAGATTCCTAAACTTGTCCAGAAGCCCCACATTCATCAATCCATTTTTGAATGTCTACATAATTTTGAGAAAAAAGTTCTTCATTGTTTGTATGTGTTGTCATTACATAATAACTATGTTCAGTCTTAAAAAAATTGAAATTTTTAGGAAAAAATCCCCCACAGCTTCTGACTCATTATCATCTTCTAATTCAATATCACTTGGAAATCCAGTATAAAAATGAAGCAAATCGTGTCTGTCTCTTTTAAATGTCATGTATGGATTAGTGCTCCTAATGGATTCGTTATTCCAATTTTCATTGTAATTCAATAATCCATCATTGGAGGAAACAATAGGTATTAAAATTAATAAAATAAGTGGAATATTATCCATTTTCTTCACTTAAATTTTTTTGGAATTTCTAGTTTTAGGTGTGTAATTTAAATTTTTATATCGTGCAGAGATGAGATGTATATTTCAAGATATAAGTAGGTTTTAATATGTATGAGGTCCCGCTAAAGAAAACTTGTAATGGCCGTAAACGTAGAAACAAATATTTTAAACAAATAAACAAAATAGCGAACGATTTGAAAATAAAAAATTTAGAACAACTCGCAGTCCATATGTAATTTTGTGTAATTTGGACGAGTGACATTTGTATATTTTTTTTAAATTTTTATTAACTAAATTTAGAAAATCATAAAAAATAATGTGTGTGTTAATAAAGGGAAATTTTGTTTTAAAAAAAAGTTAAAAATGCACAGAATAAGGCATTAATTTTGTAAAAAAATATTTTTCTTTTAATTTTTAAGGGGAAAGGATATAGGCAAACAGTTGGGGTTAAAAGCAGAAAGTTTAACTAAATAATTAATTTCAAAGCCTTCCCTCAAAATTTTTAGAAAAAAATATTTTTGCTTTATTAATAAATATTAAGTAATATCTTCTTTAATTATCTTCATTACTGTTACTGCTACTACTATTTTCTTCAACAAAAAATTTAGCTTTCATCGGTTTCTTCTCAAAATCATTATTATTTATTGAATTATTTCCCCCAACATCATCCCTGCTATATTTTAGATATGAAGGTTTTGTGTCTCTATATTCTGTAAAAACTGAAGAATTTCCAACAATTTTTGTATTATTTATTTGGGGAAGTGAATGTTGTTGTTGTTGTTGAATATTTAAATTATCTAAAAAATTTTTTTTAATTTTTATTAAAATTAATCTTTCAAATTTAAAATTTTTCTGAATATTTTCTAATAAAATTAAAGTAATCCCTCCCCAACAATTTTTTAATAAACTTAATTTTATTTTTCTCCCTTTTCTTTACCTTCTTGGCTAAAAACATTTAAAGTTGTTGGACGACGAATTGTTGGTGGTGAACATGTTTCAGAACCTTCTGGTACCGAACAAAGTGCTGGTTGCTTTCCAAAACCCTTTAAAAAATTTATTTTTTAAGCTTAAAAATTAATTTTTCAAACAATTTGTCTTTCATTATTTTGTTCTTCTTCATTCATCCCCTCATTTTCATTTAATAATTCTCCTCCTCCTTTTCTTCCTTCATCTTCAATATTTTCTCCTCCAACTCTTTGTCTTTTAATTCCTCTTCTTTTAACTAATAAAGGTGCTGTATAAACATCCATTAATTGAAATCCTTCACGTGAAGCTGAAATAAAAGCTGAAATTGTTGCATTAAAAGTTTCATCGGCACTTCTAGGTAAAATTGTTGGGGTAGGTAATTCTGTTGCTGTATATGCAGAAGATTCTGGAGTTTTTGCTGAATCTAACCATGGATGTTTTGCTACTTGAGCAAGAGATAATCTACGTGTTGGGTCTACTGTTAGAAGACCAGTAACTGAAAAAATAAATTGAGTAAGGATTTTAGGAAAGTTAATTAATAAATTATGAGGGTGTACTGATTTTTCAAAAATGAAATACAAAAAAAAAACGAAAGACTGAAGAGTAGAAAAAAGCAAAAGTATCCCTGTTCTGTTATTAAAGACTCACTTAAATCTTTTGCCGGTTCAGATACCATTCCCCAAACTGGCCCTTCAAAAGAAAATTCAGCCCTTTTAATTCTCGCAATAATATCAGCAGCTGATTCAGCTTGACTTTTAGCATGAAAAGGTACTTTTCCAGAAAGTAAAGTAAACAAAACAACACCAAGACTCCACAAATCACATTGCTGAAAAATGAACATTTTAATTAAAAAAAGAGAACATTTAACTTTACTTGATTATATTGTGGTAATTCATCTTCAATTTCCAAAACTTCCGGAGCCGCATAATGTAATGTTCCACAAAGAGGAGTAATTAAATTTTTTGTTGACGAAGAAAAACTTCCACTATTTCCACGCATAGTAGAAGGGAGAATTCTTGCAAATCCAAAATCAACAAGGCGAAGAGAATAATTGCCTTAATTAATAGAAAATGAGAGGAAGGCTGTCAATTTAAAATTATTCCCCAAATATTATTAATTAATTACCAGGTTCACTACTAGCAAAAAGAATATTTTCAGGCTTCAAATCTCTATGAACAATATCTTTTGAATGCATATGCCGTAATGAAGAAACTAATTGAGTCATTATTTCTGCTGCCTAATTTTTTCAGAAAAAAATTATTTTTTTAAAGATTTTTTCTTTTTTTACTTGAATTTCTGTAAATTTTTCCATTCTTCTCAACCGATCCAATAATTCCCCTCCTTCCAATTTTTCCAAAACAATATAATAATGAAATTGATCAGATATTGCTTCAATTAATGGAACGATATGTGGATGGGGATTTAATGTTTCCAATATTCGAACTTCCCTAATTGCTTGATTTGCAAATCTTTGTGAAACAATTTTAACAGCAAATTCTCTTCCATCACTTAATCTTTGACATTTTCTACAGACAGAAAAAGAACCACGTCCAAGGAATCCCTGAGGAGTTGTATCTAATTTATATTTTGAAAAGAAGGCAGAATTATTTGAAGTTAAAAGTTGGACAGATTCTTCGAGGCATTCTTGACCAATTACTAAAAATAAGGGGAATACTATCATTAGTTCTTTCAAGTTTACCATTATCATTTGAGAAAATAACAGAAGGCGAAACAAAAGAATATCCTCTAAAAAATTTGTGAAATTCTTGTGAAGGTTTTTCTGCTGGGGAGAATAATGGTGTTTGTGCAGTAAATTCTAAATAATTTATTTAAAATTATTTTTCCAAAAACCCCTCACCAGAAGCAAAATTTTCAACGTCAGTTTGTCCTCCAGTAATATTTGGTTTTAACGGTCCAGGCATTTCACGTTTTTCTATTGCTGCCCAATTTATGGGAGCAAAGAATTTTGCTTTTTTAATTTCCTCTAAACCTTCCTTAGCCCCAAATCTAAAAAAATTATTTTTAAAAAATATTTTTATTTAATTAACACCTTTGAGTTGGATCTTTATTTAATAATGCAAAAATTAAATCGCGAGCTGAAGGATCCATACTTTTGGGAAAAGGCACACGTTTAGTGAGAATACGTCTTGCAATATCTGATGTACTGTTTTGGTCACCATCAACCCTAAAAATATATTAGGCGATTAGATTTTAAAAATCCCTCATGGAGATAATGACAAGATAAAAATGTGCTTTGGCACTCCCACTTATTGTATTCTCTCCAACCCCTATTTAAATGACCCTTTTAATTAAATATATTTTTTGAGAGAGGATTCCCTTGTCTTAGATCTGCCCCACCCCCTTTCACCCCATCTTTTTCAGACTTTAAATATATTTTTGAATATTTTATTACGTAAATGGAGAACATCCAGTTAATAATTCAAAAGCAATAACTCCAAAACTCCACCAATCAACAACTTGAGTATATCCATCAGATGTACGGCGAATAATCTCTGGAGACATATATCTAAATAAAAAGATTTTTTGAAACAATAATTTTTAATTAACTCAATAGTTCCACAATAAGAATTTGTAGCATTTTCATCAACTTCAAAAGCCTTAGAAAGTCCAAAATCAGTTAATTTAATATGCCCTTCCTCATCCAATAAAATATTTTCTAATTTTAAATCTCTATAAATAACACCCGCTTTGTGAACATTTTCTAATGCTAAAGCAATTTCTGCCAAAATAAATCTAGCTGTTGACAAATCAAATTTTTTTCTTTTACATAAATGTGTAAAAAGTTCTCCTCCACGAACAAATTCTGATTAAATTTTAATTTTACATATTTTTAAAATAAATTAATTACCCATAACGATATGTAATTTCGTATCTGTCTGGAAGGCATAAACCATATTTACCTAGAAATAATTTTTATTTAAAGAGAGAGTTAACGTCTGTTTTAAGTGGATCCTTGGGCCTGAAAAATTTTA